TGGAGATATGATGTTACAGGTACCGCAGTGTCTGCCCCCACATGGTCTTGTGTGAGGTTGGGTTAAGTCATCCGCAAACTGTTTTGCTTTGACTAACTTCCTTCTAAATGATGTTCCAGTACGTCTGACGAATTTGAAGATAGGGCGTGATGTACCGGCTCTAGATGATATTGGGGAGCCTGGGGTGTTTCCACTTGTATGGGAACCAGATAATCCTGAGAAGCTCCTGGTTCTACTGAGTTCTACTGAGTTCTACTGAGTTCTGGTTCCAATCTGTAGATCAAGTGTTATGCTAGTCATATTTTGACTGAGGATAGATCACACGCTGGAGAATTTTTAGTTTAGTTTTGGTAGGAGATTCTGTTGGTGATATATGTACGAGTCAACTCCTGGCCACGATACGGCACATGTAATCACGTGCTGTTTTAATTTAATTCAATTTAATTGTGTCACAAATAAGCTCTCACGACTAAACAATCAGAAACAATCAGATGCATAGATGGGCCCACTTCTTATCTGCCACCCCTAAAATAGCAATACTACAGATAAGATTTTCATTTTACCACTATCTCCATTATTCAGCTACGAAATTTTAATCAAAGACAATTTTAGTACTTAGCAGTCATACACATATATCGTCCAACTCTCATATTCTTCACAAATCTTTGACATAATATTTTGATTACACATCAACACACCTAATGAAAGTTTTTTCGTTTTGTTTTTTGTTTGTTAACGGACGGGTAATGCGGAGTGCAATTGTAGGCGAGGTCTTACAAGTTCCAAACTAAGCAAGTTTTCGTACAGTTGAGGTTAAGCTACAGTCAAGTTAAAGTTACACGTTTTAGTACAGTACAGTCAAAGTTAAGCTGCTCTACTAGCACACTCGCTAGATAGTTAGTTTTAGATAGTTAAGATTATTAATCAGTTAGTGTAAATTAGTATCAGTCAGGATCTGTTAGCTCACAAAACTGTTAGTTTTCGCGAAGCAGGTCTGACTTTCATATATATTCTTATATACCTTATCATAAACATTTATTTTGATTAATCAATTCACAACGAAATTTAAAAACATCATGAACACAAACGGTGAAGTTAGCAATAGTCAAAAAATTAAAATCAAATGTACGGCCTGTCCGGGCTGGTGTTACTCTAAGTCTAACTTGCGTACTTGTGCATGGTGCGAGGGCCATGTGCATAGGAAATGTTTCCAGGAAACGTTAGGTTGCATCAGATGTTGCGAATCAATGATTCCAGGTTACAATGTAGAGACATTCGATCTCTATGATAAGTTCGACCACCTTCACGCATCACGTCTTAGTTTCAATCCATATGATCGCTCGCACGTAATAAATTCCATCGGCAATAGTTTAGATCAGAATAGTGACATGAACAACGAATACTGGAATGAAATAAGCGAAATCTTAACCAAGTGCAAATATCAAGAACCTAAAAACGTCACAAACTCCGCCAAAGACGAGTTGAAAGTTTTTTCATTAAATATACGATCACTAGCAAAAAACATAACATATCTTAGAGAAGAAATCCACACCTTCTCAAAATGTGATGTGTTATGCTTTAATGAAACTAACTGTAACATTGATAAGCTGCCTAATGGTATTGATGATATCACAATCGAGGGTTTTCACGAACCTGTTATACAAGCACCTTTACGAAAATCGGGGAGAGGAGGTGGGTTAGCAATCTATATAAACAAACGTGTGTGCGATTTTGATAAAATTGAACGTCTTGACTTAGCTCTGGATCCTGAAGACATGAGTGGCGAGTTCCAACTAGTCAAAATTCATAATTGCAAAGGTTTTATCAAAACCAAGGTTATAGTAAATTTATACAGATCACCGTCAAGAGATACAAATAAGTTCATTAGCTTACTCGATCACGTACTTAATAGACTAGATAGACACTCACGCAAACACGTTATGTTTCATGGCGATGCAAATATTGATCTTATTAAATATGACACTGATTCCTCAAGCCAGAACCTCATTGACACACTGGCAAAATATGGTTTTGTTCAAACTGTTTCAAAACCAACACGAGTCACTGACCACAGTGCCACCCTTATTGACCATGTGTACACAAATAATATTGAAAATACATTAAGTAGCAACGTGTTAACACTCGACATCTCCGATCATCTTGCAACGTTGACCACTATAAAGTTACGTGCAGTATCACAAAAGCACACCACACACTCAAATAGGACCGATACCACAAAATACCGTGAAACACGTACTATGAATGAAGCCAGCAATGCTATGTTCAAGGAGCTATTGGAAGGGGAGACGTGGGAGGAAGCGCGGGGATCAGGCAGTGCGAGTGAACAGTATGACAAGTTCTCAGAAATCTACATGAAACATTACAACACTGCATACCCCGTTAAGAGTAATCGTAATCGTCGTGAAAATGAACGGTCTGATCCGAAGCCGTGGATACTTCCATGGCTCGAAACAGCTTGTGCACGTAAACAGCAATTATACCATCTTAATATCACAGAGCCTACTGATGAAAACATAGCTGCATACGATAAAATGAAACTATTTTGCAGTAAACACGTTAACATTGCCAAGGAGCGGTATTACAAAAAACAATTTGAAAAATATCAGGACTGTTCCAAAAAACAATGGGAGATAATCAACGGCCTGCTAAACAGAAAAAGACGGGGATCTGATCAAATCAGATTGAGGGATACTGACGGGACGATCTTGAGTACTAACTCGGCAGTCGCTGAAAAGTTCAATGGCTACTTTTCCAGCATCGCAGCCAACATCAAGTCTCAGATCAGTTCCCGACAGACCTTCGATCCTGGGGGGTTCCAGGAGTATCTGACCGGGTCATGTCCAACGTCTATCTACCTCGAACCTACTGGGCCCACCGAGATTCATAGAATTATTATTGGCCTAAAAAATAAGGCAACTCTCGATTCAAAGATTGAGCCCTTGAAAATAGCCAGCACATGCCAAAATTTTTTATGCGCCTTAGCAAAAGTAGTTAACACATCTTTTGTAGAGGGAGCTTTCCCTAAAGCTTTGAAAACGGCAAAAGTTACACCTATACACAAAGGAGGTTGTAAACTCGACGTAGCGAATTATAGACCTATTTCGCTTCTGGGCTCGTTCTCAAAAATTTATGAAAAACTAATGCACAGACGCGTTTTAGAATTTCTCGACAAGAATAACTCTCTATTCGAGAATCAGTACGGATTCCGACCAGGAAGATCATGTGAGCACGCACTTCTCAATGCTCAGAGCTCTATTCTGCATTCTCTAAATAAGAACCAAATAGCACTTTTATTACTTTTAGACTATAGCAAGGCATTTGACGTCCTAGATCACGCGACATTACTCAGGAAACTTGAGCATTACGGTATTCGTGGCATTGCGTTGAAATGGTTCGAGTCATACCTCAGTGGTCGCAGTCAATTTGTTTCCCTAAACGGCTCCAATTCATCATTAGAATCTATGATATACGGTGTTCCACAAGGGAGCATATTAGGCCCCCTGCTCTTTGTCATATATATCAATGACTTACCAGGAATCAGTAACCTAGCTAAATTTATATTATACGCAGACGACGCAAACATTATTATCACCGGATCAAATGTACAAGACATTATATCCAAAGTAAACCACCTCACTGACGTGTTGATAAAATGGGTTAACTCGAACGGCCTAGCTCTTAATCTGAAGAAGACTTGCTATATGGTATTTTCAAAAAGACGGGTAGATCTATCGTCTCTACAAGTAAGTATCGACAACTCTCCTATAGAACGCAAAACGGAGGCCAGGTTTTTAGGAGTTATCGTCGACGACAAACTAAAATGGGCCAGCCACATCCGAGCCGTCAAAACAAAAATGTCACGGTTTATAGGTATTATGTTCAAAATAAAACGCAAATTACCAATCAAAGCACGCTTACAGATCTTCCAAAGTTTTGTACAATCTCACTTAAATTTCTGTTCACTAGTTTGGGGCTTTGCTGCAAAATCCCATATTGAATCACTGTTCACTAAACAAAAGCAGGGAATACGAGCAGTTATGCCGGGCTACGTGAATTACTATTACAAGGACGGTAAGCTTCCGGATCATACTAAAACTACGTTTAAAGAGTACGAAATATTATCTGTACACGGGATCATCATAAAAAATGCTCTGACTCTGATGCACAAGATAACTTACATGCCTGGCCTTCTGCCGTCGTCGATAAAAGACTTATTTCCTCCCGATATACCAAAGTATGGCACGTCTTATGACGACAATATCGACTGGCTAACAACGTTCTCTCAACCAGATCTACGCGCTAGTGTTCTGTATAAAGGTCCTATATTAGCTATTACCGAGCACAACATTAGTCGCATAACTTGCCCATCTAGCATTTTCTCAATAAGCATATATAAGAAATCAGCGAAGCGTGTAATGATAGAACTACAAAGCTCAGGAAACGATGAAGAATGGCCACCTTTTCTGTTACATAATTTACCCGGGCTACGTAAATCGACAAGATCAGGCACACAACAAATCAACTACCGAGAATAAACTAAGGAATAAATAAAACCAGACGGTTAGCACACTAGTCACTATCAACCATATGCCACTTTTTTCACTGCCCATTCACTGTCATATTAATAGCATCATATAGATAGCGCTAGCAGGTGCTGATAAGACATGGGCTCAGTTATTCTTTTTTGTTTTAACCTCAAGTAGCTTATAAAACAGTGCGTGTGATCATCTGTCGTATCAAATCAAATTATTTGTCACTATATGATAATAAATCATGATATACAAGTTTTAATTTTTAAAGTTTCTGTTTTTGTTTTTAATGAATAGACGTAATCAAAATTTTAAATTTTCATATTCACGCATATTAAATAAAATTATATTGTTATGTATTATATTATTTTGTAAACATTGGCCGGGTATAAAAAACCGGTCCCCAAACAAACAAACAATAACCCTCTGTCTTACCTTACCATTCTACAGAACTCGAGAGAAGCAGTTCAGCTGTTACTGATACACGGTGCAGACGTGAATCAGATAGACGAAAAGAGACAGACAGCGTTACATCATGCTACCATATTAGGACATACAGACCTGGCATGTTTACTGCTAAAGAAGGGGGCTGATCATCGCCGTGTTAACACCGACAACAAGGTACTTACTGAGTTTGTGGCCGTCTTAATGGTGGTCCATAGTGATTTTATCTAAATATTTGCTGGCAGCTGAATTTACAGTCTACGAGTTTTCATATTTTTTAGATACTGCAAATAGAATAGACGACCGCTTTGTATACTTTTATAACGCATTCGAAGGTCTTCAGTCATCTTCCTACGGAAAGGAAACTGAAACAAGTTGAAATACTAAAACATGTTCGTACATATAATTCATTATTTTCAACTTCAGGACGCTCTGGATATAGCTGTAGCAGAAGAACGAGCTAGTTTGGTGACAGTTCTCAGATTTATCAGAATAAACGATACTTCAGACCCTACCAGTTAGTCAATTATTAATCAATTAGACATTAAGTATCATTAAAAGTTAATCGACTACTACTACGCTGTTACAAAATCTTACAAAATCTTACAAAACCTTTAAAAATCCAAAGATGGAGCAACAATAAAAACATGAGATATGAATTATATAGCCCTCCCTTGCCATTAGGGTGTAGCTCCTCGTGAGCTTGTATTCTCGTGACACCTCGGCAACGTCTGCTTCTTCTTATCTCTTCTTATCTTAGCACAAGGTTACAAATTCTTAATATAACCTGAGAACGTAAGAATATTCCACCGTTTCAACATGACCGGATCTAACTGCATTATAAGTTTAAATATATAGGTTACGTCTGCACTCTGCAGTCTATAAGTTACCATGCAAGTCCATGATACATAATTCCTCGTCAAACCCTGGCAGGTGTATGCAAATATTCTTACGTACTCCGGTTATATTAGGAATTGTTAACCTTGAGGACTGATGAAGAAGCATACGTGGCTGAGGGATTTACCAGAGACCACGAGGAGCTACGTTCTTATGGCAAGGGAGGAGAGATTGTATATTATGTATAATATAGTTACAACTAATTTGCAATAAATTCGACTTCTTCCCAGGTCAGCAGCTTTTGAACGAGTTCTCGAAAAGACCAGCAATCGAGAATAAGAGATAACGATCAGTTTAAATAATGTACATAACATAAACCTGTTGGTACGTGCCTAAAGTCTAAACATTGTTTAGAAGTTACTCAGTCGACCTCATGCTAAGAGGCTGCAAGGGGACAGAATACTTGGTATCTCTGAGAATTTCCTGCTTATACTGAGAGTCGATACGAAGTTAAATGTTGATTTAAGCGGCTGGTACGTTTTGATAAAAGTTAGCGAAAGCTTTAAAATAAAATGTGAATCACAGTGATATACATTATACATACTTATTTTATTGAAAGTTTGTGTGAATGATGATATTTGATCTATGTTGGTTGTTTTTACATAATATATGCCATCTGGGTGTTCACTGAGCTTGTTGAACCAAAATGGATGCAAAATTGATCTTTTGAATATTTCTGTTTTAGTTAAAATGTTTTTATTTATTTTTTGATTTCAGTGGTATGGATTGTCTTCAATGTTACCTATTGCTATTTTCAGCACACTCTCAACAGTATGGATCAATTTGATTTTTGTTTGTTTTTGAAAGCAGAATGATGCTGCACCGTTAGATTTTTAGTTAATTTTCTTTTTATTGATTAGGCCAGTGCTACACAGTTGACAGTGCATACCCCTTTCCTGTGCGCGCCGGCCGGCTTAAAGGCCGAATGCCGGGGCGGCGGGGCACGCGCGAAAAGGGAATGCAACGTGTGTCAAATTAAGCTACAAGTACAACCTGCAGATGATTATTATATTACTTTCCAAGCACTAATATAATGGAGACCATGTTATTGGCAGAGTAACCTACATAGTGCTGAGTGCACAACTGTTCATCGACCTAGATAATATGATAAGTATTTTAGTATTCAATTTGGAATACTTCTCCACTAAGCTATTGATAACATCAATTTTAAATCCTACAGATTTGATGTTCTTTGATTTGATAATTTGATTTTTATTCTCTTAGTAATCCTGTCTGATTATTTGTATGTTGTGAAATTCAGCAGTCACCAGATCGTAGCAACAGATCATGACTATGAGTATAATTACTTATACAGCTATACATACGTATAGTTTTACGTTCACATTGACGGATTCACATAGCCATGTGTATACGCGTACTGCGCTTGTTTCAAGTAGAATATCGGCAAGAAAACAACAATTTAAGAAAACAACAATTTTATTTAGTATCAATTAAAGCAGACAAAAATATATTTCATATATATATAACTAGCGTCTAGCACAAACTTTAGATCAGATATCTTAGGGGACTTGGAGTAGGAAGAGATATACTAGAAGGTATATACCTTTTACAAAGATACGTCGAGAAGAATCCAGGGTGATACAGGATCGGAGAGTGCAGACCAAAAGTTTACGCACCCACCTTTGCCTCCTGAGTTCTTGGTTGGATAGAAATTTATGCAAACTTGGTCGTTTATACTCCAAGTCCCTTTGTTAAAAGAAGTAATGTTAACTATGTCTAGAGTTAGGCGTTAGCTTCGTTCAATAATAACAATATCAATATTATCAATATCAATATCAGATAAAACTACCGAATAAATTATTAAATATTAATTAATTCGTTCCGATAAAAATTTTATAAAATTAGATATTTAGTATCTAAAAACATTGCAACAAATGGTTAAAAGCGCCTAAAATCGATTTGAGAGATTTTCTGTCTATAGTACAATCATGATAGTAATAGTAAGTGTGTGCCACTGCAATTAGATTTGATTACTGCAATTTAAAATTGTTTGGAGTCCAAGTATCTTTTAAGTCAGCTGCCTGTGCTTGTATTAATAGTGCTTTCAGCTTTGGTTCTCAATTTTATCAAGTTAATGGACGTTTCTAAGCAATTGCTTGAAGTTAAAAATTTTTATGAACATGAACAGCGTTCCAAAGCTTGGCTGCATTAAACAAAAAGGTATTTGATTTATTTAGAAGAACAACCGTTAGACTCGTTGCACGGTTTGAAATGTTGATAGCCCCATAAAGGGAGTACTTGATATTCTTAGAGAATTCTAAAATACAGTGATATTTGTACAAGTTTTGAGCCGTAAGAATTTTTAATCTATTAAAAATGGGTTTTGTATGCTCCTTTTCAAAATGTTTATGGTCTAATTTCTGCATACCATATAGTCTAGTACGTGCACATGTTTTATGTTGCTTGTTTATCTAAATATGAGTCGAGATCACCAAAAAAGATCCTTATACAGTGCTTCTGTGTGATAAAAAGACTATCATTGGATTGACCATTGTTAATGATCAGGCCCGGCGCGCTACTTCGTAGCACTTGCCATCGAGAAGAAAGCGGCGCGCGCTACTTCGAAGAAATTTAGACGAGTAACATCCGTCAATCATTGGACCGTTCCTTCAGGACAACACCCCAAACACTTATAGTTATACCATAACTGAGCGGCGGTCGCGCGCTACTGTTAGGTAGTGCGCCATTGACAGTGCGCCGCGCGTGCCGACTGTAGGATGGTTTATTAGCGCTAATTTCTGCCAGCACAATTTTCTTCAAACAAATAGATATTGCGTATCCTTCCCGACCTCCAATTGCAACAAAAATTGGTAAGCTTACTCATAGACTTACAAGGAACGTGTCTGACGGATGTTACTCGTCTAAAATTCTTCGAAGTAGCGCGCGCCGCTTTATTCTCGATGGCAAGTGCTACGAAGTAGCGCGCGCCGGGCCTGATCATTAACAATGGTCAAGGAAAGTGTCCGAAAAATTTAAAGCATGTCCACAATCCAACCATCAGACATTATGTTACACCTAAAAGCAGCGTATTTTGATCACTATATCAACTCCGATAACCACCAAATTTTGTGGACAGTTGTGAAAGCCCTATTGGAAGGTCGCGCGCGTCGTCAATTTTCAGAATGATCTCATTCAAGGAACCGAATATTGATTCACGATGTCAATCCTTCGCATCTCGCCGATTTGTGGTTGCGAGAAGCATTATTGGATGCGCGCGCGGCCCAGTAGTGCATCGCGCTACAAATCCGAATAATACGACAAAAATCAACGAATTTGTTAACGGATGTTACTTGTCTAAATTTCTCCAAACTAGCGCGCCGCTTTCTTGTATTTCCCGAGGCAAGTGCTACAAAGTAGCTCGCGCTGGGCTAGTCAATTAACATGTTACCTAGGCTGCCGTTTTCTCAGAAAAGGAAGTATGAAGTAAGTTTTATATATTTGCCATTTCGAGATATTGGGACTATTGCGTTTTTGGTTTTTTTGCGTAAAAGTGAACACGTTGAGTTTCACTGGGCCGCGCTCAGCCTGTCATTCTGCCTAATCTCTATTCGGTTTATGGACATGATAGCCTGAGCACTGCGGTCCCCAGGTAAGTTGAGTTATCAATAATTAGTCAAACTTTAATTTGTCAGCAAAATTAAAGCGTTCGGCCTTCCATGATAAGCTTAGAAATAACCATTTTATGCCAAATGATTGAGCTAATATGTAATATTTCATATATGATATACTAAATGGATTTACTTCCTTTCCTGAAAAAAATTGTAGGTTTATAACATACCAGGACGCGCGCGCCGAGTTAAAATCGTCGACGAGTATCACCCGTTAAATTTCGTTGTATCACGTTGTGACTCCCATTGTCGTTTCACCCCTGTAGAATCGAATTTCTACGATGTACGATACGAGCAAATAACCATTTAGTCAGACGCGCGCACGTGACAGGATTTTAAAGCGATATTTCAGCTGTTTGTGCTTTAGGATTCGAGTCAGTTTTGGTTTTAAAGTAATTGCGAAGATAGTATAAAGATTTAGATTTGTGCACTCTAACTTTAAATACGGGAGGGAAGGGGAGTTTGTAAATTTTACGGTTTGCTCTTTCCGATCCTGTATCACCCTGAATTTTTTCGACGTATTTTTGTAAAAGATTTTAAATATATTTTTGAGGAGCCCTTAATAAAATCCTTAGTCATTATTTACCAACTACTTGGTTTAGGCGACTACAAGGGATGCATAAATGATAAACATAATGCTGCAGAAAACGTTTTTACTTAAGGAAATCAGAAGATGATATAAAAAGTAGTACACTGGACTTCATGACATTTCATACAACCTTACAAAAGTTTTGAGGCTTGCTAATAATTGAGTATGATGAACCTCGAAGTTGACGTCGAGGGACGAGGAATCACAGTCTTCGCTAAAAAATGTGACTTATTATCGTTCCTTAAAGACGATTTACATATTCATTCACTCAGGAGGGTTCTACAGCCCTTATAAGCATAAATATTAAGGACTGTACAAATTACACAATGTCTCAGTTTGAATGACTAGTTGCAGTAAGAGATTTACTAGGGAAGACGAAGTGGGCATGGACCGCCCTTATATCCAGTGTCTCCTTCAACCTGATCCCTGAGGAGAAGAGCTATTCTATGTGGGATAGATGAGATTTATTGCTCATGATTTATGATTGTGCTCTTCCAAATTGCATCACTTTATTTAATTTATTGTATATATTGTTTGAATGGCTTTTCTTAAATGATCAGTGATCGGAAAACCGTGATTTAGGTTTAAATGAGGAGGGGTCCTGCCAAAAGATCAACATCTAAATTGTACTGTACTTACTCTACTCTACTCTAAACATATACTATACAAAAGCTTAACTGTCCAGAAGGACCTTTGAATAAGTTTTGGCAGTTACTTATTTTGTCATTTTACTCAGGTCAAAGGCATCCATGGGTGGAACAGTTCTGATCTGCCTCAAAATGATATATATCTTACTTATAATTCAGAGAATTATCTTTGTACATTGTACACTGTACGACCGCCCACGTGCAAATTAGGTAAAAAGTAAAAGGTTGCAAAGTAACCATGGTAACGAGGGTTATTACACACACGTGCACATGCAATGATTGTTTTAACGTCATTTTGATCGGCTTTGTTGATATTACGCTCATGTGTTTAGTACAAGCAACATTTTGATTGGCTGTATCTTCGGTTGTGTAGGATATTTTTTGACGTGATTTAAACTTACCAACAAAAAATACTATTAGCTTCCTCCCTGTGACCACGGGTTTTCTAGTATATCTATAAAAGATAAATATAATCTCTTGTGTTTTGAGGGCTTACATGATAAAGATTTCCAACCATAATTTTTTCGAGTGTTAAATAAAGTGTGCTGCTCCATCCTAAATCCTGTGTAGCCGCAGTATATATTTAATTTTGTCGCATATCATATAGAAAACATTCTATTTTTGAGAACATTCCAAAACTATAAATCTGCAATTCAACAGCTGCATCATGATAAAATCTTATAATTTTCTTCAATTCCAAGGTCATAATGGCCTCTAATCAAAGGAGAAAACAGTCTACCAGTTCTGTTGGACCTGAACAGCTGATGAGATTAGAAAGCAGCTCATCCTCTAAGCGTTCTAATGATGGTATGATATGTTCTATATTGTTAATTGAGATACTTTCAACCTATTAGTTTAATACAGCATATAAGCATTAAGCATATGACTCTCTTCTGGCTCACTCTTCATTGTTTTGATAGTAAATACTCGTTTGGGGGACTGCATCTTAATTGTATTTCAGCAGTTGCTGGATCCAGTTTACTCAAAGATGGTGTTAAGCGCATGAAAGGCTCCACAGATGAAATAATCATTGGGAAGAATCATGTCAATCCAGCCCTTATTCTGCACTTAGCCAAAAGCACCAAGGTAATGTTGATATTGTTATCTGTTTTCTTTTGTCATGGCTCACACACTTGATAAATTTCACTCAACAGAGGTGAGAATGATGAACCTTTTTTAATAGTTTCACTTCCAAATGTTCTATTATAGGATTCATTAGGATTCCATTAGGATTCCATTAGGTTCCATTATGACAAGACTGTTTTAATTGCCTTTTTTGTGCTATTATAGTATCTTTTTGCAGGAAGACGGAATGTCAAAAAACAAGATGAATGCAATAATTTGTCAGGCCCTGAGACAATTAAAGTCCGAAAAGACTGGTACAGAGAAAGCTTGGTTTATAAGCTTAGTCACTCTTGCTAAATTAAAGACTGAACTTTTCACTTCCGATAAAATTGTAGAGGTCAGGCTGTCTCCATTTAATTTCTTTCTCTGATATTGATTAATCTCAATTTTGACAGAAACATTCTCAGAGTTTGCTTTCCAATATTTTATTTTTGTAACCAGATTCATTCTTTCATTCTAGCCAAACATTCCTGGTCACGCGACGGTACTTAGACATATGTCATAAATTCTTGGTCAACCAAACACTTGCATACACATTCACGTATTTTGTTTAATTAACTCTTCATTTAAATCTTATTCTCATACCTCACAACATTCACCAGGTGCTTTGTGGATATTTGGAGCGAGACCCATCTCAACTTCTACACAAGGGAAGAAATTCCTCCCTGCTACCCGTTCTCTCATGTTCACTGCTTATGACAGCCTACAAGAAAGAAGAAAACTGGCCAGAGGTGTTTGTCAAAGTGTACGTCAAAGATGCTATATCAGATAGGATCTGGATAGAGAATCCCATGTGCAAACAGTATTGCAGTGAGATTGTTAAGGTTTTTGGCACTGTAAAGCCTTCAACTGCTAGTCCAACCAACTCTATTATGGGTCCAGCTAAGCCTGATGTAGACCCTATGCCACTTGGTAAGCTTCAGTGCTATTTTAGAATTTAGATCAATAATTTTCTAGCTCTAACTAAATGTTAATTATAATGCTATGTTGTATTTCTACGAAGTTCTGCCTCATTGAGCAATGATAAATCGTAGCAAACTCAGGTTTATCTGAATTTCAGTTATAAATGAAGATCATGTTCAGTCTAGTAATTCTGGAGAGTCGTCCGCAAACGAAGAGAAAGTCGTGGCCTCTCGGTAATTTCTTCTCCATTTTATTTCATCCCAATTAATGTTGTTAACGTGTTTAAACTGTTAGGACTGTTAGTAGAGGAGATGTTAATTTCCTCTAGACTTTTAGCTAGTCATTTATTATGGTAGGTAATGTATTATAAACACAGTTTTTTCTTGCAGGTTTAAGAACAGTGCAGTTCAAGACTGCATCAAAGCATTTGTTGTTAAGACTGTGAGTGAATACATTGGACAAAAGAAGTCTGTAGATAACATGGCTAGAAACTTTGTAAAGTTTCTCGGTACTAGTTGTGGTTATCCTGAAATTAGACAGCTTGCTGTTGGTAAACTGGATGCCTTCCTTAACAGTACTAAACTCTCCCGACCAGCGCAGGACCTTTTGTCATACATTGCTGCCAATGCCAGGACCGGTTCTTCAGGAGATACAGAAGTGATACAGAAGCTTGCTCAACTGAGGATAAAATCGAAACCTATGGCTAACTTCTATATTTCTTGTATGAGAGAGTTAATGTCGCTGCATCCTCATAATCTTGAACACCTCATGAAGACAGTGATCCGAAATGAACTTGCCAATAACAGGAACACAACCAATATGCAGTTCATTGCAGCTTTCTTTCAGCACGACGGAGAAAAGTCTGCTATTGTGCTGGCGCACATTTTCCAAGAACTGTTACTCCAACCTGAGGACTGTCTGCGTTCACTCAGACTTCTCTTACGTGAAATTGTGAGAAGCGTTCATTATGAATTCAAGTTTTCACAATTTGCTTTAGCATTGATGCAAGAAATAACCTCACCATCCTTCAGAAACACTGACCCAAAACTTCAGGAGCGAATGTTTTTATCTCTTAACAGCCTCATTTGCCTGACCATTCTTCTCAGCTGTAAACCGTCCATCAGAGATATTGCCATGTCCTCTACCAAGACAGATGTCTTGCCTCTCATAAAGTTTCAAAATGAAGTAGCAGCTATGCAGAAAAATGCAGTTTGGTGGCTCCATAAAATAGTGCCAGCTCAATACCGTATTGGGGCAAAGCATTACTACAATTCCCTAAGACAAGTACTGTTTCTAGATGACCCAATCAATTATACAAGTAAAGACAATTGGCCAAGTGACGCTGAGCGTGACATGCTGGTTTCCCTTTGTGCGAATGTCCCCTTACTGGAGAACACCTTAATGAGGCTTGGAGTGTTGGGCACTGTTAATAACCTCCCCCTCAAACCTCAGGAGGTGCTGCTGATCATCAACAGTGTGGTCCGTAGAGCAGCAATGCTGGATTCTGACAATGATGTTCCTCCACCCCTCCAGATAACTGGTCAGACAAAACACAACTTGGATATCATCCAGATGCTCATTAAACTGTCAGAGTACAAGTATCATAACATCAAACTACCAGAGGGTTACACTCCACCACAACTTGTAGTTTCTTCTCATTATTGGAGAGCGTGGCAAATTCTTCTGGTCCTGGCAGCCTTCAATCCTACCACTGTGGGTGCCCTTGCTTGGGAGCGACATCCCACTTTAAGGGGTTTCATGGAGATGGTCATCACCAACAATTACCAGTTCCTCTAAACTCTGTTAACTATCAAGAAACGATGATGCTGGAAAAGCAACTTAGTGCTGCTGAAGAATCTGACATTTTGGTGTTTGAAGGGCACATTGCTCGAGGTGTAAAGATCACAAAGCAGAACAGTCACATGCTTAACCAACTATTAGTAGTGAAGGAAGGAGGACCAATGAGGAAACCTCCTCAAGCAGTTCTAGACCAAACAAGACTCCTTGCTATGGAGCTCCACCTCGGACACAAGCTCTGCAAAGTTAGAGACCCAGATTTTCTGTTGGACATTATCAAAAAGCAAGGAACAAGCAAGTCCATGTCCTGGCTTTCAGAGCTTGTCAAAAATTCCGAAAATTCTTTTGAGCTGCTGCCTGTGCCATGTTTATGTGAGTTCTTGCTACAAGATATTCAGAACACAAAACGACATATCCTTCTCAAAAGGTTACAGTCAATTCTTTTGGGGACCAGTGACAGTACCCAGACTCAAGAAATTGTGTCTTATTTCATCAGCAAGATGTCTGCCACATACGTTGTTAGATACAAAGCACTGAAAGGTCTCAAGACGATATTCAATCGTCCCCTAGAGGATCAAACTAATGAGGACTGGTTGCTAGTGGACCTTGCAAATATTCCACTTCACAGCACAGTTAGTGCTATTGTTTCTGCTGAATTACAGAAAGCTTTGCTAGTTGAGCAATCAGTTTCGCTTTTAGGTGCTTACCTTATTTACATTTGCCGTTACACGTCTCCGAAGTCCATGGTGTCTGCTGCTCTTGAAATAGCTTCTGTGATGATCAAAAGGAATCATGTTATGTTTAGAGTCTTGGAAGCCGATGAAAACGCTTTGATAGCCCTTTTAGATCTCTTCCTGAAAATGTTTGTGTCTTACAAGGGACTGAAAAAGGGTGATGAAGATGCTGTCGGAATCACTGTTGATGGAAAACTCAAATATTTTCATAAAGAAATTATTCAAGCTGATTTGGTTCTACTTGCTGAGGCGAGAGGAAGAGATGTTGGAAGCAACAACAGTGTTTCAAAGCTTAAGAAAATATTATTTTCTTCTGACGCAACTGCACAACTTCAGGATAGTATCGAGATTCTTTGCTCAGAAACCCTGATTCCAATACTGCTTGGTTCTGGGGTACAAGAACTGCAAGACTATGCAGTGAAGAATCTTTCCTACGACAAGATGATCCTCCTTCTTCAGGAGTTTTCTCTCCCAGAGACCGCTGCTCAATTTATCCTACAGAAATTGGACGACAATCTCAAAGACGTTACTCCTTTACTGGAAGAAGAAGAGGAGCTTTTGTCTCATATTCAGGCTTGGAGAATAAACGTTTCTGCTGGAGAGGAAATAGAAGCATTTCTGATGAAAAAATCTGCACCAGTTAAGATTGAAACGGTAGATTACTATGGAAAGTTTGCTAAGCCTGAGAAGATGGAAACAGATGAAATAGTTGATCAAAAACAGAAAGAGTGGTCCCAAATTCTTAAAGATATTTTCGAAAACGACTCGGTGGACAGCCAGTCACATTTAATGACATTCTGCCTCCAAAACAAAAACATCGAGGAGATATGTCTTAATTTATACTTGTGGGTCCAAGACAATAAACTTCCGCCCAGACACGAACAGTTTATAACTGTAGTTGTTCAGATTTTGGCAGAAAACTGTCCAAACAAGGATATCTTAGAGAAACTTCTGCTGGCAATCTCTCCGTTCTGCAAATCTCTTATTCCACTACACCGAAAGTTGTTTCCAGTATCTTGTGTTCCTGCAAAGGATGACGACAGTAAAATTGGGAGTTTACTTAGTTGGTGCAGTAACCCTCAAGACAGCAACTTTAAAACAGTGATCAGCACTCTACAGAGTATGGAAGTCAGTGCTGTGGCCGACAAAAGACAGCTCGGTACGGTGTGGCAGAAAGTATTCAAGACTGCCATATGTAACAGTGGCAGACATGGAATTGACCTTCAGCTTCTTGTCAAAGTTGTCGTTGGTAAAATGATTGAAAGTCCTCTATGTTCCGGAATGTTTATGGATTGGCTTCAAGTTTTGTCTCCTGAACTCAGCTGTTTCAAAATGTTTCTTGGAACAGAAAAGAAGGTACCAGTTTCTCTACAGAGGTACATCCTCAACATGATCTGCAGTAGTTGTGGCTGGGAAACTCTCCACCAATGCATTAACAGTCTGCTCTTGTCAGATGATTCTGGATTTGACGAGTCCCTCATATTAGATTTCTTGCAAGGGTGCTGCAATAACGAGAGAATTTGGCAAGGTGCCAACAGTAAGCGTGGTACAAGTAAAGGATCACTAAAACTAAGTAGCGACCAGCTATGGAGACTTTGTGTACTGATTATGTCTGAGATTGCTAAATTTGATGGGAAATGTGAGGGAAGCCTACAAGACAAACAATTTGTCCTACTCTCCTGGAGACTACCCCTCATCCTATCTCCCTTCCACAAACCCCTCTTTCCTGACCTAGTCAGCAAACTTCAACACTACCCCAACAAATGCAGCAAGCTCCTCACCCTGTCCCTGTATCTTGCTGAACCAACTGCTTTCTCTCACGGGACCTCTACAAACCTGATTAACGGTGCTCTCGCCTGCACGGTCACCTCAACCTCCTGTGATGCTCTCATCCACCAGCTTATTAACAATGTGTGTGATAACAAGAAGAACTGTGCTAGTGGTTACGTTCTCCTGAGGCGGTTGGCATCCTATCACCCACCTCTCATACTACGCCATCTAGATCTCATGACAGGGGCCCTGGGTACCCCTACTAATGTTAGTAAGAACGAGTTCATCAAGAGTAACTATGGTCAGGTGTTTATCAGTATTATTGGGATTCTGGAAGCATTAGGATCACATTTGTTCAAGCTTGATGCATCTTCTATTTTGAAGGAATGCATTGCTTTTGCAGTGCAGCACACCAAAAGTGAAACTCGGTTGTATACCCCTACGATCATTAAACTGTCTCATATCCTCCTTCTTTACCTTGAAAACGACCGATCTGGAGCCTTGAAGCTGATGGACAAGGAGAGTGTAGAGAAGTTAAAGAAGTTGGAGAATAAGATCAGAGACCCAGTTCTAACAAAACTCTTGAACTGCCTTGTTAACGGAGGTAACTGTTTCACTGCAGATTTCGATGAAAGTTCCATGGCACCCTACTTTGCTAAAATGTGTGCTGACAGTTCAGAAAGTTTGAGTATTTTACAAGATCTGGACGCAGGGAGCATCAAGAAACCAGCAGTGCTGAGAATGTTCCTTCACGAGATATGTAGACGGATGACGAGTGATAATCCCGAGTGTAGGACCTTAGCTCACAAACTTGCAATACGGCATGTTCGGCAAGTTCCTAAAGACAGTTCCATCGTGTTTTCTTACATTGAAACTGCACTTCATAGCCCGCATCACGACATTATTAAGTCGGTGATCTCTGAGATTCCTGAGCTGATACTGCTGAGTGGTCCTGAATCTGCCAGACTTATGAGACTAGTTTTTACTGCTGTTGCTAATTCTAATATTGATATCACCTCTGAGTTTATGGTGATTATGAAAACGATCATTACTTCCTCCGACTTGTTTTGACAAGATTCTTACAGAAATGGATGTAGATTGTAGATGGTAAAATGCTGTTAAATATCATTATTATATATATATGACTTTTCAAAGTTTGAAAATTATTTATTTTTATTGATTGTGTGATATAATATTGGCGTTCCCACTGTTTTTAACACGTTATATTATAATGATGATCATATTTTGTCTCTGACGCAATCATTTGCATATGAAACCATTTTTTAGATTATCAATTTCATATAATGCTACACAGATCAGACAAGATATCCTATTACTCTTTGTTAATCTAATTAATCCTTGTCAATTGACCTCAATTATTTTTGTGATCGCATCCCTTTTACCTCGTTTCATAAGTCACGATCCAATTAAATACATTAGACTTTTCCATTTTTCAAGAACTTAATCATTGAATAAATTATCTGTACCTTATAAAACGTATTATATCTCTAGTATGAGTAGAAAGTATTTCAAGATTACCAAATGTCCGGAAGCATCTCTCGCAACAGCTAATAGGATTATCGTCAGTGACAAGCAAGGTTTATTTATAAATAATATCAGAAACCTATTTCGTTAACTTAGCTTTTTAAAACTATAACGCTTCATGTTACCAAGTATTATCCTCCTCGTATAATTATAATAATGTAGGTGTTTCAAGCTTAAATCTTACATTTTTTTGCGTAAATTCCAGAAATAATATAATTGCTTCGTTCTTTTCAACAAGTTTCTAATTCCAGGTATCAGTGATAAAGCGATAATCAACGTTACAAAAAATAATGGTACGAGCTCTATCCACTCGGTAATCCTCAGTTCTAGAGTTAATCTTGACTATCTCGGACTTACCCTCGTGGACAGACAATGGTTGGAGGTGCCTCTCGACGAACAGGTACTACTCATATTCTAACTTACAGTGTAAATGATTCATTAACTAGTAGTACTTAGTGAAATAATCTGTTTTTAGCACATGCTAATAATTCTAGTTGCCAATTTACATATATAATAGTTTATGCAATCCTTCTTCAATATTATCATATTAAGTATTAAGTTTGTAGTAACTGTGATCATGTTACTATGACAGGTATTGGTGTCGATAGAGAACAGATCCACTAAGAAGCTAGCCTCTATGGTATTACTGTCTGTAGAGTTCCTACAAAAAGCTAAAGCCACTAAGAACCCCTTAAACACAGACGAAATGGCTCAGCAATTTGCAATGAAACACATCGAACAGCCTGTCCAGCTTCATCAAAGAGTAAATAGTTACTTTGAATTATCAAACTTTTGTTTAAATTGCAAAAAAACTCAAAATTAAAAGTTATCAACCTATTTTTAAATGTATACTACTACTATAAACTATAGTGTTGGTTGTAATGGTTATCACTTAAACCCCACAGTTAGTGTTCACTCTGACCAACAACCCTACCCTGGTATTTACCGTAGTTAAGATAAGCACCACTGAGGGGCCACTTGACATGAGCAAGATAGATGAGAACGCTAAAGTTGGCGTCCTTTTCCAAAACACTGAGGTTAGTATGTATTTTGGTAAACAAAGTATTCATTTATATGGGGTATATCCCTTTATATGTAGTATTTTGAAGAGTGTACACTAAATATAATTTCATAACGTTTAATTTTAGAATTTTGCCTGCTCCTTTTAAAAGTTAAATCCACTACAGATAAGGTTTGAGCCAGCCAAGGCCTCTGGTGTACAGCTAAAGGGAAGCGCAGTTGGAACTGAATCAAGTCCAAACGTAATCAATCCCAACTGGGACTTTGCTCAAATGGGTATTGGAGGTCTGAACGATGAGTTTAGTGATATTTTCCGACGAGCCTTTGCTTCCAGGTTGTTTCCTTCTAACATCATCGCTGATTTGGGAATCAAGCACGCCAAAGGTAATTTATATTTTATTTTCGATTAATTATAAGCAGAATATAATTTTTTTAACATTAACAAATTTTTAAACGATAAACAAGTCAACTTTTACATAATAATTTACTGATTTCAGTAGAATAGGTACATATCTTTCCAGTAAAACATTTTCTTATCAGAATCGTCAAATCTCATAAAATTAAAATCTAAGTCTTTTGGATATCAATTTTGCTAGCACCAGATTTCCTTGAAGTAATCAAAAGGACGCTGTAAGCTGTCAAGCGATAAAATATCACCAAAACAAAAAGCCAAATCAAATCACGCTGCAGATAATCGTTCGTATCAAATCCGTAAAAATCCAAAACAATCAAGCCACTGTCAAATCCATGGAAAGTTTCATCAGTCGAGTTGAAGAAGGAATCTTTAAACTCAGTAACAGCAGCTATCTCTACAGCTGGTGCCATCCAACAGAAATACCTCCCTGCTTGTAGGTACGCGGGGATAGTTTGAGGGTTCAAGAAGTTTCCAATAAACAGAGCCATCAGAGAGAAGATCCCCAGGTTTATAGCTTGAGCTCTGGTAAAGTCACGTGCCAGAGCCGCTATTGTCATTCCGTATCCCACCGAGCAGACATCACTTAGAGTGATAGCAGCAGAAGTTATCAGATACTTTGTGAAGGAGCTTTGGAAGCCAACAGCCCAGTAGATGATAGTGGAGTAGATCCAGCCGTGAGCCAAGGTGAAAGGAAGATCCGTTAGATTCTGACTAATAAAGAGAACAGTGGCTGTGTACATGTTCAACTGCTTCTCCTGCATGTAGATTTCTTTGTCCGCTATAAACGCTCTCATCACAGCAAAACCTACAATGCAAGTATGGTTCAAGATAGCCAGGCAGATAACTCCGATCTTACTCACAGATGTCTCAGGATTATCTGGAATTTGGAAGAAAATGACGCTCAGCAGGCCCGCTACGAAGATTGTCTGAAACATCCTCATTTTCCCCAAAGCGAGATGTCTAGCATTTACAACCCCGCTCCGCCACATTACCGCTCTTAGCTGTGCTAGGAATGTTACCTGTCTTGATCCTACTGTCCCACTCATGGCTAGAGCGTCCAGTAGAGATGACACACTGGATGCCTTTGAGACTTTGCCCTCTGTTTGGTACCCCTTACTGGCTTGGCTGCTGTAAAACTTTATCATCCCGTAAGCACCTTCACCGCTGGACAGATCCATCAGATGATCTGCCAAGTTGAAGTGCATGGGACAAGGACTCCCCATCTGCTCCAGGAATGGGGCTATCTCCGACATGGACCCGTGAAGTGCGGTCTGTCCGTAACTCAGCAAAGTCAGTCTGTCACACATCATGAAGATGGCAGATGAGGGCTGGTGTATACTGAGGATGATAGTTCGGCCGTCTTTTGCTAGAGATTTTAGCAGCTTGATGATGGATAGGGCTGTTGACGAATCTAGACCTGATGTGGACTCATCAGCAAAGAGGATAGGCGGGTCAGATATCAACTCAGTTGCTAAAGACAGCCGTTTCTTCTCCCCTCCAGATATCCCGTTCCCAGACACTCCAATAACAGTTCCTTGAGTGTGAAGAAGTCCCACCTTTCTCAACACACTATTGACTTTAGACTTGATATCGTCAGGTCCGAAGCAGTCAGTAGCACGGAGTGCGGCGTGGAACCAGATGTGTTCCCAAACAGTCAGACAACTCAGTAGATGAGGTTCCTGTTCCACATAAGCAGATATCTTACCCATACAGTACTTGGCAGGAGCTCCCTGGACCCTAATGTCCCCCGTACACTTCAAAGTAGCATTCTTACTGTAACCGTACAGACAGTTCAGCAAGGTTGTTTTGCCGGCTCCGCTAGGTCCCATCAGAAAGGACAGTTCCCCGGGCCTTGCTGTTCCTGAGACTCTGTTTAGGATGGTCTTCCTATCTTTTACGGAACTTTTGAAGCAGCAGAAGGGTGATCTCCATTTCTCCACACTTGTTATGATTTCTATCGTTGCTGTTATAGTGTCCCACTCTAGGGACATTTGTCCGAAATCTTTGACCACTGATGATTTACGTCTCCGTCTCCCGCTGCGTCGAGTTGAAGGGACCTGCAGACTGGACCCTGAGTCAGATTTACCAAATTGTTCATACTTAGGGAGAGAATCTGAGTCGGTTAACTTGGACATCTCGAGGTCTTTCAGTGGACCCCAAGACATTCCGAAACTTTATCACAACTAAGAAAATCTATCGAGTAATGAATTTGCTGTTCCATGATTCTCCAATATATTAGGCAGCCGCTATATTAGGTGGCTGGATGCAGAAATTAGTTGCATTATCAGAGACGTTCATTAAATAGCTGGTTTAAGTTACTCGATGGGGTTGAATAAGCGTAGACTAATATCACGATTAAACTGACCCATAAATTGAGATACCTGCGACAAATTTGACTCTGACGCTATCACAATTCCAGGTCACTCCTATCAATTTCTATTTATGTGGAATCACATGCGATCTATGTACGTGGTTCCATGGGAATAACATCCTTTCATTTAGCAAACCTTACCATCGATTGAGGGGTGAAGAATATTTCTGAGTTTCTATAAAAAATTAACGCTACCTCCCTACCCGCAACCAATCAGAAGCACGGGTTTTACAGCACTTAACTATTATAATTACTTCAGGTATTCTGCTGTACGGGCCTCCTGGAACTGGTAAAACTCTAATGGCGAGACAAATTGGAAAAATGTTGAACACAAGAAAACCTAAGATTGTTCAGGTAATTTATCTGTGCTCTTCACCAATATGAACATTTTTTAAATAATTTCAGGCTTACAAGTTACATGAACGCTTTATTAATGTGTCATCCCTGTAATTGTTAATTACCACTGCCCAAGTTTAATTTATCAAATAAACCCAGGGCCCGGAGATTCTAAGTAAGATGGTGGGTGAGAGTGAGGCTAATGTGAGAGCCCTGTTCGCTGAGGCTGAGGCAGAGGAGAGACAGATGGGTGCTAACAGGTTCGTTCAAAAGTTAAAATGAACACCAAATACCACATTATTTATGCTAAATATCTCTGGCCGACTATGTATAGTAGTATGTAGGGGGGGGTGTCACGTCCGTCTATGTCCGCTTGTCTCATAGAATCCAAAAAGGACAGGACATAGGCGGACATAGGCGGACATAGGCGGACATTGGCGGACATAGGCGGACATAGACGGACATAGGCGGACATTGGCGGACATAGACGGACATTAGCGGACATTAATGGACACCTAAATTGCTAAATAAAATGTTCAATTTTTGCTGTTATAGGGGGATCATGTTTTTTGTCCGTTCGGTACCCTATATTTTCAAAACGGACAAAAAATAGAGCGGACAAAAACGGACAAAAATGGACAAAAACGGACAAAATGGAAATAACATTTAGATGCTTCCTCCTCCTACTCTTCCTCCTCCTCCTCCTGGGTCTTCCTGATCTTCCTCAGTCCTCTTCCTCCTCCCCTCCTCAGTCCTCCTCCTACTCCTCCTCCTCGTCCTCAGTCCTCCTCATCAGTCCTCAACAGTCCTCCTCCCCAGTCCTCCTCCTCTTCATCCTCCTCCTCTTCCTCCTCAGTCCTCACTCCTCAGTCCTCCTCCTCATCCTTCTCCTCAGTCCTCCATCCTCCTCCTGAGTCCTCCTCCTGGGTCCTCTTCCTGGGTCCTCCTCTTCATCCTCCTCCTCTTCCTCCTCAGTCCTCAGTCCTTCTCAGTCCTCCTCCTCATCCTTATCCTCAGTCCTCCATCCTCCTCCTCAGTCCTCCCCCAGTCCCCCTCCTCCTCCTATTCAGTCCTCCTCCTCCTCAGTCCTCCTCCTTCTCAATCCTCCTCCTCCTCCTCCTGAGTCCTCCTCCTCCTCCTCCTCCTCTTCCCTCTCAGTCATCCTCCTCAGTCCTCCTCCTCAGTCCTCCTCCTCCTGGGTCCTCCTCCTCCTCCTCTTCATCCTCCTCCTCTTCCTCCTCGGTCCTCAGTCCACCTCCTCATCCTTCTCATCAGTCCTCCTACTCCTCAGTCCTTTCCCAGTCCCCCTCCTTCTCCTCCTCCTATTCAGTCCTCCTCCTCCTCCTCCTCCTCAGTTCTCCTCAGTCCTCCTTCTCATTTCTCCTAAGTCCTCCTCCTGAGTCCTCTTCCTCCTGAGTCCTCCTCCTGAGTCCTCCTCGTCCTCCCTCTCAGTCATCCTCCTCAGTCATCCTCCTCAGCCATCCTCCTCAGCCATCCTCCTCAGTACTCCTCAGTCCTCCTCCTTCTCGGTCATCCTCAGTCCTCCTCCTCCTCCTCCTGGGTCCTCCTCCTCCTCCTCCTCCTCCTCCTGGGTCCTCCTCCTGGGTCTTCCTGATCCTCCCCAGTCCTCTTCCTCCTCCCCTCCTCAGTCCTCCTCCTACTCCTCCTCATCGTCCTCAGTTCTCCTCATCAGTCCTCAACAGTCAACAGTCCTCCTCCTCCCCAGTCCTCCTCCTCCTCCTGGGGCCTTTTCCTGGGTCCTCCTCCTGGGTCCTCCTCCTCCTGGGTCCTCCTTCTCCTCCTCAGTCCTTCTCCTCCTCAGTCCTCTTCCTCCTCTTCCTCCTCCTCCTCCCTCTCAGTCATCCTCCTCATCCATCCTCCTCAGTCCTCCTCCTTCTCAGTCCTCCTGAGTCCTCCTGAGTCCTCCTCCTCCTCAGTCATCCTCCTCAGTTCTCCTCCTCCTCCTCCTAGGTCCTCCTTCTGGGTCCTCCTCCTCCTCCTCCTGGGTCTTCCTGATCCTCCTCCTCCCTCTCAGTCATCCTCCTCAGTCATCCTCCTCAGCCATCCTCCTCAGCCATCCTCCTCAGCCATCCTCCTCAGCCATCCTCCTCAGCCATCCTCCTCAGCCATCCTCCTCAGTACTCTTCAGTACTCTTCAGTCCTCCTCCTTCTCAGTCCTCCTCAGTCCTCCTCCTGAGTCCTCCTCCTCCTGAGTCATCCTCCTCAGTCCTCCTCCTCCTCCTGGGTCCTCCTCCTGGGTCCTCCTCCTGGGTCTTCCTGATCCTCCCCAGTTCTCTTCCTCCTCCCCTCCTCAGTCCTCCTCCTACTCCTCCTCATCGTCCTCAGTTCTCCTCATCAGTCCTCAACAGTCAACAGTCCTCCTCCTCCCCAGTCCTCCTCCTCCTCCTGGGGCCTTTTCCTGGGTCCTCCTCCTGGGTCCTCCTCCTCCTGGGTCCTCCTTCTCCTCCTCAGTCCTTCTCCTCCTCAGTCCTCTTCCTCCTCTTCCTCCTCCTCCTCCCTCTCAGTCATCCTCCTCATCCATCCTCCTCAGTCCTCCTCCTTCTCAGTCCTCCTGAGTCCTCCTGAGTCCTCCTCCTCCTCAGTCATCCTCCTCAGTTCTCCTCCTCCTCCTCCTAGGTCCTCCTTCTGGGTCCTCCTCCTCCTCCTCCTGGGTCTTCCTGATCCTCCTCCTCCCTCTCAGTCATCCTCCTCAGTCATCCTCCTCAGCCATCCTCCTCAGCCATCCTCCTCAGCCATCCTCCTCAGCCATCCTCCTCAGCCATCCTCCTCAGCCATCCTCCTCAGTACTCTTCAGTACTCTTCAGTCCTCCTCCTTCTCAGTCCTCCTCAGTCCTCCTCCTGAGTCCTCCTCCTCCTGAGTCATCCTCCTCAGTCCTCCTCCTCCTCCTGGGTCCTCCTCCTGGGTCCTCCTCCTGGGTCTTCCTGATCCTCCCCAGTTCTCTTCCTCCTCCCCTCCTCAGTCCTCCTCCTACTCCTCGTCCTCAGTCCTCCTCCTGAGTCCTCCTCCTCCTGAGTCATCCTCCTTAGTCCTCCTCATCATCCTCCTGGGTCCTCCTCCTGGGTCTTCCTGATCCTCCCCAGTTCTCTTCCTTCTCCCCTCCTCAGTCCTCCTTCTACTCCTCGTCCTCAGTCCTCCTCATCGTGGAAGACTTTCTAACAGGAAGAACATTTCGCGTCAGGGTTGGATCATCATTTTCTAGAGTGTTTGCTGTAACATCTGGGGTCCCTCAAGGAACCGTGCTGGGCCCCCTGCTCTTCCTGCTCTTCATAAATGATCTCCCTGATGGAATTGAGAGCTTCGTATCACTCTTTGCGGACGATCTTAAGCTAGTAACGAGCACAGCTAAGCACAGTGTTGCACAAGATGATATACTGAAACTCAATGCGTGGGAGAAGGAATGGCTCCTAAGATTCAATGTGAAGGATGGCAAGTGTAAGGTACTACATATTGGGCGTAACAATCCAATGCACGAGTACTTCATGAATGGGGAACGCCTCCCCCAAGTGAAGGCAGAAAAGGATCTTGGAGTTCTAACTACCAGAAACCTGGACTGGAGTGATCATATAGATAAGTCCGTGAAAAAAGCAAAGTCTGTTATAGGCTGGATCAAACGAAGTTTGATCTGCCGTAACAAATTTGTTATGCTAAATGTCTACAGAACTCTAGTTCGACCTCACATCGAATACGCTGTGCAAGTGTGGAATCTACCAGCAGAGCACGGAAACTGGAGGACTATTAAGAAGATAGAAGACGTTCAGAGAGAATTTACACGAATAATCGACGGGATTGGTATCCTACCATACGATGAGAGACTGAGAATCCTCCAGTTAACAACACTACTGGAGCGCCGTATGAGGGGTGATCTTATTGAAACCTTTAAAATAACGACGGGTAAAGTGGACTATGGACAAGATCTTTTCAGGATATCACGTAGCGGTACCAAGATCCTAAAAGATAAAAGAGGAAATCAGGTCCTCAGTAACCGTGTTGCCAATTACTGGAACAAAGTACCAAGTTCGGTTAAAGAAGCCAGTTCAGTAGACGCATTCAAAGCTCGACTTCAATGTTATAAAAATGAACTGATAGCGAGTGGAGCATCGTCAAAGGGTCACTTCTGGGATCTCAGCGAAACCTTGATGTCAAAAATAAATACATGTGAGCATGATTCATATGCACATTTCATGTCTAATAACCCATTGATTGCTAAATACCGAGGAATCAATGTTTCTTGATTGTTAAATTCAGAACTACATGTTAACGTCCTAAAAATAATTAATCATTAAATGTTCCGGATAGGAACATTTTTCTTTTTGATAATATTGTGCGAACTGCAATAGCGTAGAGTGCAGTTGGGTTTCAAGTTTTGTCGAGATGGCCATGTGGCCATAATCCTATTATTATTATTATCATCAGTCCTCAACAGTCCTCCTCCTCCCCAGTCCTCCTCCTCCTCCTGGGGCCTTTTCCTGGGTCCCTATATAATTTGATATAATAAGTTAAAGCTATTAATAGCTTTAGTGTGATTAATAAGTCGTTTGTTTTGTACAAGATTATAATACAAGTTGCAAAAAATTCTCAAAATGTTTGTCCGCTTATGTCCACCAATGTCCGCTAATGTCCACCAATGTCCGTCCGAGTCCGCCTATGTCCGTCCGGGTCCGCCTATGTCCGTCCGAGTCCGCCAATGTCCGTCCGTGTCCGCCCATGTCCCAAAAAACACGTCCGTTGTCTCATAGAATCCAAAAAGGACAGGACATAGGCGGACATAGACGGACATGACACCCCCCCCTATGTAGTAATCTGTTCAGACAATGTATCTGATAGGCTGATAGGCTGATAGACTCTGTAACCACAAAACATTCCAGCGGTCTGCACATGATAATAATGGACGAGTTGGACGCCATCTGTAAGCAGAGAGGTAGCACTAACTCGGGTACAGGGGTACACGACACTGTTGTTAACCAGCTCCTCAGTAAAATAGACGGAGTGGAACAACTTAACAACATTCTCATCATCGGCATGACAAACAGGTTCACTTTTTACAACGGATTATGCATTTTTAAATTTTTTTAAACAGTGAAATATAAGTTATTTCAAGTAAAATGTTAAGCTTGAGTATAGAGAATCGTTATTACATCAACTAAGAATAAGATTTGTACATTTATGTACTCTACACTGACGAATTTATAAACAATGTGTACTTGTCAGGAAAGACATGATAGACGACGCACTGTTGAGACCTGGTCGTCTAGAAATACACATGGAGATATCCCTTCCTAGCGAACAAGGGAGGGTTGAAATCCTTCATATTCACACCGGTAATTACACAATACTAACTCTGGCATAATACCCGGCCCCCTAAATACAGAAATATTTTTATAACCCCCTACTCCCCCCCCCCTGTATTAAGCTCTCACTTTCTGTCAGCTACAATGAAGAAGAGCGGCAGGTTGGACCCGGATGTGAACATTGAGGAGCTAGCAGCTCTGACCAAGAACTTCAGTGGAGCGGAGATAGAGGGTCTAGTGCGGGCTGCGCAGAGCAGCAGTCTTAACTCTTATGTTACTGCAACTAGCAAGGTATAGTGTGCAGTCCGTGTAGTCTTTATAATACATTATAAGGTGCACACTGCACATAAAGCAACTTGATTGTATTGTTCTTACTTTAATCAAGATATTGTATTCATACGGGTAGTGGTATTCGTACACTCTCGGCGAGTGGTGACCTTTCACCACAAAAATGGTTCTACTATCACTGAGTACTGAGTACTACGAACGGTCCTAACTATAACTGATAACTCTTAAGTTAATTCTTCACAAATAACCAAGTGTTGCTCATGCAGGTAGAGATAAATCAGGAGGTTTATAAGCAGCTGAAAGTTAACAGAGGCCACTTTATGCACTCACTGGAGCACGATGTACAGCCAGCCTTCGGCTCCAACCTTGACGATCTTAACGATTATCTGCTCTACGGAATTATACCTTGGAGTCCAGGTAATTTATTTAAAACATTTTGCTTTCTGGAATAGGTCCTGCTGCTCTATTTTACGTCCAATGGACGTTCATGATATGAGCATCTATTCCAATACGTTATGAGAACTTTATGGTACTGTATTTAATTTGTACACTAACAGTTTACACGCAAAATTCTTTACTCCGAGTTAAGTTCTCACCATCTCAGGTATTTCCAAGATCCTCCAAGAAGGAGACCTGTACGGCAAACAAGCAGCGAACAGTGACCGTACTACACTGGTCTCCCTCCTCCTGGAGGGTGAGAACTTCACTGGCAAAACTGCTCTAGCAGTGAAAATAGCCATCAACTCCGGCTTTCCATTCACCAAGATCATAACCCCTGGCAAGTTGGTCGAACTAGCTGACATGGCTAAAATCAGGGCTATCTACAAGATCTTCACTGACGCATACAAATCAGAAGTGAGCTGTGTCATCTTGGACGGGATCGAGTCGCTGATAGAGTACGTGCCCATAGGGATGAGATTCAACATGTCCATGGTGCAGACTATCATGACTCTCATTAAAAACCTCCCTCCTCGAGGGAAGAAGCTCATGATAATAGCCACCACTTCTAACCCAAATCTACTGAAAGATATCGGACTACGACAACACTTTACTCATACCATGACAGTTCCGTTAGTTCAGAGTTCTACTAATCTGATCGAGATTATTGATACGTTACAGGTCTTCACTAAGGAGGAGACTGAGGATCTGAAGAATGAACTGAAGGATGTGAATTTGAGGGTGGGGATCAAGAAGTTGATTGATATTTGCATGACTGCTAAACAGGCAGGGGATTCCGATACAAAGAAAGCAACGTTTATTAATTTATTGAACAGGGCTGGAGGTATTTTGTAACTGACTCGTTTACCAAAATGCTGTATTATTTTTTTTCAAGATCCTATTTTAATTATAATATTTGCAGCTTTAACAGTTTGGAGGCATGACGCACGATGCAATTTTTCGGGTTTCATTATAAATTTCACCAAATTTTAACGGTAAGATTTCCTAATAAGTCGTACCTAGCTGTAGCCTGTTTCAATCTGTAGAAAATAAGCGAGGTAATTAGCTGGATCTAATTGCCGAGTTGGTTTTCAGCTATAAAAGTATATTAACTAAATAATTAGTGAGTGTGAAATTGGACTGGTACTGACTACCAAGCACTAAATGTTGGATTACCTGTATTATAGGCGTCATTTATTTTTAATAATTGAGGTATGATGATATAAGTTAATTCTGAAAACGTAATAAATCTTATAAATATAGTTGTACAAGTGATATCGTTTTTTGGGAATATTGTTCAGTTAATTGAATTTGTTTATTGAAGTTAAATGTTGCTGATTGTTTACAATTATTGTCACTAATATGCATCTCTTAGATATTGTACTTATTTCATTCAATGCTCATTCTTCAATTGTCTGTTTTGTAAGATTCTACCAGGTTTCTAAACCTGTATCATGCATATTTTGACATGATTAAATATCAACTATAATTTAGAAGTCAATTTTATTAAGTTTTCTGTACCACTTCGATTCATCACAGCAGCCGTAAAGAAAGTTGGTACCCCCTGTAGAAGTATATCAACAATATGTTCCACAATAGTTCAAATGTGTTTCAAGTATTTCAATTTTACAAACTCTAACGCCTCCCCGTTATCTTAGCAGGAGTGTACATGTTATGATATAAAAATGTCGGTTATCTTGCGAAGAATCCTCCCTCCCGCACTAAGATCCCTGAGTTCTACTTTGAGTTCTGTGCCCTCCAACGTTGACCCCAACTCTAGCGTAGCCAGGACAACTAGAGGAAACTATGATTTGGAGAACCCTGCCAACGTCACATCTCGTCTTCCCAGTGAGTGTTTTCATTTGACAGACAATTAAATTGCGATTTAAACACGAGACAAAGTTTCAATTTCGTTACATCCTGAATTCTTGTCTGAAGTCAGTCTCTGCAATAAACAACTATAGGTGTCATCCATTTGGTGTAATAACTACTCTCGTTCTTGTATAATAATCATATAATATTCACACCTCTGTTCTAGCGTTTAATCCCTCAATACTTCAGCTCAAGCTAACAGTGCGGGAGAGTTTGCAGTAACAAGTATCGATCATCTGTTCAACTGGGGCCGGAAATCCTCCTTGTGGCCACTTACATTCGGTCTGGCTTGTTGCGCTGTGGAGATGATGCACTCTGCAGCTGCGCGGTACGATTTCGACAAGTTCGGTATCGTGTTCAGAGCCAGTCCTAGGCAGGCAGATGTGCTCATTGTAGCAGGTGAGGGACACAAACTTGAGATAATTTTAATTTTCAAGATGTGTATGTCCTTATTGTGAGCGAATGTTTTGTAAGATGATTACTTGTGTTTTTACTCTAAACAGATTTAAAATTAGCCTTCATTTCCAATCTCTCCCAGGAACTTTAACCAACAAGATGGCTCCAGCCATGCGAAGAGTTTACGACCAGATGCCTGAACCAAAGTGGGTAATCTCAATGGGCTCGTGCGCTAACGGTGGGGGCTACTACCACTACTCATACTCCGTTGTAAGGGGTTGCGACAGGATCGTCCCTGTGGATATCTACGTGCCAGGGTGCCCACCCACTGCAGAAGCGTTACTGTACGGATTCTTGCAGCTTCAGAAGAAGGTGCAGGCTGAGAGACGTACACTTCATTTCTACAGGAGGGCCTAAGTGATGGAGAAGGAACTTTAATTTATATTTCAAATGTGTACAGCTCTTGGAGGTGAATAAACCCAGATTAAATCTGAAATGAACTGATAAAGAGTAAGTAAGATATTGAGTGTTGTCTCCTGTGGCCCGACCCACTATGCCAGTGTGACCCCCGGTAAATTGTTGAAGTTTAGGATTGAACTTTTTGATTAACTTGTTAACTTAAGGGCTTATCTATTGAGTTCATTGAGCAATAAATCACTGCAATATCAAGGAAAAACTTAGAATTTGCTTCGCCAGACATCATGTTCATTTAATGTGAGTTGCACTACAATTAATTTTGGTTTTTGTAAATAATTTTCAAAATATTTATGTGTGATCGATGTCTACATAATCATAAGTTGCTGCATTTGTAATTGAAAATACATAATCGATTTGAAAATGTAAAACAGACGGCTAAAATTCAAACAGATCATTATGTACATATTATATATGCGTTACGTTACCTGATCCTACAATGTATTTTAATGGTGCTAATAACATTCCATTAGCTAGAGATAAGTTAGCGATAAGGTGCTAATAACATTCCATTAGCTAGAGATAAGGCATGTCTGATAACGACTTTATGTGTGATAGTGACGAGGACTATGATTTAGAGTACAGGTTAGTTGGGAGTTTTACTTTCTGCATTATTAATCAATCCTGTGACTGTAATAATAGCAAGAATGGCATCTCATATCTGTAGACTTCTAAACTATATTGTATTATGCACATTTGAAGTTAATTTACTGGTTTATAGAATACCTGTTATATCTACAGTGACGATGAAGAAGAAGACGAAGAAGACTCCACGTTAGAAAACCAGTACTATAACAGTAAAGCAACAAAGGAAGAGTCCCTCAAAGACGCGCTTGCTGGTTTTGCCAAAGTTATCACACTGCAAAGTGAAAAGGGAGAATGGGGCTTTAAAGCGCTGAAACAGATGTTGAAGATTAACTTTAAGCTTGGTAAATATCTCCTTTTTAAAAACTTTGTTGTGTTCAGTCAACTCTTTGAGGGACCATACTTGTCGATAAATAAAATGCTTGTCTTAAATTTGGCATTCTTTGTCACTTCAATGGACTATATTGGAATGTCATGAGCTGTATCTACGAGATTTAAAACTGATCATAATACTCGGCAGGCAATTACGATGATATGATGGTGCACTATCGAGAACTGTTAACGTACATAAAATCGGCTGTAACCAGAAATCACAGTGAAAAGAGTATAAACTCAATACTTGACTATGTTTCTGTCAGTAAGAATGTAAGTCATAAATCCCCTTTGTTCTTGAATTTGTGACAATACTTTTGTCGAAACTTTATTCGTGTATATTGTGCAAGTTTAATCAAAACTTCTGGAGCCCTGTATCCAATTGAGAAATAAGGCAAGCCTAGGCGAAGTTCCAATGTCTTTTCCTTTCAGATGGTTCTACTGCAAGAGTTATACGAAACCACACTGACAGCTCTACAAGAGGCTAAAAACGAGCGTCTCTGGTTTAAAACCAATACCAAACTAGGAAAACTGTACTTTGACTTGGGTGAATATGGACAGTTACAGAGGGTGATAAAGCAGCTGCATGCTGCTTGCAAGAATCAGGATGGATCTGATGATCAAAAGAAAGGTATTGGACATTTCTTGAGATGTTTAGGACCTATTCATCAAAAACGGTCTACTCAATTAAATTCTGTACGGCGCGGTCACAAATGTCCATACAAGTCAGCGCTTTCAAACGCGCTTTTTACGCGCGGTCGCGTTGCTTATTAAATTTTGTCACACGTACGTACGTACGGTTTTTTGGCACTGCCACAAATGCGGTAGCAATTATTGTTCAACGACCTTGCAATCACAAATTTGACATTTCTCATAAACTAAAACATAGGAACATAATGCCCCCTCCGCTTTGAACAAACAGTTGTGCCGCATATTTGACCGACAATCATCTCGCGAGGTGTATAGGGTCTTCAGAAGATCTTAAAATCATTTTTCTTTACTAAAATGTCTGTTGTACAGTATTCACCTTCTACCATCGAAATATCACTTTTAGTATCAGAATGAAAACTGCAACCTTAATAATCTTCAGGGACGCAGTTACTAGAGATATACGCACTGGAGATACAGATGTTCACGGAGCAGAAGAACAACAAGAAATTAAAGGTTCTGTACGAACAAAGTCTGCAAGTCAAGTCCGCTATTCCTCACCCGCTCATTATGGGAGTTATCAGGTAATTGTCTTGTTATTGTCCGTCTTAGGCTGATGTATACAAATGAAACTATGTTATTTGCATTTTATCATTATTATCAATTTTTCGTTATTTACATAAATTACAATATTTACATCAACACAATACGCCAAATTTTACATATTATATTATCGTATGTCGTGAATTGAAATAGCCAAATGTAATGGAAACAATTCCCTTCAGCGATCGATGACAACTTAAGTTTAAAACCAAATAAACGGTTAAAGAGGAAATCTAAAATACTTTTAATTTCACTTGAAATTCTGAGGCCATTAATACCACTTAACAGTCAACATTCGAACATAAACATTTCCTGCCAAAAATGACCCTATAGTTGTGTCTACGACTATGAACAGTGAACACAAATGCTGACAAATACAATCAATAACAATTAACAATATATGTACACGTATGTAGGGATTGCAGTCTTTCTTGTGACCATTATAAAGTCACTGCCGAGCACCTTCCTAGCTCAGTTAAACTCCACCGACTTTGGCTCATCTTCCTTCTCTGATATTAACATCATAATCTTCTGCACCTGAGATTAATGGTGCTGTTGCAACACATTCTCCATCAGACTGGTCAAATAATCGATCCTACAGTCACCATGCTCACAAGGGGTACAGGTTGCCATGGATCTGGACATGGAGCTGATACTGCGGGGGAGTGCTGCAGAGAGAGGGCGCTGAGGTCGGACTGCTGAGAGAGGTTGGGGTGAGGGTGTGTTGCGCTTGTTGCACAGCCTGGATACCGCCCGGAGCAGGGTGTGCTTCTCTAGCTGCAGCATGTTTATCTCGCTCAACGTCTCCTGAAGTGTGTATGTTAGATTATCAGGTACGGATATTATCTTTGTGTGGAAAGGGTGGTCAGAGTGGTTATTGATTACAATTTAACATTCTTTGTTGTTGACTTTGCGAATAGCTTAAATCCGCAAACCTGAAGCTGAGACTCTAGTTTTCTGACGTGATAATGAGAGAGAGAGTGACAGAGGTTCTCTAACATCATGTTGCACCCACACTCCGTGGTGGAGTGGTCTGACACCGCGCGGATGTGGTGCACGTGCGCTTCAAGCAGCTGTCTGATTACTCTCACCTGGGGTGGGATGTGTTACAAGTGATGACCTAGGTCGCTATTTATTTATGAGTTAACAGTGTGGATAATTATAACATGATTAACACTGATAATCGAATAAATCTGGAACTTTCCTGCCGTTTTAATGGCACGATTAGAGAAAGAAGTAAAGGAGAAAGCAAGGCTCAGTTGAACTGAAATACCTCTTGGGTAACATGTGAGAGTTGTTTGCTAGCCTCGCCCAGGACTTGGGGTGTGTCGGTGTTGTGGGCCATCACTGCTATCTGCTGCGCTTTCTTCTTTAGCTCAGCCGGCTCACTGTGTATCACTACCTTACCTGAATCAGGGTTTAATATTGCATAACTAGTAACTTATCCTATGGCAACTCAAGAATGATCTAGATTCTAGATATTGGTGGATAGGTAAACCATACGTGTTTTAACACGTGACAGTGGTTCTGAGTTTTGATTGGTTGATCGCTGTCATTTGTCAAAACAATATGGTTAGCCTCTGCATCAGTATCCAGATGTATGTACGACTCTTGCTCAAAAATTACTATCCGATCGTTTAGAACTGATTTAAGGAATTTACCTTTGGTAAGAGGGCAGGTTGGAGGACAAGTCTCCAACTTCAGGACTGCTTCCAGTTTAGCTTGGAGCTGATCTTTGCCATCGTTCTTACTGAATCTCACCTTCTTCCTCTCAAGTTCCCGTCTCAGGGAGGGTATAGAGAGCTTCTTGAGGAGCTCTAAACTTGTTTCTGCGCCCAAACCAGCGGGAACCTGAGATAATTACATTAATATTTTATTTTTAAACATATTGCCTATTTGACTCTAACAGTGCAGTAAAAGCAAAATGTATGCGAGGCCGAGAAGGGAAATTTATGCGGGAAGGAAAGATAGGTGAATCTAAAGGGGCTCGTTTAGTTGGTCCTAATTTAGTCCAAGTTGATCCCTCGCTCCTTCGACCATTGTAGTCGCAAATAATCAGTGTTCTTCTCGAACTTTACCTGATAAACTCCTCTACTCTTAAGATGAAGAGGGCTGAGATACTTCAGTTTAGAGAATCCTCTTGAGACCCTCCTGTTCACTTTCTTCTTAGCTTCAACAACAGTTTCAGACCCACGAGAGGCACCCCTTCTGACCGTCTTCTTAGCATCAATAACCAGTTCAGATCCTTTTGAAACACTTCTTCTCACTTTCTTGTGAGCTTTTCCGATCAATCCAGATCTTCGGGAGACTCTTTTGGTGACATTTCTTTTGGTTTGAATGGTTTCAATAGCCATACTAAATCTCAAACTGATAGCAAATAAGAACGACTAGAAATAACTGAGGCAATGAAAACGATTTTTTAACTACACTAAAGACGAAAGTTGTCATTTTTATAGTGATTTTAGCTAACTGAAACAAAAGAAGGTTACTCTGTCTTCAATGATTAATAAGGGTACTGTTCCTGGTGACATGATACCCAGATATTGTCCACAGCATGTTATACGAGATGGTGACCTGGAGTTGGTTGCAGTAACAACCGTCTCCCTGTTGCAATCAGACCGGACTGTTCCATCAACACAATACGCTACTTGGATTACATCTGACACTTCTCCTTAATCAGATCGCAGATGGTTGATACAAAACCCAATGTAATCTCACATCTTTTTATCACATGACTGGCACTGATTGACGCTTGATTAGCACGTGGCTGCTATTTGACAGCCACGTGACTTCCATGTCAGGTGACATGAGACCCACCTGTTCAGTCTGCGTAGCGAGTGTGGCGGTTCCGGTCTTCTCCCCCACCACACACTCCACCTTCATGTCTCCCACGTCTATGATGAGGGGCGAGGCTGCGGTCATTTCACTGCAATCGTTATCTTCTGAAATTACAAGTAGGTCATTATGAGCAGGGTAATTACTAATTATCCGTAATTATCACCAATTACAGGTAATTGGTATAATTATACTTTAGAAACAGTACATGTCACAGTTGATTAGATGATCATTTGGCGGTCCACTACGCGGAGGTTCGAAGTTTGAAGTTTTAAAGGCCCGCTTACATGGAAATGTAACTCCGAGTGTAAATACGGAATCTCTTGTAATATCAAACCTTTCTCTTTCACAACATAACTCTTAGACCTAGCCAGAGGGCCCCCTCTTCTCTGGACCCTCACCTCCTCCCCACTTTCCTTACTCCCTTCCAGTCCCTCGAACAACTCAGAACTAGCCGCTAGTGAGATAAAACTCTGGGTCTCTCCGTTCGAACTCTTGCGGAGGGTTGGGGAGGTATCGTGAGTTGGAATATCTTCCTCGAAGGAGCAACTTTTCTGTCTTATCCGTTTCAAGCCTCCTAGAATCTTATTCTTCCCTTTTCTTTTTGGTATGCCAGATCTGTCAGGTCTCATGTAATTCTCTTCAACAATGGTTTTCGGTCGGTGATACCCAAAACTACGACTTTTCCAAGAGTTCCTTTTGAAATGATTACCAAGAGGATCACCGTTCATACATTTCAGATCATTTCCTTCCATGTAACAAGAACAGTAACGATTGACAAAGCGGGAAAATCGACCCAATTTGGTGAAATCAAACCACCCTCTAAAATGTTCAATGTTTAGTTTACTGGACCATCGGTAGCTAAACTATTAATATCGGGAATAGTTGCAATAACCTGTGTCTGCTGGCTCTACTGTAAAGATTAAAGACAACGCAATGTAATAATACCAAGCCGTAGAGGAGGTCTAGAGAAGATAATCGTGCAATCTCAAGCACAGCCTGAACTCTTACTATAGATTGAGGACACCTGGCCAGTGGTTGTCGTCATGGTTACCCTAAACATCTTCTTTTGGTTACTATGGAAACGGTGGATATTAAGGACCGGAAATGATGCGCACATGTGTGCAAGCATTAGCCACATAGGTTGTATGTTTGGGTTAGAAGTTGAAGAAAATTAGTACACAGTCGATACATGAATACTGGATAGTATTCAGTCGATACTGGCTACTGGCTGTTTTGGAGATTAAGGTAAATTAAGTAATGTCTTGGATATATGAGAGGCCAGCTGCAGCGGTGCATTGAGAAGTCATGATAGCGATATTACAGGTGGAGATGGCTTATACACATTACACAATGACTAATGATGATAACACTTATTGGCTCGTTTAACCGGCTATTAACCACTCTAACATCACGGTAATAAATAAACAGCTGTACGTTTGATAAGAGCCACCAACCTGCTATAAAGCGACTGCAAAACGACAAACTAAGATTTGGGTGTACTGCTATCCTAGTGTAGTAAACTACAGGCTTGTGCCCTTTCTTAAGGTTATAATGACTACATGAATATATTCAGATCACCCTTATGTGAAGCTCAAATCAAGGTGTCCCCTGTCCAGCACAGTGTAATGTAGAAGTAGCCACTACTTTGTTACTCGCGCCAAAGTACAAAAGAGTCTCATCCATGATTTAGATTAGAATTCATGGTAGATTTTACACCTATACTGTCATCTGAATTGGAAATAGCACCTTGGTAAGATCAGCTGCAATGCCACTGCATCTCACATACTAAATATACTAAACTATATAGCTGTAATATATAGATCCCCCTATTCTTACCTCTCAGGGTAACTTCCGTCCATCTCTGAAAACACAACAAGGATCGCACACAACCAAACGATCCTAAATACAAATACAGTCCTCGATAGCGATTACAACTTACGTTTACAGGTCCTGTAATAAGAGCCTAATGATCCATCGGTCTCTCTATACAACCAATCATTGTACAGTACTAGATCGATAAATATTATGTTCGATCATTCGTCCGTTTGGGCAGTAGTACTGTCAACTTATCGGACCAACAGACTACATCAGGAGAGCAATTAAAAACAAAAATAATTACAAAGCAGCCTAACGATAAAGCTTTATAAAGGTACGGTTATGTTGCAAATGGGTGTTAAGCATTTCCGTTTGGTGACGTCAGAGCCTTGGTGTGGGCGAGGTGGTCCCTGTGATATCTGGTACAGTAGACCCGTGTATATTGGTAGTGTGAGGTTCTGATTTACTACCAGGGTATTGAGCAGGTGAGTGTGATATTCTTAATGAGATCGTGTGAGAAAGTCTTTGTAACTTTGTCAGATCATGAAATTGGGTTTTGTAAATATTTATCATATATTTTGTCAGTTCCTCAAGTTGAGATCGTAACAATGTACCTATTTCCTATCCTAAGTAATCATATTAAACTATTAAATGCCGTTGGCACAACTGACAAACTCAATCTAAAATAAACTAATTTTAGATCAGTTCACTAACAGACATTTTTATTTTAGGTAGTTATGACCATGATCACCAGCACTCTGTCCAGCAGCGAGATCGCAAACAAGGTAAACCCTCCCAAAACTCGGAAAGGAAAGAAGATCCTCGAGTCGAGAGAATCCCTGATTGTTGAAAATGACAAGAAAACGATCATCCTGAAGGGAGCCAGCACAAGTGGTATAGTTAATGACGTTTTAGCGGATCTATTTAAAGTCAGACGACAAAACTCAGCGATGATGAATCAGAATAATCCTTTCCTCCCATTTGAAGATTCAGCGCCTCTCTGTGAGCTGATGAAGAAGAAAGACGCCAGTTTGTTTGTATTTGGAAGCCACAACAAAAAGAGACCCCACAACTTGGTCTTTGGTAGAACTTTCGATGGAAAGATTCTCGATATGATAGAATTTGGGGTAACAAACTTCAAGAAACTGAGCCAGTTCAAATCAACTAAAGTTCCTCTGGGTGCCAAGCCTTGTTTAATTTTCAATGGTGACGTGTTTGAAAAATTTCCCGACTGGGGGATTATTCAGAACTTTTTCTGTGACTTTTTCTGTACCACAAAAACGAGCTCAATCAACCTTCAAGGACTCGAATACGTAATATCAATCAGTGCAGTTGAACCAGATAACCTCCTGATAAGATCATATGAAGTGAACATGAAGAAGTCCGGAGCTGATTCCCCTTACGTTGAGCTTGTTGAGATTGGTGTTTCTTTAGATTTAAAGTTGAGAAGATCTCAATTTGCTCCAGCGGACATCAGGAAGCATGCATTGAAGGTTCCCAAAGCAGCGAAGATTGGAAAGACAAAGAATATTACACACGACATGGCGGGAACCAAACTTGCTACTGTTCACATGACCAAGCAGAATATTCAGGAGATGCCTCAATCCAAGATGAAGGGATCGTCTAAAAAGAGGGAGGCTAAAATGGAGGGAGCAGTTAAAAAGGCAAAGGTTGAAAAAGTTGAAAGTTCGCCAGATGTTGAGGAAGAAGCTATGGAAACTTCGTGAAGAGGGTGTGACGGGCTTTTTAATCTTTAACTCAGAGCTGACTTGACGAGAGTTTAATTTATTTATTTTATAACGGTGTCAGGATTTTTATTCGAACCAGTTTAGTTGCAGTTTTATCCGTTTTTATGATTGTTTTATTGCTTCACCCTGAACTTAAATACAATTAAGACTGAAATTTTGTCTCCACAAAATTTAGTCATAAATAATATGATTTAGTAACGATAAAGTTCCCTTACCATATCTGTTGATACCATGATTGCACTGAAAGAAGTAACTCTCGCTTCTTGCCGAGCGATGGTCCATTACTTGAACAAATCCGAGTGTCAATAACTGCATTCTAACATGTCACAATAGAAAAAATAAATACAAGTCCAGCAAATAAAAGTGTCATTTAAAGATTTTACAATGTTGGCCCGAATTTTGAATATATCGCATAAATAAGCAGGGAGTAAGTCCTAAACCGGCGAATTTTTTCCGTACTGAGATCAACAAACCTGCAAGTCTTAATCTTAAGAACTAAGAAAACCTTCTATTTGTCTAATTCCTTTATAGTCCAGGAACAAAGGTATAAGTTATACCTCAGTTGTACTATTTAACAATATATAATACTTAGTTTCAATGCATAACCTAAGTTTGTAATTTTACTACACATCATCGAGCCTGACAACCTACCTGTCATAACTTAGCCTGCATAATTACATAATTATGCATAATTACGTGATTACATTACAGTCTTTACAGGGTAATTCTCTGTCCTATCTCTCTAGGTTTGATCTAAATCCCTTTGATCCCAGGATGCTTGTATGCTCTCTAATTACAGACAATATGGTTGTAGTTGTAGACAGCTTCAATCATGGAATTAAGGCTAAATAGTAAATATTGATCTTCCTCCGCGAATGTTCTGGCATTTAAGTCTAAGATCAATGGCATTTCCAATAAAGATTGCAAAAAAGAATGCTGAACAATTCTGGTGAACTAAAGTCTTATAAATTAGTTCTCGGATGTCATGAAGAATTTACTTGTAACCTCTTGAGAATGTGCACGATAAAAAATTGCGATAATTAATTTTCTAATTCCGATAAAGGTTGCACGTTAACGAAAATTAATTATATTTTTAGGAAAACCAACAACAATTCACTCATTAATTGATTAAGCTTTTATCTAATTTATTACGTCATAAACTAACGGGGTGCCGCCCCCAGGGAGTGCGGAGGAAAGATGCACCTGCGGGATGCCCAATACCAGAAAGCTCACACAGACTTCTTTGAAGCGTTCAAGAATTACGATGAGTCTGGTAGCCCGCGGAGGACAGCGTGTCTCAAGTACCTGGTACTTGCGAGCATGCTCATGAAGTCCAACATCAACCCCTTCGACTCCCAGGTTTATATTTCAGTTCCGAGCTCCGAGTGTCTTAGCTCCTTAAACTATTTAAGATAGTGTCCTTATCGTGAACACCGTAACCAACTCAATTTAAATTATGTTTCGTTGTTGTGATGTTAGTCAGGGTGGTAATGGGTATCTGATTTCAGGAGGCAAAGCCGTATAAGAATGACAAGGAAATAATAGCCATGACAAACCTGGTAAAGTAAGTGACTTCCTGCTGAACTTAGTGACCCTGTTGAAACTAGTGACCTAGTTGAAACTAGCAACCCTGTTGAAACTAGTGTCCTAGTTGAAACTTGAAACTAGTGACCTAGTTGAAACTAGTGACCCTGTTGAACCTAGTGACCCTGTTGAACCTAGTGACCCTGTTGAAACTAGTGACCCTGTTGAAACTAGTGACCCTGTTGAAACTATTGACCCTGTTGAAACTAGTGACCCTGTTGAAACTAGTGACCCTGTTGAAACTAGTGACCCTGTTGAAACTAGTGACCTAGTTGAAACTAGTGACCTAATTGAAACTAGTGACCCTGTTGAAACTAGTGACCCTGTTGAAACTAGTGACCTAATTGAAACTAGTGATCTAGTTGAAACTAGTGATCTTGTTGGAAACTTAAACTTAGTCGGTCTCGACTTTTCTAAATCATCTCCTTTATCCGTGAATTCCCACGAAAGTTCCTTGAAATGTAACTGTTTCAGTGCGTACCAGAGCAGCGACATCGAGCAGTTTCAGGCGATTATAAAGGAGCACCACAGTAGCGTTATGGGGGACACCTTCATCAGGGAGCACATTGAGGACCTCCTTAAAAACATCAGAACAGAGGTTAACAAGTTACTAGGGCTGTTTTCACTTTTCCCAGGCATAGCTGCGGATTGGAATGTTGTAATTATATAATGTGCCGTTACGTTCGCTTAATTACTGTTTTATTATCCTACTTGATATTCCCCGCAGCTCTTAGCCATGTCTTCAAGAGGTTTGAATAATATACTAGTGAAGAAGTACTTTACGTATGTTTTTAGCTAAACAGTTGAACTGTCAGGTGCTGGTTAAGGTTATAAAACCATACACCCGATTAAAGATTGAGTTTGTGGCGAACGTACTCGGGGTTTCAAATGAAGAGGTTTGAAAAAGTTATTTTATAAAATGTATCCTAGTTGATTTACTATAAATCCATTGAATGTATTATTTTATATAGGTTATTGTATTTTCTATCAAAGTCAACACAAAAATATTGGAAGTCAAGAAGTAAGAAAGCTGCAAATGCAAAACAAGCACCTTCGACCAACTCTAGACTTACCGTGTGATAACCGTACTCGCGTTAACGACCTCCACTGGTCAGCGTTGTCATGGCAACCCCGACCTCCACAACGCAACTAATCTCTCCTGCAGCTCTGCCGTGTTAACAGCTTCATCAGGGAAAAGTAATGAGTAGTGTTCTAGGAATCTGTCGTGAAGTCTAACTCCTATCGTCGGAACATAACGATAAATGGGACAATATCTGAACTTGTCACGTGATCGGTAATACCGTAATTGTCGACTACATGAATATATGGGATGGCTGGTTAGTGTCATCAAATTCTGTTGGCAACCGAATAAAATAATTGTCGGTTAATTTATTAACTAAAAGTTAATAGTCTTGAAGATGACGGTCATTCAGATGGACCCACATCCAGAAATGTCCTTCCAGATACAAATAACTTATTATACGTGCCAGGTGCCTTGCAGAGTAGATGGAACCATGTCCTAAAAAAACGTATGAGTGCGGAAAACTTAAATGTTCGCACAGGCAGCACCGGAATTGAAGATATGATTGCCGCAGGCTAAATTTTTTGGCGATTTTGCCCACGCAGAAAGCCTAGAAGTAATTTGGCAGTAAAGATAATTTTCAAACACAGTTTCGAGAACGATTCAAAGAACTGTAGGGTTTTTCCTCCTTTATTTGTCAACAATTTTGGATTTTTTTTTTAAAAATTTTTTATCTAGACACTTATTTTACTTCGGAGTATTCCAACAGCCATATTGTTACACAAGTGCAACCAGCCAATTACAGGAAGCCGAAGGATTTGTTTTTAGCCATTGACGGTTAAGGTAGTGTGTACCATACTTTCTTCGCCCGAGACTTTGCTGCAATGTGCAGCTCCTCATTTAACCCTCACACCCGATTTCTCGAATATTCGGCTGAGTAGACCGGGGGGCTGCATAGACCACTCATGATCCTTAGCTGAACGTCAACGACGCTCACCCCACGACCAGGCAGACAGTGGGATTTGAACCCGCAACCTCACGATTGCAAAGCTGGCTAACCAACTGCGCTAACCAACTGCGCTACCTGGCCGATTGTTTTTAGAAAATTTCCTCTTTACCCCAAAAGAGTTTGACGATTTTGCCCTCGCAGATGAAGAAGCAATTTGGCAATATAGATCATTTATATTGTTGTGTTGATCATTTTCAAAATTGAGATCGTAGCCTTTTAAAATTTAAAATTTCCTCTTTGGCAGTTGGCACCAAAAATTTACTCGCAGATTATCTACCGATCTGCTATGTTTCTGGATGTGGGAAGATGGAGTATTAGTTTGTTTTGATACACAACTATGTAACTATGATTCTGGAATTTGATTTTGAATTGGATTGATAGTCAAAGGACACTCGAGTTTAAAGGATATTTTAAAAATAACTCCTAAAATATTGATCTACATATGATATTTATAATTATATCTACTAGAAATATAATTAAACGAACTTTTTCAAACGCGCCCATACATTAATACGAGAATCTACCACAACGTTCCCAAAATGGTCGGCATGGTCAAACCTTCTACTGTGACTTGTGATTACTTCAAGTTGCGTTTTATCATGATTATCTTAATTTAAATAGTTGCAAAACCAACTGCTGATAAGCAGTGTTCCGACAGATAAATTCCCGTTAACCATGGGACAATTGAATAGTTCTCTTGCATGAGAAATATAGAATTATAGAAATTATATAATTGCGATAACGTGTTTCTTAAACTCACAATCTATGTTGGACGGATAACTACATGCATTATCATAATAATCACCATGAAGGTCTAGATATTAGGGGGGAGGGGGCAACACCACCCACCCTAATATCGATAAAGTTTCTTTTCTTTATTTTTAGATCAAACAGCCTCGTCTCCTCTGGCATCTTCCACAACGATAGTTCCGCCATTTTCATTCTTATCTGCCGCAATGTTGACTAAAGCCACGGGTTGTTTTTCACTTGAGGCGCGTTTTTCAGGACCGAACGAGAGCTTTGAACTAAAGAACTTTTTCAAGGGATCTTGAAGCATTTTAGGAAGCATACTGTAATCGTTACAAGTACAACACAAATCACAATCAAAACAACAACGGTACGAACGGTTGTAAACACTGTGGAACCAAGAACGCTAAGCTGGCAATCGCAAAATGCTTCAGAATTATCTAGGTTGAACTTGGTTGAGTTGGTATATCCGCACTTGCAGTCTTGGAACGCTGAACTAGGGCAGTAGACATCAGGATCTGTTGATTCTTTGATTATCTGTTTCTCCTCAAGTTGATCGTCGTGTTCTGTTCTAAATGTAAAACAGTTGACATTCCCGTAATTTCCGAAGCTCATGTCCCTTCTACAGAATGATAAAGTAGGCCGTTCGCAGCGTATTCCGGAGGAGCAATATTGGTTCCAGCAGGCAAGGGTCTCGGATGTAGCACCGACCAGCAAACATGCTGCCGATGAGAGTAGCAGACACCACGAGGTAGTTGATTTCATTCCCTAAAATATGTTCACGATTAGAAATGGGGAGCAACTAGTTTCTCGCAGTGATCCGATCCGCCACGCCGCTGCCGATAGTTTTTGGCAGCGCCAAAGAAATTCAGCTTCAGCGGTTAAGAACAATACATATTTTGTTTACAGTCGCCTTGGTAATGCTGTAATGCTTGAGCCAGGTCACTTTGCACTCATTGTTGCGCGAAAAGAAACAGCGCTGGTACAGTGATGTTTAATGTTCATGTACTGGCCAGGGACTCCACGAATTTCTTGCGGTTGTTAAAACACGTTGTGGCAAATCTAGCAACGACTCTCGTGAGGTGGACTTGACTTTCGTTCGTGGTTAATTCAATGATTTCACTGTTGTTGCTGAACAAGAGAAACGTTACTCTAACAAGCATTCTTGACGCACGTGCAGTGCAACCAGAAGAACGTATCACGAAGAATTGTACAGTCTACAGACACGCGTAGCTGGCCGGATATCCGAGCAATTCTTAAATTTTATCATTAGCAGAGTGAAATTGAGGGAATTTGAATTTTTAAATGATCAAATAGGTATTATTCTAGAGCGTAAAGGTGAATATGTTTATGTACCGAAATTTGGGCCGAACATTTTTTGAACATTTAAAATATAATTTGAAACATTACAGTAACGTTATTCAAATCTCAAACAGAAACAGTATATAACAAAGTTTTGTGTTTTGATCATATGATCGTGGATGTATAGTGATTGATTGCATAATTTTGAATTTGATTGATGGTGATTGTGAGTGAGAAGATGTTTGAAGTGCCAGCCAGTAACTCTGTCAAATGAACAGCCCAATGAAGAGCGAATGAGCGCAATTGCGCAGGAACAGCAGAGAGGGTGGCACACACAGAAAGGACGAAACAAAAAAGAAAAAACGCCGTGCGCGGTAAGCTTGCCTATGTCTGAGAGCTGGTGTTACCTGGCAAGAGGCCTCGAAGGAGGTGCCGTGGTGGAGTGTGAAGGGAAAGTTCGAGAGCACGGCAGCTCTAACTGATGATGATGATTGAAGAAGGAGGTCGAGCGGGAAGCTCAGACCGACGAATGGTGTCAAAATCGCAAAATAAATAAATTCTGTTGACACCGCTATACACGGGTTCCTGCTAGTATGCATAAAGATTACGATGTAAGTGTAACACTGTAACACTGTAACACTGTAACACTGTAACACTGTAACACTGTAACACACTCCAATTGATAATAAATTAATTGAACAGTTACAGCAATAAATGGACCATAGGGCAAACTTGATGTACCTGATCCCACTAAAACTAAGGTAAAACGTTCTATATTAAAATAATTTGTCGATGCTTTGCGGTAGAGATTGAATCATGTAATCAATGACTGATGTCTGTTACTGTTAGTCTTATAATTCAGATATAGGGTGAGTCGTGTAACTGAGTCATGTAACTGTCCCGAATGTGCACCGCTCAACAGCGCGCCGCCTATAAATAAAAAACAGCAAACACTACGACTCACTGGTCTCCCGACACCTAAACCGGACAAAATGGAAGTACAACAAGCAAATAGGTATAACTGGTCCCGAGACCCGGTACATTTAAACTGCTCAGTTCTCGTGTGGCTGTGTTATGCCAGAGCTCAGATAAACTAACGACCGGTATATATGATATATGTGTACATTCTATATATCAGTAACCACAGGCATATTTTGAATATTTGAGAGGAGAGCTACACGTACGAATTATAGACATAATATACACAAAATGGAATATAAGAAGGAGTCATTTGTACTACATACTTATTTTTCCCGTCCTGATATTAGACGTCGAGAGCCGTGATTGGTGATCTTACCTTTTTAAAACGTGCAATAATTCAGTTTACTCACGGAGGGAAATAAAATTACTTTAGAAGTTAGCAAATCGTTGTTTTCATGTAAGAAAGAAATTTTCGAAATAGTTTTAAAAAATAAGGAGCAGTGTAACATTCTTTTGACCACGGGGCATATTCCAAGAGTTAAAATGGGTTGGGGTTGTAAAATATAACTACACTACATAATACTAGAGCTGAATTTAAATTTTCAATAAAAGTGCCCATTAAATATTAATTTACGTAATATTATTTAATATTTAAATGAACATTTCCAAAAAAGTAGCTATAGAATATCAACTTTCACTATAGTTTAAAATCTTCTAATATTTATCTCTGTTAATCATAACAATATGTGTCTTAAATCTTGACAGGAAATATCCTCTAGGTGGAACAACTACTGATTGGGTGCATACTGGACGGGGCAGTGAAAGGCAAGATAGACCAGCTCAGTAACACCTTAGTTCTTGACAAAGAACAGGAATCTCACCAACTCAGGATGTCTGGCTTGTCCGCATGGACTAAACAGATAAACGAACTGAGCGAGAAGTTAAATGTGACCGCCGGAGGAGGACCTGGTATGCGGTGAAGGGTGTTAAATGCCACGTCACTTTGAATGAGTATGACGGTATCTGGGTTGGAATTTGGTCAGTGACCCGAGCTGAGGGCTAGTGGCTTGCAATCAATATGGATGAGATAACTCGTGGACTGGGCCACAAATCAACAAAAAGACGTTCAAATTAATGAAAAGTCCTCCGGGAAAGTAGGATGAGGGAATTTATTGCTTTTTACCTTTTCTACAGAAAAAAGGATGCAATTTTGCCAGTCTTTGGAGATCAATTATTAAGTTTTAAACCATTAAATCTATATTTGATAGTATTTAAACGCTGTTGATTGTTATTTCATACCTTGATTATAATAGTTTGACATCTTGTTATCTGGTAGTTTCACAGTTTACAAACTACGCATCTGAATTAAAACACATCGGCTTGAAATGAATTTAATACTACAACTCAATTGTAGCTGTACAAATCTATAGTCATCCAGCTTATTCCAGGGCAAATATTCAATGAGAAATGGGATTGAATTGGACTGTGTAACAAATTATAATAAATGTATACATTGCAAGATTGATCTACAGGCAAACAAGTAAGTTCTCTACCTAGCTTGCTAGTCTATTGCTTACCTAGCTTGCTAGTCTATTGCTTACCAAGCTTGCTAGTCTATTGCGTACTTTGCGAGAAGCTCGAAAAGAGCGCCGCGCATTGTATTGGAACTGGCGTGCCAGGTAAGTATCAGTAAGTTCTTCATCTCTCATCTGAGCTCAGAACACTCTTGTGTTACTCTATTGTAAGTCAATTTTGGGTCTTACAATTATGTCCCCGTGCATCGAATGTATTTCATTTTCAATCAACTTGAGCGTTTCCAATTCTTCTTTACTTTCCCCTTCCTCCACCAAATCAAGGGCCTTAACTGCATATTCAATCTGCTCGATGGCCTTTGTCTTTAATTTGGAAAGCTCTTTAATCGCCTGTTCCGCTAGGTCAGACCTGGAGTAGGGTCTGGTCAGGAATTACTGGGATTTTATAGCAAAAATAAGTTACAAAATGCAACACTTTTCATTAGCATTAGAATGTTAAACATTAAACCAATCAAACTGAAACAATATCTAATGCTAATGGCCATCAGCCATGTCCAACATTATTTGTTCAATCGAAATTCAGCAATTCCATGTTAGGTACATGAAAAGCTATGCCTATATTGCTGACGGAAAGACGACATTTTGAATAATGGTCATATTACTTACTTAATTGTGAAGAAGGCGACGAAAACAAGAGTAAGCAACACCCCCGCAACGGCAACAGTCTGATACAATGTTATTTTATTTTTCGAAGCAGTAGCTTTCGTCTCTTGGCTTTCAGACACTTTTTTTTTCTTCGATTTCGTCTTGGGGGCTTTCTTTCCAGATTTGTTGGGCACACTGTTATCTGACCAAGCCACTGAGTCAAGGTCGCCAATTTGGACAGCATGATCCAATTCCCTTGAAGAGTTAGTTCCTTGTCCTTTTTCAGTGTCATCATCATAATATTCCATTTGTTGTTCCACATCCCCCTTTTCAAAGCTAAAATGTATTGCTGTACTGATTTCTGATAGCTTGGTAGAACTAGAAGTATTAAGTCCCAAGACTATCGAGGAGGGAGCATGGAGAGTGGAACTATCCATAGCAACTTGTCTGGTGGACCCAGATGGGCCCGCTGCCTCCATTTTCTGTCTATCCAGTTCACCGAGTTTACTTATTTCGGTAATGTTTTGTTTTTCTTCCTTGTTGCGATCAATACCATGAGCAAGCCATTTCTGTATTTCAGCTGGTTCGTTATATATTGTATCCATGTCATCCATTGGGATCTTTTCATATTCATTTTTTACGGTATCATTTAGTGCCTTGACTGGCTCTTTGATTTCCCGTTTGAAAGTGCCATTACTGTTACGTGCGAGAGCTTCATCCACTAAGAGAGCCTGCATGTTCGCGAGAGGACTGTTTAGTCCTTGGCTGCTGATTTTCGGTTTCACCGGATTATTTGTTTGATCCGTAGTCAGCAGTGTCTGTCCACTAAGTTCACGGGACTTGTTTTCGAGGGTATCGGCCATTTTCTGCTCTGCCTGGATCATTTTCTTTGATTCTAACCGACCATGCATTTCGTCCATTACGGAAGGATGATTTTGTGGGTCAGTCTTTAAAGATTTTTTATTGATACTTTGTCCTGCGCTCTCATTGTTAGCCTTGGCATTTTGTTCCGGCCAATTGACCAGACCATTCACTGGCAGCTTTTGATGGAGACCCACTTCAAGTTCAACCCTCTCACTTGGTGTTTCTGGTTTATTGAATATTTTCATGTCCTGATGTCTTTTTTTGACACTGACATCGTCAACTTGCTGAACGCCATCATATACTTTCAACTGTCTTGCATCTCTGTCGAATTTGTTGTTTCGAATGTTATTTGATCTAATGCTACGGTTACTTTTCTGAACTTGAATATTTTCACTCGATGCTGATTTTTCTAATTCTTGTACGTTCAGCATGTTGGATTTGTGTTCTGATCTTCGTTTATCATCTTCTGTCCGAACAAGGTCACCATCAATATCATCTACTCTCAACTGTCTTGCATCTCTGTTGAATTTGTTGTTTCGGATATTATTTGATCTGATACTACGATTATTTTCACTCGATTCTACCGGTTTTTCTAATTCTTGTACGTTCAGCCTGTAAGATACATTTTCTGATTTTCGTTTATCATCTTGATCTTCAGCCAAGTCACCATCATCAGCTTTCAACTGTCGTGCATCTCTGTTGAATTTGTTGTTTCGAAGGTTACTCGATCTGATGCTACGGTTACTTTTTTGTGCTTTGATATCTCCACTTGGTGCTACTGGTTCTATATGTTTTTGTTCTTTCAGCCTCTTGAACTCTTGTTCTCGCAGTTTGTCATTTCCATTGACAGGTTTGTTCGCTCCAGTTTCTCGACTTGAATCACAAACACGTCCAATAGGTTTTTCATCTTGACAAGATTCAACTTCCTCGTTTTGAGAGGGTCCTGAACCGGAACTCTCATCATCACACTCTTGAAAAGCTTTGATCATTTTATGAAGCCGGTCTTCATCTGCAGCACTTAATTTGATCTCTTGATTAGTCTTAGATTCGTTCTCAATTAATTTGTCATATTCTGTTGTGGTGCCCTTCCTCTTTTTTGACTTGAAAAATCTAAGAACACTAGAGGGCCGTCTGATTGGTTTACTTGATATTGTATCTGACTTCTTTTTTGATAAGGTTGAAAGCGGTAACTCTTTAAGTTTAATTGTGGTGTCATGGTTTTCTAATTTATCTTCGAACTTTGCAGACAAGCGTTCTTCCTCCTTTTTTAGTTTGTCTTGGTTGAAAAATTTATTTACACTAGAAGGTCGTCTCATAGGTTTAGCTGGTACTTCGTCTGACTTCTTTTTTGATAAGGTTAAATTGGGCAACTCTTTGATTGTGGTGTCATGGTTTTCTTCTTTCTCTTCGATCTTTCCAAACAAGCTTGCTTCGACCCTTTTTAGTTTGACATCACGTATTCTGTCTCTAATTATCCTGTCATTTTTTTGCACTTTGATGGACATATCCAGTGATCACGCACCTGAGACAAATACCTTAATTTTAAAATCTAAAATTTACCACATTTTTATCATGAGACGGTTAATGAGTCTGAACTTATTTAAGAGTTTAAGTTAAGGCTGATACAGGATAGGTAAAATTTAATGGTAAAGTCTTGTTATTTCATTCTTGTGAAGATCAGATCTAAAATGATTTTGCGGATCTTGCTATTCCTATTTCTACCTAATTATATTTTGGGAATGTACATAGTATCAGTAACTTTATTGAACCTACTGTTATCCAAGGAATGCAGATGGGCAGAGGATTGCGACTGTTTATTCGTGTAGTAGGTTCAAATAATCATAGTCAAAATCTGATAAACTTTCAAGCTGTAAGTGTAAATAATATAAAGTCATAAGACACGAGTGCTTCATGGTGTTTAAATCATTTAAAACAGACGAAAAATATATTGCGTAAGTTCTAACAGTGTAGTTATCTCATATGAACATGGCTCCTTCATCAAAACAACAGATCAGTATTTACTTTTTACGCCAAATATCATTCATCGTGAGATCGTATCATTGGGGTTTCTTAATCTGGTAGAGTTTTTCAAATTCTTAATTCAGCGTCTAGGTTCAGCCCCCTTTTTGTAAAGTTGGATCTTTATTTGTTATTCAAAACTTCAAAAACATTAAATTATCATAGCAATTGCCAAATAATTAAAAGGTTCGACCAGTGTTCAACTATCAATTTCCACCGTCCAGGTATAACTTCCACCATCCAGGTATAATTTCTCGTAGATTATGTATTTAATGTAATGATGTTTATAATGATTATTTGTGCTAGCAAACGATGAATATAGAAATAACAAGGCCTTGCAGTTGGAAAATATTGCTCATTCAGCTCGAAATCACATCCCCTCAGGCTTTATCTTAGTAGTCATCAAATTTATAGCCTTAAATTAAGTCTTAATTTAAGAAAATCGAAATGAATCATCGAGTCTTAATTTAAGACTCGATGATTCATTTCGATTTTCTTATTTAGAGTTATGAGATTCGTCTTCAAGCTCTGAATCTATGTCTTTGTGCACTTGGGACAGTTCCTCCCTGATAACGCTTAGAATCGACAGTTTTGATTTGTCATCGAGCGCTATATCGTTGTCAATGTTTGACAATCGTTCAGCGATGTCGCTAAGAAGCTGGTTGTCTTTTCCTTCCTCTTTTTCTATCTCCTCCTCCAATTTGTATCGGCTGAAAACAAAATTAGATTGTACTGAGAATTAGATAATTTTTTGATCAATGTTTCTGGACAGACTTAAGGCTAAGCAACAGGAAAGATTCGCACTTTGATCCGAATTTAAACTTAAATCTAACTAATATTGCATAACTCACTGAACGGTGGATATCACGAAAATCAAGGCTAATGTAACAAATATCACAGCTGCCACAATACGAGCAATGCATTCACATGTCTCAGGACGCGGTACCATATTGTTTCGCGTAGTCAGGTTCAGCATTTCTTTCTTGGCTTTAACAAGAAGTTCCTCTTCATCACTGGAAGGTTGTTCGACTCTCAGTAACGGGATTTCTGTATTCTGCTTGGGTTCTGAAGCGAATAACAACCGTTCATGGAAAATTGATATTTAGGATGCATTTTACATCATCAGAAAATCATCAAAAGTTAAATAGTAAAGCTAACAATTTTAATGGTTACAAGTACAACTTGCATCCAATCTTTAAATCAATTGTTTATTTAATTTTCCGCTTCATCTGCTTACACTTACAGGCAGGTAAAAAGTATAGTGCTTCAGACTACATACTTTAAATGGTCGATCTTTATGATATGGCAGCATTTGATAATCCACAAAAGGTTTAATATACCGTGACTAAACGACCAAGATAAGTGATTTAAACATGCTGTCATCTGCCCATGCTTGTAATCAACCTATCTGTCTTGATACCTACGCTGTTGACTACCAAATTTATTGTTTTCTGGTCATTGTCGAACTACTCGTTTTACTTTTAGTCTTTACCTGAACATTATGATTATAAACCCCTCCGGGTTAGAATAATCAGCCGGGTGGGCGGGATAGATTCTGATAGTGATAATCCTGGCTCCTGCTGTTAGTCGCTTACTCTTAGTGTTAGTTGTTTCCTGCTTAATAAATAACCCCGGTGGCGGTACAGCTTCTATAATCCCGCCCCGATAATTTGGCTCAACAAGATCTATTTTGTTTTAATATTTCATGATAATTTATTCCGCGCACTGTCATGTATTTTGATGACGTGTATCACGTGACTAACTAATTACTAAAAAATGTCACGTGACCTATTGCTTAACGTAAGAGCTATAAATACATTTAATCTACGTATCGGTTTAAATGCAGGCGATGGCAAAACTCCAGCACACTGCGTACAATTACATTACTTAAACTCTTACATTACTTGGACCAGTTCCAGAACTTGTCTCGACGGTTACATTTGTCCGGTAAATTTTGGCGTAGCAATTGCACTGTTTGATATGAGCCATGTATCACTATTATCATAGTCGTAAACTTTGATGAACTTCATGACACGATAACATTATCAGCTCCACCTTTTATCGCTTGCCAGGCTTAACTCGACGCCCCTTATCGATATTCATTCTAATAATGTTTAAATAGAACGCCAATTTCAAATGTCATAATACCTTAGTTTTCTTTATTTGGTAGTATAATATTAATACACGTCCCGTCGTCCCAATTCCATTTCATATTTTTGATATACTGATCTCATAGTCGCATATAGCTAGAATTAAGAGTAAAAATGTATGTAAAATTTATTCGTCCTAACACTAACACTAACCCGGAGGGGTTTATAACACAAAACACGGGCACGCTTAAGTTATATTAATACAACCCCTCGTGCTAAATAAGCACGTCAGAGTTATTTTCATAATAATCCCTCGTGCTTTGAGTTTGCACTCGAAATTATTATCAATTTTTTCGCGCGTCGCGGGAAAAATTAAAATATAATCCTTGCGCATGCCGAAGTTATGTGTGTTATATGGTATGTAAAAGGTAAACTGACCTTCTTCTATTATATTGACAGTCGTATATTTTATTAACAGGTCGATTGTTGATGTTGTGCCTTAATCCTTTTTAAATTTCAAGCAGTAACCAGTTTACTACTGCGTTAATGATATTTTGAATATTTATAAATATTGCTATTCTGACTCACGAGTTTCTACCATAAAGCTGGTTTCCTCATTTTTTTCCTCGATAGGCATTTGTTGAGATCTGTATTTAGATTGCGTCCATCTTGTAAAGGGGTTCATGCTTTTTAGGGATGAAATAGACTTAACCGTATCGGATGAACGAATTCTTTCTATCAAAGATGGTTTGTGTTCAATGTCGTTTTCTGCACCACACGAATCACAAGAATCCTCCGCATTAACTGTAAGGTAATCACTGTTGCAATTATTCTCCGTAGCAATACGTCTGACGTCCTTTTTGATACTTTTAATGTTCCTTTCATTCCTGATTCGGTCCTTTTTCATTACTGTCATTGCGTTTCGCCAACTGCAATCAGAAAATAAAATGTATTCATAAGTATGGCCTTTCGGTAACTCAAAATATTACGTGCTCTGAGATAATATTAATTAATAATCATTTTTGCTGATTAAACCATGAAATTAGCCTAATAAGCGAATACATTTTAGACATTTACTTAAAACTTACTTAATTATAGTGAATCCGATGAATAAAAGTGCACTGATCAAAGCTATCGTTGCCAAACTCAAGGCTATTACGTCCCTCATCAGTGCATGCTTCGTTTCAGTTAGATGGTCTTTTTCAATTTCAATCACATTTATATCTTTAAATTCTTGATCTTTATTGACATCCTTGTCACCTATTTCCTTTGTTGTTTTTTTGTTCGTTGTATTATTGACTAATGCTTTGTCATCAGATATTTTATCGCTTGATGCCTTTTCTATTGGAAATATGCCATCATGTGGCTTTTCAATTGGCACCTTGTCATCGGATTCCTTTTCAATTGGCACTATGTCATCAGATTCCTTTTCAATTGGCACTATGTTATCAGATGCCTTTTCAATTGGCACCTTGTCATCAGATGCCTCGTCACTCGGTTCTACGAGTACGAGTGTTGGTATATCTACGAGAACTACTTTTTTATGGTTACTGGGTGTTTTATCCGAAGCATCAGATTTATTGCCGTGGACTTCACTCTCCAATAGTGTTGGAGAAGTAATATTATTATCGGAATGTGATTGATTGGACGGTTTTAAAATTTTACTCGTCTCTATCCTCAGTCGACCGAAATTGTTACCAGCGGATGGGTTATCCGGAAAAACAAGCTCAATATTCTTTGAATCTGTCTCATCGTTATTTAGCTTTTCTTGAAGGTTCTTTTTGAAGTTACTTGCGGCATGATGGTGTGGTGCCACGCTTTTCATTTTATCTGCATTTTCAACCAGTTTTGCAAGCTTAACTTCGTAAGCCTTCAAAATATAATCCTTTTCGGTCCGTTCTTTTGGAGATACACCTGAAAGGATACATGGTACGAATTCGAAATCAAAGCGTTTAAAATGTTACCACAATTTTATCATTTGTATTTGAGCCTCGCCGTTTCTACGACATAACTGTCCAATATTAATAAAGATTTGGTTGTGATCTAGGTACCAATGCAGCTGCAATTTTAACACTACAAATCCCGACAGCACATTTTGTAATTTTGGCAAGCTATTCGGTAAGCTAGAAATCATGCACTGCGCCTTGACTTAATCAGTTAATACAACGAATTTCGATCGTTTGCACTTTTTCTCAAAAATTAAGAATATCAACTTCAACTAACCTTTGAAACAGAAGAAGAACAAGAAGGAAATCAAAAATGAACCAACACATACAGATGTCATAGTGACTGCGAAATGCAAAGGTATTTGGATTCCTTTGTGGGACGAGTAGACATTAATCTCAAAGAATAAACGGAATACTGATTTTCATTTACAAAGCTACATTTTTCAACGTCTGAAAGTGACTCCTTCATAAATGAAATAGCCATCGACAGAAAAGTTTAAACGTTTGGGCGAATGAAATATTTATAATTGATGTTTTGGGAAAAAAGTGATTAGTTTAAAACTAATTACAACACTAAATTTATTCCATTTATTGAGCTATGTAAGAAGTAATTGTAACGTCGACAACTATTTGTTTGAAAAACTGAGTGGAGACTCTCACTTTGTCCCAAAACATCAATTATATGATCGACCCACTCAAAAGAGCGAAGACAGATTATTAGAATGAAATATTTTATGGAACAGCTACTAAAAATGCACAAAACTGACCTATTGTCAGTCTACTAAATACAATTAAAAATGACATAATTTACTCCTTCATCAAAATAATTAATGTTTATCTGTATCATTTTTTTTTTTGGAAAACGAAATTAGATATATACAGAATAGTATTACAGGTTATATATTATGAAAATCATCATTGCAAAAATAAAACCCAGTCCATGGGACTGAAAAAATTAGTTGACTTTCGATTCGAAAGAGTTAAATTCTAAATCATCCATGTTAGATAATTCATAAGTTTTGTTTGAGGTATTTCTTGATCCTCTAATACACAATAAAATTAATTTCCTAATTAAAAATGATAATTTACACCGATAATAATTTATAATATCGTTGTAATTCTGCTTCTTCTTATAAGCAAGTTTGTTGCAAAGCAGTTTCTCAAATGTCCTGGCTTGAGGTCCCATGCCACCCGTTACTGAATATATTAATGGAGCGAATGACCCGTGCTCTACATTAAGTATTCTCTCGTTGTAGCATCGTGTTTTCTGTCTCTCGGCGTTCTCCATTGTCTTCTTTGTCGAATGTTGAAGGTAGGAATTAGAATTAGGATTAATTACCTTAACATCGAAAAAAGCCACTTGGCCCGGCCTATAGAAACCACGAGCTCTAATATCGGGTCTTGCCTGGTCACCCGTTAGTGTTGAGGACCTCTTGAACTGCTCTCCTTCTAGTTCTTGAAGCTGAGGTTCAACTTCCACGTCCGAGCAAACAGTTTTCAGCAAGCCAGCTAAAAAATCCCTAATTTCATTGTGTCTGATAATGATGTAGCCACCAAGATGGCAATTTAGCGAATGGTTCACATCAAACGTTTTTCCGCATGGACATTGTGATGGCAAACGATCCAGATCTAAGTTGTACCGCAATCTGATAGAATCCCTGAATTCAGATTTATTTAGAACGAAACCATGTTTTCTAAGTGGTAAACATGAGAGCCAATTTGAGCTCCCTGGTTCGCTAATCTGCTCCAAAACCCTTGCAGTCTTCTTATCAACCTTTTTAAGTATCTCCTCTTGTTGTTCTTTATATTCCAAAACACAACATGTCTTGGAGCTCTTCTGTCGATTCCGTGTCAGTTGCAGCAAGAAATTTGCCTTTCATGGAATTGACCAGTCCCCGGGTTACCAAAAGCGATGCAGCATGTTCTCTTTTCGCTAGATACTCCAACTGTGGCATTCCCATACCTCCGTTCTTTAATGGTAATGACATAAGCTCTCGGTGTATAGGAGATACTGGACAGCCAAATATAGTTGGAATAAGCTCATGAGTAATTATTTTGTCAAGAGGGCCCATATAAGAGCTGATATCTAGTGTCCTCATAAAATATGTAAATTTGTGGCGGACACCATGCGTAAAACAAGCGTAGGCTGCCTGAGGCTGTGATATGGCAAACTGTACTAACTTTTTTAGCATATCACTCCACTCAACTATAAGGTTGTTAATGTAGGTATCCTTGAATTCAGGAGTCCCCAGCACAGCTCCTAAATGTCTTTGGCCATCTATTCTGATATCTATATTGCATTCGGAAAATATTTCCTGAGCTGAATGTAAATGTTCAGGATTTTTCAGGATTAAGCAAGATTTCTCCTGGTTCACGAAGTAGCCATACTTAAGTCCTTCTTCAATGATATCTTTCCACCAGCCTAAAAGTGCGTGAAGAGTACCCACTCCTGTGGCGTCATCTGCTAACCATACTTGTGCCACTTTTTCGTGATCTTCTAATTTCCGTAGTACTGGTAAAGTTGCAATGGCAAAGAGCGACATTGCCAGGTTATCGCCCTGGGTTGTACCCTCCCGACTTGGGATTTCAGCTCCCCCAACAAATAGCCGGCAAGGTTTCCGGTACATGTTGATTGCAATCAAGCTTAACTCCGGGCATAGTACTCTCACGTTGTGTAAGAGAGCTTGTCTGTTAACAGAATTAAAAGCGTTACTGGCGTCAACTAAAATCACCGCTTCCGCAGATTCTGTTTCGAATTGCTCCCGGATGTAATGCACTGCAGCTTCCGATCCACTTTTCAGTCCTGTACAACCTGCAGTGGTCCAGCGGCAACTTGGATGGCTGTTTTCAATTCCCAACTCAAACATTTTCCCACTATTCGTCTAATATATATAAAGGTCTCCCCAATTCCTATTGGCCTCACCCCTGGGCACTTGTTAAGCGGTATGAGTCTACTGTTAACGTAAGAGTCTAACAGATCAGGATTATACGGTTTTGATGCGATCAACCTTGCAAACTTAGCAATCTCATCTCTCAGTTTCTTTCCTTCGTCTTTAAAATTCTTATGCGTCAAAATGAATCTAAAAAAATCAGCATCAGTTTGTGATGGTCCAGCAGACCCGTTACTGTTAGTAAATTTTGCCGCCCTAAATACCATTGTTTCATCTATATTATAAAACAACGATTCTTCTATTTCTTCAATTAGTCCAAAAAGTAAACTATTCTCCACTATAGGCATTGGTTCTGGATGCTTCTTCAATAGCTGGTCCATAGTCTCTGTAGACATTTCTAGTATTCCTTTATTATCGTTATCACACAACATGCGCACCGCAGAGCTGACTTTCCCTTCAAACATGAGGTTGGCAAATGTTCTCGCACAATCTTTTTCTTGCTTCCGAGAGCTCCTCGCTAGTTGTCGCTGTATAGTTCTTGCTTCCCTCATGAGTGCAGAAATATTCCCATGCCTCCATGATTCTCGTTATTTGCTACAAGAGAAATGTCATTTAATTTTAAGGACGCGAGAAGAATTTGGACTTCTCGAACTACATTAGTATTACAATTACATACATTTCTTTTGTGTGAATCATCCGGACAATTATATCAAAAGAGGAAGGGATTGATATCGTTATTATGGAACCAAAAAATCGTATTTACATAATTTACTAAATGAAAAGTTATAATTGATTGAAAATACAGATTTTTATAAATTTTCATTAAAATTTCAATATAATAATCCGATTACCGATATAAAATTATTTGTCTTAGTGACTGTGGTTGTAGAAACAGCAGACTGTTCAGAATTATCATTCACCCGATCGACGTAGCATCAACTATTTAATATTTTTCTGGTCACTCTTCTTACATCTAGTGACCTCTAGACCGGGAGATTTATGGAAATTTAACAGTTTTTATTTCTCTATCACATGATTGTTTTCTTATTCTATCGCTGATGATCGTACATTTGCCTCTGGGAACTTGGTTGAATACCAAATTAAAAGAAAAATTTGCTAACTGTTTCAGTAATCAGTGTTAGTTTTTTACTTATTGTCACAAAAATTGTCATTGAAGTTAAACTAGTTTTTTCGATATATTCAGAAGATATTGTTAATCAAAAGCATCACAATTAGAAGCATACATATTTTCACACTTATATTAAAAGATGAAAATGAATGTAATCGTGAATCGGCGACCTCAATTTCAAAATATAGTCTGAATCTAAAATACTATACTGAAAACTATGCAAATACGATTATTGAAGTGCATGTATTCAGAGGCGCAGCCTCTACTCTGATACACAGTTATCTTGTATCGTATTCAGCTGTTTCATTCTTCGGGACTCATCGCCTCCTCCGCCCGAATTAAATGATGCCCAAGCCCCAATGTGACTAAAATGATGGATGCACAAATTTGTCCTGAACCAATGCATCTATTTCTAATCTGAATCATCTTCATACTCGAGCAGTTCATCTCTCTCAGTGGGATCCCTGTGAATGGCCGATGAACGCAATTTTTTTCCTCTACTTGATTTTCTAATTCCAGGTGGGGCCGGGCGTGCCGAAGTTCGCTTTGAGACCTGTCCGGTCGATGGTTCCGAAACATCATCGTTTCTATAGTGACTGGAAAATATTCCACTTTTAACTGAAACTCTTTCAGTTCCAAGACTGCTTAACGAAGAATCTTGTGATAATGATATGTTGTGTCTAGAACCCGAGTTAGTTGTACCACTTGGACCACTACTATCATCTGCAATCGCTTTGTTCACAAGTTCCTCGAATTCTTTATGTTTATGGAACTCATAGATGTCATTTTCTTAATCTCATTTCTCATACTTTTTAAACTTTGGTTGCTTTTCATCTGATCGATTTTAATTGCTTTCAAAGTTTTTCGCCACCTGAAAATGAAAGAATAACAGAATTTGGCAGACTAAAAGTAAATGTGCAAAGGATCGAATATCCGGATTCTAGCCTTAAACTTAAAGTCGTTCAAGTGTGTTTAGTTGTATACTCGCCCCCAAAAATGTAACAAATTTTTACAGCTGAAAGCTGTGAACTTACTGCACTGCAGTGAACACTATGAATACTGCCGCACAAAGGAGAGCGATAGCGGCAACAGTCAGGGTAACCACGTCGGTCGACGCAGTCTTTTTTTCGTCTCTACCTCGCTCTACTTCAATCTTATCATCCCCAGTAGCAGTGGCTACTGCCTTGAATACAGGATATTCTTGATTGGAGCTTTTTTCGTTAACGTTCTCCTTGTTAACAGTATCAGTACTGATAATCTTTTCAGCATCAGGAGATAAGTTGGTTCTTCCTATTCCAACGTGCCCAAAACTGGGATTACCAGCCTGCTCTAGTCGCTCCTGCTCTTTAGGCGGTTCATCATCGTCCAGATCAAGCGTATGCCAGGTCCCTCGTTTACGTTCGATCACTGAATCTAGAAGCTTCGGTGTGTCAGGTAGGACAGGGTAGTTAAGATCATTATCAGTGATGACTTCCTCATTTTGATTATCAAGATCTGTCTTTTGTTCAAGACCAGCTAACTCTTTCTTCAGGGCTTCGTTTTCGACTTTGAGCTGAGCTAGCTCCTCGAGATAAATTTCGTCGTGGTTGGAAACCTTTGAAACGGAAGTTTTGTCACTGTCTGTGCCCAGTAATTTGTGTGTAGGGGCATGACTCTTCAAGTTCTTTGCATCCATTTCTTCAAGTTTGTTTTTGTAAGTCTCGAGAATAAACGTATCACTTTCAATGAACTCATCACTTTGAGGAGATACCGCGGATCTTCGTAATAACGGTACTGAAATGAGCCTTTGTTGTTGATTGGTAATGAGAAATGTGACATCAAAGCTCTACTTATAGTAATAATATCCTAATATAGCTTGTTTTATGACCTTGTGATCAAGAAATGACGGTGTTTGTTTGTTGGATGATCATTGCACTAATCGTCAGGATCTAAAAAGGAGTAATAATGAGCCGTGACTAACTTTTTTGCAAATGGTTAGCACTAAGAGTCTGCCATCATTGCTAAATAGTAATAGTCATTAGGCGTTTATCATTAACAAACCTCACATTATAAATATTTCGACGCTTTTTCGATCTTGTTTGATAATATTACCGTGAACTGGTTGATTTCAACGGATAGCTGCATATTTTGGTAAGATCGGAGTGCAAAATAACCCACCAACTGAATTTAATGGGTCTTGGGCGAGTCAGACCCGCAAAACCTAATTGATGCGACCTAGAGTGACTATCAAAAGCGGCTGCCGATTATTGTTTCTATGCTTTGAAGTTTGAAAATTACCTGTTCTGACGAGACCAAGATCCAAAAAGCAGAGCAATATAAACGCCAAGCGACCAGCTAGATTGGGTTGTTTTGATAACATCGATCCGTGGTAGTAGTGCTTTAAAATATTAGCAGCTTGAAAGTAAACGAATAATATTGAAAAACAAGAAATATTGCGCATGTGCAATAGCGCGCGATTTGAAAAGATCATACGTTGTTACCAAGGCAACGGCGTCCTGCGCGTGTGATCGATACCAAATCTAATTCTTGCAGTTCATTTTTATAGCAGTTTACACATATGTCAACCTTAAAACAAGTGCATTATGTGGTCTACAACATGAATAAGGCGCATTTGACATGATCAAGCTAGTTTTAGATTGATCATTTTTAAGTGATTCTAAGTTTGCTTTATTGTTTGGCAATAGCCGATTAACGTTTTTCATATCGCTTATCAAATATCAGTTATCGTTGCCAATGAAGCCAAACATAAACAATTCAATGCTATGTCTTTTGTTAACTTCCTCTCCTTGCATAATCAAAGTAAGCGAAGCTTTTTGGATATTTAATAATAGCCTTTAATTTGACCTAGGACCGGGTCATCAAAGCCAAACAATTAAAGCAATTTTCCTTTAAGTCGGGCCCTGGCAGGTTAGATTATGTGACTATTAAAGTATTAGCTGACCTTTAGTCTGAAGTCTGACTGAAGACGGTTCAATAGATCCTTACCACGTGACCGCCCCACAAAGGTCCAAAGTCCGCTCTCTCTGGAAGTGCAGGAGGGCTATGGACAATCACATGACAGGACGTTCTGGCGCCTGATTGGCTCATGGCTTTGGTCCCTGACGTGGTGATTGGCTGACACTAGGATCAAAGTACAATTATACATGCTTGTATTTCATTGCACTGGTGCACACTATTAGTAGAGCACTAGAACCCTTGTTCAGGGTAAATTTGTCATGGCTGCCATTCTAATAACCATTTAAAATATTGCCTTGTTGTAGTCTTTCGTTTACACCTTGTTGTAATTGTAATACTAATAAACTGAAATTAATCTTCTACATATTTCATGCTTCTTGTTTCTCCTCACTGGTCTTTGCGTTATTTCACCACAAATCAATTTTCTCTGGGAATAAACGTAGCATACAATGGAATCTTATATTCAGAATCTGTCCGGAATTTTCGTTCATTATCAATACAATCGGCAAATGGACCAGCTTCTCTCTCGTCTCAACTTGCAACTGGACCGGATATCAAGGAGGGATGTTTTCTGGCAACTTCCCCGAACTACCAATTCTCCTGATCTAGATGGATCGCATTGCTAATTTTTTGTTTCCTCCTTTTGACAGGATCGGCATTCTTTATTTTACTTACTTAACTTACTACTCTGATTTACTCCCTGATAAAGTTTGTCATAGTTTGGCGCCACTGAATCGCTTGATCACCCGCCAACAAGGCCAATGACCATTGGAAGTGATGATTTGCAAAGATTTAGGTCGGTAACGCCAAAAAATCTTCATATTGTTTGTTTTATTCATTTTCTTTATTGCCGTTGCCAACGAAGTACCAGGCCATACCATTTAATAAAATCGCCCACTGTGAGGGTGGTTTTGATTTTTGATGTTCAGCTTTGGTTCAATGTTATTTACAGATCATCTAGATAATCAAAGTGAAACCCAAGCTTTCCATTTTCATCTTGAGCAGTTTGATTGTTGATGTTTATTGTTTATCCTGTCTTCGACTGCACTGATGAGGTAATATTTCAAACCATTTTTGACCAATCATTGATATGGACTTAAGATACACTGCTTGTATCCCCGGAAGTACAACGGTATAGGAAACTTTTGACATATTGGGGACCATTTCAAACCGTCTTAGTTTGGTGCTTAGCTACCCAAGTCACACGTGATACGTCTGTTTAATCTCGTGATACAGTTAGCCCGCTGTTATTGGTTAAACTCATACTTGTGTGATACTTAACTCTTTCTAGGCACGGGACGTGGACCGCGGTAAAACACTGCGTTTAGAGCTAATTCAGTAATTTCATTAGCTGGTTTATAGTGTTTTGCATCGAATGCTTTAAATTTCGCAGATTCTAAAATCTTGATCAAAATAGATTAAGATATAGTGGTCCTTTTTTTTCTCTTTTTTGTCGTACGAAAAACTGCAGGAGTATCGTTAGTTTTGAAAATGCAACCAATGCCAGACCCGCAACTTAATAAATAAACCTGCTTCTTGAACTAATTCCAAGCCATAAAGCTTGAGGTTAGAGTTAGACTAGATGAACCCGGATGTAACTCCACTTCTATTTTGGTTCGGCAAAATTTTGGCATGACTTTTCCTTTGAAGTTAGAGGCTGGACCAGTGGAACTATCCGTTCAAGCACTCCGCCACAGAGATCAAGCCAGTTTATTTGACGGGTGCAACTCGCCGCTACATAAAACCTCCTGTTTAGCAGCCGCAATACTGAGCAGTAGTAAAAGTAAACTTCCTGTTGGTTGTACTATGGGTGCAGCTGTGAGGTGACAGGTGAACAAACAACCAGCTCTGAGAAACTTGGTACTGATCAACTTGCTTAGTTGCAAACTGTAGAGTTGGTGCCGTAACTAGGTCGCTTTTATATTTACCTTGTTGTTTGCTTTCACGGACTCGTGCGAAGCTTTATTTTCAAATCATCATGGTTCTAAGGTTTACATACGGTGCCTTATTAAAAGCTTGCTCTAGTCTGGTAACAAGACAGTTCGACAATGTTAAGATGTGGTTTCTACGGCTAACTCTATCGGTTGATTGTTTAAAGGAACGTTAGTCTATATTGTGTATGATCCAACTAAATAATAGAATAATGTGTAATAAAAATAAAAAACTGTTAGAATTTAATAACGCTCAAAAATGCATTTTGCTATTCGATTCGAGGATTTAATAGCTTCGGCTAATATAATATTTTAGCACGTTAACGTAAATACCCGAGTATGGCCTAACTAGTATGGATTATTGAAAAAATTCGCGTTCTTTTCGTGCATTTTCCAGACTTTATTCTTTTTGAATGAAGCTCTACCGGTTTCAATAAAAATTGGACAGAAGGGCCGGCCAAATAAGCGACGATATGGTATTTTGTTTGCTTAATTTCGAGTCTCGCTAGTGGGTCTGGATTTTCTTTGGTTTGAATGCTGTTTATAATGGAAGAGGGTGGGAAAAAGAGTTGTGAAATTAACAACGTGTTGAAATGTTTACTAGCCAGTGTTGGGTCAAGGTTTCCTGGCTATTATAGATGTGCTGAGCGATTTTGTGCGTGATGTTTATTATTGAGCTGGACCACAGACCAGTAGATAAATATATCTTCTTAACACAGCACGGTGTGTGCCACGTGAGGGATCACATCCATTATACTGAGCGGTGTCATGAATATTATAGGAATAATAAATAGGTATATCATTGTTTATATCTCCAATGATATAGTACAAGCAGCACCATCAGCAATGCCTCGTGTGCCTCCACTTCTATAATACTAGTGAACTGGGCCCTAGTCTAACCTGTCTGGCACTTGTCTACCGTCTGGTCGTAGTCTTCCACCTATACGTACCACCACACTATTAGTATTAATACTACTCGGCTACCAGTACCACTAGGGTATGAGTCATCCTAAAATAACTTGGTCCTTCCATGCACCCCTGGCCTCGTTCAGATCATGGCTGTCTTTTGTCCTCCCAGACCCTGACCAGGTTCAGATGATTGTTCTTTGTCCACCCTGACCCAAGCCTCACAACTCTCTGTTGTACAAGAACATTTTCCTCCGTTAATATCATTGGGGGAAATGAGAACGCACAATAAGCTCACCCTCATCGTACCCTATCAGAACGTCTCTCGTTTGTCTCAGTTCGGCAGAATACATGGCAGGTGTATCACAGCTAGTCGGGCTGTAATGACCCACCAATTCATTAATGGAGTTCATCCTTACTTCACCACAATAACGTGTTTCGCTGAGTGGGAGGAGGCAGCTGCACCTCTAATTGTATTGTCCTCCTCCCGCAGGGCAGATTGGGAACCTACCCCGACATTATCCACACAAATTATTATCCTTGTGTCATATCTCCATCCCTCACAGTGATATCACAGTGATATTACTTTCGGCAGGGATATGCTGTCATACTCCATCAACGACTTCTAATCAACGACGGCATAAATAATGCGATCCTCGTCCTTTATAATTGAGATCGATTTTAATGATCTCGGTTTAATAATAATATGACACCACTTAGAGCTTCTCATCATGTCTGACAGCATAAGAGCAGCTCTGTAAATGTAGAGACGAGCTCTCAGCTCTTCAGACATTCGTTTAGAGACTTGTTAGAAGTATATTACCTGTAGCTAGTTCAGCCTTGTCGCTCAATAAAACGAAAAAGCTTAGGTTTCAGAGCAAAATAAGTTTTTTTTGTTGTTTTGCGGAGTACGGCGCGGCTCACCAGATCGTGCGATGCTTAGTCGCTGTGTATTGTTGTGCTGCAAGCAAATGACCAAGGGATATCTCTAATCGACACGATAAATGCGATGGATAAAGTAATGTTGTCTTATAGTTATATGTTGAAATGCCTCTGCCGTATGCTCATACAAATGGAAGCCATGCATTTTGGGTCGTTATGATAATAATATTTTTGTACCACAGCTGCAGAATTTTGTTTATCGACCTAAAATTGGTCCTGTCTAGACATTTGATAAAATATTCTGAAGCTGTTGATGCCCTTCAATCCTTCATTCCATGGTAATATTGATGAGCTGCCAAAGTTCGGTCAAACCACCCTGGCCAGAAGCCTCTCTGACTGAAGGCCTCCGTCTCGTCATTACTCATTGAACATCAATATTTCTGGTCGGCAAAATTTTTGTTCTTAATTTCTTGACTCAAAATTTCAAGGCAGTAATTTATCAGAAATATTTCTTAGTAGAATTATTTTTCCGAACAATTGCATCTTATTATAAAAACGGTGTTAGTAGACAGGTTGATTATTTCCGTGACATTTAATCTAAAATCCAGACGTTCGGTTGACAGGGCTAACTCGGGTGTTAATTCTCGAGATGGTTACTGGCAGACAATCTTGATGTTTGACTCCACGTGTTAAATTCCTTCACTGTAACTGTTTGTGCACGTGCAACACTGTCGCTATTTGAGCACGTGCTATTTATCCTTGTTTAAATAGGGCAGCAAAGAGCGGCACTGATACAGTGGTACCAATACTATTAGTACCATTGGGACGATAGACCTCGATTCCTCGTACAAAAAGTTCAGTGGTGTAACGTTTCCTGTTGCCCCCCCCCCCCCCCCCGCTGAAAAAAGCGCCCCCCTGTTGGCGCCCCCTCCCTTTTGGAGCCCCTCCCTAAAATTGAACAAATTAGATGATTTTAGAGGATGCAACGGTAAAATCTCTAAAAAAGTGTGTTTCTAGAGCAAAACGCGCAGTTTTGCTAGTACCGTAGTTAAGTTTTTCGTAATTGTCCCACTTTCAAACGACGATTTGGCGCCCCCCCCCCCCTAAGATTGCGCCCCCCCCCCCCCGCACAGTCGGCGGGGCCCTTCGTTACGCCACTGAGCAATTTATGTAATGGCTTTGTCGTCAACATTATTTGGTCAAGTTTAATCCCAGCCTCTGGCGTTATACTTATATTTCTGCTCGAGGTTGTCAGGACGGAAATTCATAATTCCAAATAACTTATTTGTTATTCTGTTCCGTTGCTAGGAAACATATTTTAAATACATAAACAGAAAAGAGAAGTTTCGAAATCTCGGATTTTGGACGGTATGTTATACGTAAATATTAGCATTGCAAAGGGATAGTTTTATAGATCAGTGCAAGGAAAGCGCTGGACTGATGGTCTGTACCTTAGCCTACGACTAATGCGTCTATACGCGTAAGAAGTGGCACTCATAGATTTATCATATTTCCCTCTTGCATTAGTGAGTTTCACGCATTTTATCGGGTCCGAAAGTTAATTAAACGCTCTTTGTGCTGTCTAGAAAAACAATTAAACTTTAATTGTGTTGCAGCTAACTCGGTAAGAATAAATCGGTCTGCTTAGACACCTAGAACTCTTGTTCAGTGAATGGAAACTCCTGCCCTTGCTTCTTCTTGCAGAGTTAGGGTTACATTTATGAAAAGGTAAGTTTTGTTTGATCATTCGTATTCCAAGGTATAGGAGCTCATTCGTATTCCAAGGTATAGGAGGTCATGGATCCTATTTACCACACCCTAAAACTAGTTTCTATTTCGCCCAATTTTAATATTTTGTGTACCCTGAATGCTGATTACGTATGACTCGCATCAATATTGAAGTGCTGGATGCAGGGGTGTAGGAAGAGGGGGGGGGGCAGGGGGGCAGGGGGCGACTCGTTCTGGCTCCACCTCCGGACCTTTGCTTATTTGATTATAGTAACACTTCATGACTGATATGATTGTTCTTCTATTTACATATGATGTAACTTCTGCCGTGTGTGATTCGCCTTTTGATCCATCATTCGAACTTAATCTTTGGGTCTAAGTTCCATAAGACAATGTGCCGTAAGTTATTTAACAAATTAAGCTATTTAACAAAGTTATTCAACAAAATTATTTGGGAGGTTTGCCAAGAATCCAAAAAAGATTCTCTTGCACGTCGATAATACCCTAACTCTAGATATTGTGATTCGTATTTTTTGACATGACATTTATCAATTACAGTTTTGAATTTTAATGTTCGGGTACGTTGTCAATAACCCAATAATGGTCTATTTGCTATGCTAAATTTAAAGGTTTCCGATCTCCGCAGACTTGACAATACTCTGTCCTCTCCTCCATGCAAATAGAGCCAACATTGTCGATCCTAGTGAGTGAATGTTACATGCCATTCACTGGGTGTCACAGGAACCACATTAATTCATGGCACATTTTCCTGCTTTAAGGGTTCTTCCGCCTTGAAGCGGCGTATGTTTTGTTATCTAATGAATTTGTGATCTACTTTGTGATCAACTTGCCATTGAGTGACCGATGAACCGTCAACTGTGAAAGTAACCATACATCAGGATCGTGCCTAGCGCTAACTGGTCGTATACAATATAAGTGGTCGCTATTAGTTTTGTAAGACTTTATTAAGCTACTGTAGTCTGTAAGCTGGTACAGATAAAACATATAATGTAGCAACTGTCTGCAGTGCTGGTTACAGATTCTCATCCAAAAGCTATCAGCAACCATGCCCACATGGTCGTCGTCGTGGATCCTGAACAATAACCAGTTCTAGTCGGAACATGTCCGGGTCTGTGACGACTAATTCAGTTTCCCAGATGAGTGATGCAAGGCACGTGCCGGGCTTACGTCCGGTCCGACTATGATCATTTCAACAGATGTCACTAAACAGATCTTAAATATTCCCTCCCAAAAACATTCTTTACCCGTTTAACCTGTTAAAATGAAAAACTTAATCTACGCAAGGATTTTTGGCGATGATCTAAGATCGCGTAGTTTATCAAGGAACATGAAGAAGTGTGCTGAAGTGGTATGTGACATCGGCAGTAACTGCCTAGCTGCCATTTTGCCATAAAACTACAATCCACCAACCTATGTTTCACCCTTACTCCTCAGTTGGAACGTATCACGAAGGGAATTAGATATAAGCTGTTGAGAGCCCTTGCTCACGTTAATATGGCTTTCCCAGACGCGGCCCTAGGGTGGATGTGATTCCAAGTCGCAAGACAAGTAGGGTTTCTTCTGATTCTCCTCCACCAACTAAGAGTGCAGTTCGTTACATATCAGGAGCACGAGAAGAGTAGAGCCGTCTGTAAACGGTGATGAGATAAAAACTTACGTTTTACAAGTGGTAGGAGTGCCGTCTCGGGGAAGTTGGAGGAGGGTTAGGGTGTCAGGACACTGTACATCCACCTCATTAACGTCAAAATATGTACACTAATGCATATAGGAGCCCACTTAATGCATATTTTATGCAAAGGACGAACTAGGGGATGTACGCGTCAAAAAATCAAACCAGTCATGAAAACGTGTTTGTGCGTTGAGGTTGTATCGTATATATTTCCTAACTGAGAGCTCTGAATACTCGACATAGTGCCAAATTTTAGATTACTACTCCTCAACTTTACTTTTTGGGTTCGTCCAGTTCGGTTTTATTGCCATCTGTTTTTCCACAGAGCTCTAGAGGTTGATATTTCTACAGCGTCTGAATGTTTAGCAGTCAATGCTCAGTTGTAAAGTTTGGGCTAGATGGAACACTGAATCCTTTACGTAATAGACGACAGATTCAGTGCAGACTCAAGGTTACAGGCCCATCGTCTTAACTGACCTTGTCTTCGTCTCTAATCCTGTCTCCATTACTGAACTTGTCTCTATTACCGAGCTTGTCTCTATTACTGAACTTGTTTCTATTACTGAACTTGTTTCTATTACTGAACTTGTCTCCATAACTGAACTTGTCTCTGTTACTGAGATTGTCTCAATAACTGAACTTGTCTCTGTTACTGAACTTGTCTCCATTACTGACCTTGTCCCCTAAACTAATTATGTACGTCTTAAGGAGAGATCAGAGACGTCGTAATTCTTGTTATCTATGATAATTATTTCTGAAGGAGTAGAATCAATTATCTTAACACCCCTTCACAAACTGACCTCCGATCATAAACAGTGCATATTTTCTATACTATTTAATATTTGTCCAGCTTCTTGAGTGAAGTAGACCAGGACGGAGACACCTCCACCTGTCTACTCATAGAGAGCTGCTAGGGTCTGAAACCCCCACCATTACAACTCCCACTTGTTCCATAAGTTGATCCTATCTGGGATCACGTGGTCATTCCAGACTTGAGTACCCCGCGGGAACCCCAATTTAGGGTGCCATCCGTGGCTGTAAACCCTTATAGTGGTGCTTATGGAGGGCAGCTCGACTTCTAGCAGACCTCCCTTCAGTTACTGCAGTCTAGCTTAATGAAAATTGGTCATACGGCAGATGTTTCACGATAATTTAGATTATTCTCAATAGCTGCCCTAGAGGACGAATTGTTATATTCTATATGGAAGGAGGGCTTTCCTTTATCGCACACATTTTGTTGTAGATTTTGCTGGTTTGTGTTACCTAATGAAAATCTTGTTGCGGCCATTTTACGACGAATTCAAAATATTCTCATCACTGTTTGTGGGAGTTTCTTTCCGTTTTACCTTTGCTCTAATGAAAGAAATTACCCGAAAGTCTGGATCATTTTGGTCGAACGAGTTGGTTAAGTAGCGATTTTTCATCTATTAGTAATAGAAAAATGAAAATCTGTTACGGCCATTTTACGACGAATTCAAAATATTCTCATCACTGTTTGTGGGAGTTTCTTTCCGTTTTACCTTTGCTCTAATGAGACAAATTACCCGAAAGTCTGGATCATTTTGGTCGAAAGAGTTGGTTAAGTAGCGATTTTTCATCTATTAGTAATAGAAAAAGCCCAAAATATGCTGAGGAATAAACCAAGCTGTATAAGCCTAAGTGACTCTATAGTCTATAAATTAGTATAATGGCTTGTATGCCGTCTACGTAAGCTTACCCCGTCTTAGACAACTCATAACATCAAGTGATTTAGATCTGCTAAATTCTCAACTTCGACCAAATTTTCAGTCCGGCGTCGGGAAATTTCTGCCGATATGCACAATGATCTGTGATGTTCTTACTTCTTAGTCACTTAGTCAATATTAAATAAAGTTTGCTGGTAATTATTTACACAACAAAAGCTCTACACATTCTAACCCTTACTTAAATTTCAATCCTTGTCCAAATCCAAAAGATGTTATGTGATTACGTTTCATTTGTTTGATTCATAAAATATGTTCATTGCAGGAAGGGTTAAGGTTAGGTCAGTAGGACCCTTCCCAGGATGATATAAGATATTTCGTCAACAGTTTGTGCAGTCATAGAATGAACAGTGCTAATCTATATATTAGAGCCTCATTATATCGATGGTATTTACGAGTGTTAATAGATTAATTTCCACTGCCAATTCTTTTCCACCCCTCCTGACGAGGTCAGGCTGTACCTACAGCCAAATATCATGTCATGTTCGTTAAATTCAGCCAATCGAGGTTCAAACCCAAAGTTAGTGGACGAATGACTATAACGGTTATCGGGTATTATATCAGAAGCTCCGAACGTACGGTTCATTTTATCAAATACAGTCCCAGCCTCAGTGATCTATTTATCATGAGGTATATTATCCGTTTTGAAAGGTCCATTGTGCGATGTCCGTTCTGTGAACTTGGCTGTAATTTGTTCCAATCTGGTCCTCTCTTAGAGTGAGAACGTTTCTGATCTGTTCGAAATCAGTAGCCGTAACACAAACCCATTGCAACGAACTTTGTACGCCAACCATAGGAACGTGATTTCATCATTTGAGTTCATGAATTCACATGGAAAATTTTATACTCGCACGGAGTTTAAATTCCTTGTTCTATTTTCGAGGTTTATCCATGTACATATTTGATGAGGAGACATCCTTGTCAGGTCATTGATTGAATAGGAAAAACCTATGACTACTCTATTTGTTTAGATTGGCTATCAACCAGGGTTATTCAAACTAATCGGATCATGAAAATGAAGGGGCCCTAGGTAATCGGATCACATTTTAGACTAGGTTCGGGCACATTCGATTGAATCACCGGAGGGGAGAAAATACGAGCATATGGCTTCATCACTATAACCCTAACAGCAGCAGAGAGAAGGTAGCATAACTCGATTTGAAAATAATAGAAATCGCATTACAAATGCGACTAGCCGAGCATTTCAGGTCCAAAAGAAAGGCTGAAGATGTCGAATCGGGGGAATAGGGGGCCCCCTTTCACCCATCTGTTAGCTACTAAAGAGCTGGTGGACGGGAAAATATTCTCTAGCCCCCGGATCTCTCTCAGGTGGCTCTGAGGCTAGCTGAGCGACCCAGTTCATTAGGTTCTCTTAATTCAAATAACCTTGTGCCTATTGTTTTGCGAGTCCACCTCTGGACTTTTTACTGAACACGTGGTCCCGCCGGTCACGTGTACCCCAAATTATAAATACCGTCTACAAATTGGGAGGCCGTTTGACACGGATTGGTCGGGGTAGGAGAGATTTGTTATAGTCTTGACTCCTCCAGCCCACTATCTGCCGGGCTCTGTCTCCTCTGTTTAAAACTTAACACTGCGCAGTTTCAAGTTTCTCCGCCAATGTTGTGCTCACTCTTAAACGCTTGCTGTGAGTGTATGTGCCCAGTGTGTATCAACTTTTGTAGACGAATTAGTTTCGGGCGGCAGTTTGTGGCTTCTTCATCCCCCTACTTCGACCCGTTCCCCATGTCTCCCACTCCATGGCCGTTTAACCCGTCTCACATTTCGACAGGGTGACTCCAGTCAGCTCAACACAGACCATTTTAATTTCGCCTGCTTGATCAAATCGATAACAATTCAACTCTCCGCGTCAGCATTTTGGCCGTTGATTATTTTCCGTTCCCTGGCAGACAGGAATTTGTTGTGATTTATATTGATTGTTATCTTGCTGCTGTACTAATTAAGTAGGTAGGGTGCTACTCTTAGCACTCCTAAGTCTGCACCGCACACCCTTAGTCATGTATCAAGTTCCCTCCGTTACTGGATTCCTGTTATGGCAGTTGGAAAATACAACGATATCATACCCATGTATAGTAAAAATAATTATGTTCTCCAATTTATTTTAATCTGGTGTATTAACTCATGAACGTCTTTCTTCCCCTAAGTTTTAATAGTTTTGCTTACCTCATATTATGAGTGAAAACTTTTAAAAGGGATTAAGTTTGAATATGTCGAAGTTCTGAATTGTTAAACGTTGCAGCTTATGCCGTATGGCGAACTTTTGGAAAACTGTTTCGCCATATTTTTTAAAATCAAGCAAATATTCCCATATCATTATCCATTAATTCATTGTCGCCATTTCTACGACGGACGTGATCGCATGTAGTTTCAACTCACCAAACTCTGTGTTCTACTTGCTGCAGCAGCTGTTCGCGGTCTAGCTACCTGCATTTCGAATTGCCGGACCGGAGAGAGCCGCCTATTGTCGAGCTAACTCGCCCCAAGTAAGCTGCCTTATTGAAGCATGGTAGAAGGCTGGCTCTGTAACTAATGATCCGGATGATTAATAGCGACATGATCAGACTTCAGAATATACCACCATTATTAGATTATCCCTCATCGTATGTCGCTGAATTTACAGGGGCGCTCTCGGGGGTCATGTGCCCAACAACAGGTGGGACACATGTACGAGATAAAATTAGAGGGCCTGATAGCATGAGAGGAGAGGGCTCCCAGAGCCTGGGGTCCCCTCACCTAGTTTACATGAGACGCTACTGGTCCTTCACCCAAGTTCGTAGTAATCGCATTAGATGGGCCGGTCGCTCTGAAAATAAGTGTATATGTGTAGGTGTCAGGGTGTATATCTATGTGAGGCACATATTATTCTGGGCCCCAGGAGGGTATACTGTAATACTATATTTTAATGCAGGACAACCCGAGAGAGAGAGAGAGAGATGCACCTGGTCAAGCTCCGTTGCTACCGTCAGACCCCGCTCTACTGACTCTCTTTGTGTATTGGACCCTACCACCTGTCTTTTACCGTGCTAGATTTAGCCCTCTCGCGGTCTCGCGTAAACCTATTTGGGCGGTATTACCACGGATTCTGTGATAGCTGAGTGTTTTCTGTTTTCTTTCACAAAACGTTCTCTGTGACCAGGCCGGTTGCCAGCTGAGCAGGAGATTAGTTTTGCCGGACAATTGGCGGGAGGTGGGGTCGGACAATGGACCGTAACAGGTGGTCCGCCTGTTTGACTAATTCGGCAGTTCGATCTTTAGTTGCTCGCTTTGTTCTAATCATCTCGACCGTTGTCAGATCATGTCAGATCCATCTCATATTTAGATCACTGGTTATTCGTCCCCTAAGCGACGGTATTAGCGTTATTAGTTAGGGAATAATGCAAAATGTCTGGGAAAAAATTTGCGACAAGCTGATTTTTACAGGAATGTGTTGTCCATAGTGTCAGGAACCACCCCAAAGAGTTTCCAATCTGGATCTGTTGAGCAAAAAAAGTTACAGCCAATTTTCTTCAGGCGCGTATGTCAGCCTGAGGACCGCACTTGAAAAACTTGTAACTATCGTAATAAAGACCCCCAGGAGCACCATTATATATATATTATATATATATTGTTCGTGTTATTCAGTTCTGTTAGAGAGGGCCAGGTTACACGGTCGACTGCGCATTAGAAAGTTACTTCTTTACCACGACACCGTCTGGACCGTGTAATCTAATTTGTTTCAGACCTGGCTGCTATCTCATGTGCCACGTACTTAATTTTGTGGGCCCAAACAATGCAGTGTTCATGACGCTTCCTGACACTTTCATTGTTCGGTGATTAAGAGTTGCCGGCTGCCGCCTTTCCTGAGCAATTTACTAAACTCCAGTGGTATTCCGCCGTGTCGCGGAGGCAGGACCCGTCTACTGTGGAGTGTAGCAGTATTTTGAATTGTAACAGTTTTTGTAATTACCTTCAGTAGTCTGTAGTCGACAAGAATTGTTTCAATTTGGATTTCTCTGACACCTTTGTTCGCTTGATGTGGATGTCTTACAACCAATGGTCTATGCTAATTCATGTTCGAGAAGGAATAATTCATGTTGTGTGATAATCACGTATTCCCCGCAGAACAGGGAAAGACCGACTCTTGTCGGTATTCCCCGACAATTATCCTTATTGCCTGACAAATTCAAGGGAAACCCACAAACTGCCCGTCTTTTCACCCACTCTCACACCTGAACCCATACTACTTTCCCATGTCTCCTGGAGCTAGCGCTAACACTAACCATTACATATTGTTACAGTATAATGTCATGAATGTTTTGTTGTGGTGCACGATTGTGGCGTCACTGTACACCACTGGATCTGGATACTACTCTCAGCCGATCTGCAATCCCACGCTGGGGTACTGCGCCAAGTTTTTCAACATGACCAAGCTGCCGAACAAGTTCAACGAGGATAGTTACGCTCGGGTCGTCAGTAAGTTGTTTTCTTTTTCAGTACGTGTTTCCTAGCCTTGAAACTCTACCCAATGTTATTATTTGTCCAAACTCTTGGTGGTCCCATGAGAAATCATTATTGGAATTTTAGTCACTATCCCAGTTATATAGTATCCCATTTACTGATCAGCCCCTCCCTTCAGAGATACAGATGCACTATGCAGACATAGCTACCAGCGAGTGCCACCCCTACGTTGACCTCATGATCTGCTCTACCCTCTTCCCTGCCTGTACCGGCGGCTACGATATCACCCTACCGTGTTACGACTTCTGCGAGGAGGTAAAAACATCTTGTGGTCCATTCATCAAGAAAGCCAGGATACCATGGCCGTTCTACTTCGAATGCCTTGATCTGCCGAGGAAAAAGAGGGGCAGGTTCTGCATAGACGAGAAGTTCACTCTGGCTGACCTGGAGAAGATAAAACCACCCAAACCTCCAGTTCAGCAAGTTGAGCAGGAAGAAGAGAAGAAGACGGACCCAGTGGTCGAAGACAGAGATCTCTCTATCTCCACCCCCTGGTCGGGAATCTACACCAATGATCCAGAAATCAAGAACTGGGGTCTCGAGCTGGTAACCACTCCTGTTGCTAGCAGGAAGGATATCAGAGAATACGAGGAGTGCTCCGAGCCGATACTCTTCTCGGTTTCTGAACAAAACACCACTCGAGTCTGGATCATGGCATGGTCAAGCATTGCACTCTCACTCTCCTTCGTCATGCTCTTCGTCGTGACATCACACGGAAAAGTCAACAAACCAGAGAATATCATCGTCATCATCTGCTTCTGTTTCCTCTTCCAAGCAGCCGGCTTCCTCCTGTCTGTCATGGTTCCCCAGTCCCCCTTCAAGTGTTCCATCGTGGAGAAGCCTGGAGACCCGATCTACTTGAAAACCAACAGTCCCTCTCCTACCTGCTACCTCACCTTCACTGCCACTTACTTCAGCGGACTAGCAGCTAATCTGTGGTGGGTGACCCTCAACCTCCTCTGGTTCCTGATGCTTGGGATGAACTGGAGCAGTGACGGCAGCATCTTCAAAGTGTTCCGGTACCTGCATCTTGTGATCGGTGGACTAGCTGGAGGTCTCACCATCACGATCCTGGCTGTTGGAGCAGTGGAGGGTGATGATCTATCCGGTGGGTGTATGGCCGGTGGAGTACACCCCGAGAACCTAGCAACCTACGATCTGACACCTAACTGTGTGCTCCTCAGTATAGGTGGGGTGGTCCTCCTCTGTGGAACTTACACTCTCGTCAAGATCTCCAGGATTGACGGCTACAGACTGACCCACGATATACCAGTTCAGCGCCTGAAGAACACAGCTATATTCTCCTACGGCTACCTTCTCATCTCTCTCATTAAAACACTCTGTCAGTTCTACGAACTAACCTACCGTTCAGATTGGTACAAAAACTGTGACCCTAACATCAAAACAAACTATACCAGCCTAGAGCTGAACAATCTCACTCACACAGACAATAGCACAGCAGGTATCCTCGACAACAATTCGTCTTGCGGGCCTGATGTGCGAATATTTATTACGAAATATACTTGTTATCTATTGTTACCTATTTTAGTTTCGTGTCATTTGAAGAACACTGTTAGTATTTTGGACATTATTAAACGGCTTGTACCGCTTGCAAAAGGGTACACTCACAGATCCGGAGAAACGAAAGTTTAAAATATATCCTTGTGTTTGGTTTTTTGTCTGCTTTAAATTTGAATGTTTTCATCAAATTTTAAAATTTGATCTACATTAGATCTGAATTATTCACGAATTATTATTGAAGGATTTATCGTTAAATACGCTTTGCTTATTTTAGCACCTACATCTTTATGAAAAAGAGAAAAGTGATCATCGAGCCAATGGACCAAAAAATTAAAGCGACGAGTCATGTTTATTGTAAAATGTCAAGTACGAATCAAAATACAAACACCAAAGGTCAATATTTTGACCGACGGCTGGTCAAAAAGCGGGTAACAAAAACGGTCCAGGAAATGGCTTATTAAATTAGCCGCGGCAGTATCGTCAATGTTTACAACCCGGTCTCAACTCTCAATGAATATTACTTATTGGCACGGACTCCACCGAGAGTGCGAAGTTCAACTGAAGCTGCAAACTTTTAGGGGATCAGTAATTCGATTCCGAACTCCAGAAACTCTGTTTGCCTTCAAATTTACCGGCAATCCAGTAATATGCACGTTCTTTCTCTCTCCCCTCCGTAACTGGACTATATTCAAAACGGTATCCGTATATTGAATATATATATATTGAATATTTCGCACATTACTTTTGTCACTCGTGAGGGTCCTTTATCAGTCCATTGAAGTGTCAGAAATGTATTGTTGATTGTAGTTTTAAGAAGCCGCGAACGCCGTCCAAAGACCATACTGCTATTGCTAATTCTCTAATTTGTGTTCTGCGCTACTCGCTCTCAGCTGTCTCCTCAACATGGAGGTAGAACAGGGTAAGTTGGCAAGTCGCCAAGTTCTAGACAAACGGTGCAATGTTAATATGCTGTTAATGTTTCAATTTGATGCCCATTATATGTCGATTATATTCAATCATTCGGTCATTTGTATTCGATTATCGATGTCTTTTCTTTCGTTATAAAAGAACTTTAGAAGTTTTAAAAGTGCACCTTTTGCATTTATGCACTGTATGCGTGCCTAACATGTTTTCTGCAACGTGGTAGTGCCACAACTTGTCTGTCGTACCTTATGTGGATTGTGCTGGTTGATACTTGAGTACTTGGTGATAGATCATGAAATGGCAGTGAAGCTTGTGATCTTTCAGATTGTAGAATGGGATTTCAGATAAAGCGGGTAAAGTCTAAAATTCTGTTAAATGATTTTAGACAACAACATCTAAATCTTAGTCTTATCGTGATATTAATGATGAATCCAAACTTATCATGTTCTTCCAGACGACCAAAGGGGCTGTGACCGACTACTTCATCCAATCAGATCCAGCTCCAACATCTTTTCCAAAGTACACAAACGTAAGCTTTTCCTAACCCTTCCCCGGCCTTAGGATTCTTACCTGATGTGTGAACGATCCAGTTGGTAGGATAGATGATGATGCAAGCATTGAATCATGGTTTGTTTCAGTAAATTCAATGTCGCACAAAAAGGAACTCAACTCTTGCCGGAAACTCAGTCTATCGTGTAATATCAACTCTGATTTGTCTCCAAAATGGGAATAATAATAATAAACTTGCAGAAGTTGCACAAGATTATTTCTCACGCTGATCACTAGAACTCTCGTGATGATTTGTTACGATTTCGGTGAAGTTGACGTTCAAATTTATCAATACAGACTGATTGGGTTTCCAATTGTTTTCCGACTTTACGGTTACCTAATCAAGTGTTAACTGGGTGAAGAATGAAGACGTCGGACAGCCGATCAAGGTGGTGAGGTCCCTACATGTCCACAATACTAAATATGTAGAGTGCTCCGGTCCGTCTTCTTGGCTGGGACTTGATGACAATCTCGCAGCCAAGTGCGGCACGCATTCGGGAATAGCTCTCCCTCAAAACTCCATTCAAAACTACATTTTGAATTACATTAAAAAAACTGAAAAGGATGACGGTAACCATGGGTGACGTTTATTTTTTCTTATGAAATCGAGGTACGAACCGGCTGTAGAGAGCACAATAAGGGCCGCAAAATTTATATAATTACTAAATTTGAACACGCCTTGTGAAGTAGGTATTCTCTAATTTGGCTAACCTGGCAAACCTAGTCGATACATAGTGCAGCTTATTCAACAAGGAATTAAGCATTAAGGGTGGGAGGGTACATGCAAACAAAGCTTCAGTTGATTTTTACTTGAAACCCAGACTTTGATGCTGCTTACTTTAAAATCTAATAATTATTTAGAATGTACGCCTCCCTTGAAACATGTAGTATGAAATCCCCGCTTAAATTTAGGATTTCATTAGCTTTTTTAGCATCATGAAACTAATTGACGATCTTAAATCTAAGTTTCCTCTTTGTTTAGACGCTGAATCACCTGATCTCATTTGGTGTCAAGTGACTGACATGCTTGTGCCCTGTATTATTTGAGGCTTTTCGATCCACCACGATTCAAATTCGTTACTAAAACCGGTTGCTTAATTCTTCATACAAAGTGACTTAGTTACTTTAGTAGCTCTTACATGGCTAATTTCCAAATCTAATGGTCCTTTTACTCTCCTACTCCATCAAGTGGTTACCGTCATCTATCGATGGTGAATTTTATTTAAATTATTATTTTTATTAATTAGTGATGTCAGTTCCAAGCGGGAACAATTCAAATCCTTAAATCAAATTTTAAAACCACTTTTAATGCCGCTGGAGTGCGTATTATTGCAAATAAGTTTTTAAGTCCACTCAAAAAAACTGAAAACATTTGGTCTTAATGAATTTCAAATTGCTAAGGGACCAGTCGCTACTGCTAGTCTTTCAAAGTTCTGAACGACCTGAAGGCCAGGAAAATGTTGCCAGAGACAAAATAGATCAGTATACACACCGGAATTTTCTCAACATTTAAAAGATATTTTCAAGAGATATTGCTAATGACAATGGAAGATATTGTATCATAGTGGGAATAAAAATGTTGCCTATTATTATACCCGAATACCAGATTTATCAAGAATTCTACGAATTCAACTTAATTGCTTCTAGTTTCTACCCCACGAGTTGTTAGCAGCAGTAATGTAACATATTATTACATAATATATAACTTGTTAGAAGCTACAAACACTTGTTCAACACTGTTGATGTGTTAATATATAACACTGTAAAAAGTAAAGATCATAATTAGTTTCAATAATAACTTGACTTACTGACTGGTAACTGTGCTTCATTTTTCAGACTTATAAATTTATATCTACCGAGACTTTGGCAAATGTGAGCTCTAACAATATCATATCGGCATTTACATTTTTCGAAACGTTTCTTACATTTTTTAACATCCGGCAATGATATAAACTAAAATTACTGAGTATCAAGCAAAGTGCTTGAATTAGTGGAACCAAATCGAAATAAGCTGCGCAAGAAGCATTAAGTATGCAAAAGTTCTTTGAAGCACACGTAATTTTTTGGCTTAACTCCAGCTTACCGCGTTTTACTGACACATTTCATATGTTTTACACCTGTGCACCAGGCACCTACTTATTTTGACCTTTTTGACGCCTCCGGTGACGGTCATGTCATGCTTTCCAACACACAGCTTTAATAATAATACAGCATTTTTTGCAGATTCGGAGTTAAGAGATAATTTTAACGTCTATGAGGCGGTTAGTTGTGCGGGTTCCTTGAAGACAAGATCCCAAAATAAAACAGCACCAACGATGTCGACCGACTCAGGTATAAACTTACATAATATATTATAGAGTGATCTATTTAAAAACAGCTTTTCAAATGTTCAATTTTTGTATCAAATTAAGGAAAAAAATTTTACAATCTTAGAATGTTACCCGCTACGAAAGTTTATTTCCCTGCTTCCAGGTTACAGTGAGGGAAATGATCAGAAGCTGATGAGACCTCGCTCAGTTCCCTGAATAGGCAGAATTCAGCAGCATCTAGCACCGGATCTGTATTTAGCACGGGGTCTCATGGTTAGTAACACTTTAAGTTGTTAAAATAAATTAAAATAAATTATCTCTCCGAATCACTTAATCAGTTTTGGCTTTTGATGTGCTATATGGCTCTATTGCTAGTTTGCTTTCAAACTATGTTGTGATATGATTACAAATCTAATCCTAAGAACTTGGAATTATCAATTACATTTCAAAATATAGTACTATAGTACTATGGCAAAGCCTATTTCATGAATTCGAAATGAAATTAAAGCAAGATATTGGCTCGTTTATATTAGGAATACTAAGGACTATGTGCATTGTGTAAGGGCTGTGTTCCTCCTATTCCGGATTGATCTGCATTTTTCATCTCCTTTATTCTTCGTATCGAGAAATATCGAAATTTCTTCTAAGTTGAACCGTCTCCTTCTGATACAAAATCCAGTCTGAGGGAGCCAAATTCTCCGTTAGCTTGGCCAGCTGTTCTGGTTAGCTGAAGACTTGAGTCCTTTTTACACTGACTGTTCAATGTTGGACAAAAAGAACTTACTCTAAAAGCGTCCTTCCGTGGATCTTGATTCCCGGACCTTCTGTTGAAAGATACCAATTGATGGATCAGTATTCTACACCACTGTCTGTCTGTTTGGTTTCAATAACTCTCCTCACCATTCTCGTATGTCGGACCAAGGGAAACAAGAACTCTTCAAAAGAAGGTAAACAGTGGTAAAACTGTAGTGTATAAATAATGCAGGTTAAAACAGTGGGCACTGTCAAGATCCGGTCAATAGCCAGTCTATAGCCGGACGAGAACCGCTCTACAACCGTTAAAACCTCTATCTTTAAACTGGCTTCTTACCGGTTAGCCACCTACTCGAAAGCGGTCACTTACTGCCTACATACCGACTACAATATTGAGCTCACTTGAGCTGTAGTCTGAGAATTTCTAACCAGCCTCGCAGGGCCTCTGCCAAGTTCTTAATCGGTTCTAAATCGATTCTAAACTGTTTCTTGACCGACTCTAGAGCGGTGGTCGGTGTTTTTCGTAATTCCCTATCGACAACATGCTGTTTAAAATGACGTCCACCCAGTCGTGAGTCCAATTTGTGGAACTTTTCTGGGTTCTAATAACAGTCACAGAGTCTGCTAGCTGCATGCTTATAACACTACATGAAACTTTCGGAAAGTTGTTCACTTTTAGTTGGGCGTATGTTTCTTTAGTGAGCTATTACATTAAAATCACTCAGCACACAATCAAATTTGTTTCGTATATAATTTTTTTAATTTTGATTTCTTTACTCGCAGCACATTGATAAAGTATCAGTTTGAACGTGATGTAGTATAACGTTGGGTGAAACCCCTTAAATTGCAAAAATTGCAAAAATGCATTTAAAAGGAAATATCCTGTACAGGAACTGAAGAGAATCATGACAGCGAGAAGAATGATCAGTTTGTGAGCTCCACAGAGCGATTCAGAGCCACACAGCATACATCATCATCAGGTGAGGTTTAGGCCGGTCTATATTTAGTACATTGTACATTGTACATTGTACTCGAGTGTACTCACGAAATGATCAGCTGTCGAGCGTGTATTTTATTGTGTTTGTTTTGTTTCTCTGTAGAATATTAGATCAATTATCGAGTTAGAAGCTTTTATATTAGACCTTTTAAGAGTTTAGAGTTCAGTAGACCTAGGAGTTTTGCTATTTTCTGCAGTTTGTTGATACATATCTCCTTGGTGTTTACCATTTACCCCTAGTTGCTCATAATGTATATGACTGTCTCAGGACTGAGACTCGGTTCGTGCCCTGACTGTGCCCCAATTGTGCCCCAATTGTGCCCCAACATCGCAATATTACCCAATTACCGACTATTGTACTTGTACTCTGTGTGATAATAAGCTCTCTCGAGCGTGTATTCTCTGTTCTTTGTAGCTTCTTTAGATTATTAGCGCATTTATTGAATTATAAGCTTATGTCTGAGAAATTTCTGGGAGTGTTGATTTCAGAAAAACTCGGAGTTTGCCGAACCTTCAGAGAGTAATGAAGCTAAACGCCCTGCTATATTATCTGCAGTCTGCTAGATATATATCTTGCTTTTACTTCTGGACCTTCTAATAAAAGCTGTTTACAGAGAAGTTGATTAGACAGCTGAGTAGACAGATTAATATTGCAAGTTCTAGCCGCGTGTGTTTGACAAAATAGACATTTAACTCCTACTTCCTTTGAAGACTTTAACTGAGTCTGCTTGAAGTCCGACATCCTGTCACAACTTTGTTTCTTTGTCTTGAATATCTTAAATAGTTCCGTAGTGAATCTTAATCATTATAATTCCTTGATCGTACGTTAATTCTCGGAATTACTGTCTGATCAAGTTAGGTGGTTTCTTAAATTATTATTATTTATAACTTATTATAAGTTATAACTTATTATAAGTTCCTTGAATACAATTTAATGCTCTATTGGGAAATAATGCACATCGGTTTATGCATTACATGGGCTTCATAAAAACCAGACTAACTGCAAGGCGTAACATTTGGGCGTATGCCATAAATAGACCTAACCGGTTTCTAGCGGCACTTTTAAAATAATAATGCAGCATCAATCATGATCAGGAACCTAGTTACCGTACACCACATTTTCATGTAATTTCATGTAATATTATAGGGCGATTTCAAATTCACGTAAAATGCTTTGAAACTGCTTATTAAGCTGTCAAATTGTCAATAAATGAGCTTCCATTAAATCTACATGATGGAAATACAAATCTTACACTTGCATTTAGTGGAAGCATCCTATTTTTGGATGGCAAAATATCCTCCGAGCTAATTACCATGCCGGATCGGTTGCTTCCTCAAACTCTGTGTCCACTTTCACTGAAACCTCCTCGTTAACTCTCGTTATCGAGAAATTGTAGCTGCGACTATTATCATTATGTGCTATGCTGTAAATATTTTTTCGTCTGTTTTATTTTATGTTTAATCCATGGAGGAGGAAAGTTGTGATGATTTTTCGTGGAGCTGTTCGGAAAGTTGCGAGAAAATTACAGTAATGGAGATAATTGCGGATCAGTCGGATGATGACTTCGATTTAATTGATGATATCGAATTAATTGAGATTGAAGAAGTCGCTCCGGTTGCTAATCAGCCACGATACCTGCCTCTGGGTAATTCCATTCAGTTTTAAAACATTTCCTTGTTTTCCACATTAGCAAATTCAACTTGTAAATTTTCTTTTGTCGTGGAATTCTGTTAAAAACTGTTGGTTTCAGATGCTTCAGCTTGTGAAGAAGTATTTGACGAATTTACCCCAACCATCGAGGAACGCACCCCAACCTCCAACCATTCTGACAAGGACATGACGTCATCAAGGAAATCATCTGTCAACATTTGCACGGGTAAGAGCGCGCTGCTTTCTATTAGTGTTATTAATGTACTGAGGCGTTACCATGGTTACTATGACATTCCTTTATACCATATACAGTTCGAACTTTCTATGTATTCGAAAAAAAACTTCTCCCGATTCCCACTTACAAACATTGAAACTGGACTACTTGGTACCTCATTTTGTTTCGATAGTCATGCACACGATTGTGTAGCCTCGCTAGTGCTTACAGCTTACCGTTCTCACAGTGTGTAGTGTGTAGTGTGTACTACTCTGCTCACAACTCATTGACTTTATAACCCGCAACCCTTTCCCCCAAATTAGGTCTACCATACATAATGTAAACAATCCAAACCCCGATTTACTGCGGCTTTTCCTTTCTCCCAAACTCCGCGGGGTTTTAATGTATAGTGAACCAACAGTTTACACTGGTTAAGTTTGAGTTACATTAACTGTCACGTACCTTAGAGTTACAATGAACTCCACAGAGCCGTGTTGGTACTGCAAGCGGGATATTGACATCAGAGGTGGAATACTAGCTATCAAGGGCAAGCCCTGTCACCCAACGTGTATCATGTGCCAGTACTGTCGGAGTCAGGTTAGTGCCAGTTTAGCAAGCCCTGTCACCCAACGTGTATCATGTGCCAGTACTGTCGGAGTCAGGTTAGTGCCAGTTTAGCAAGCCCTGTCACCCAACGTGTATCATGTGCCAGTACTGTCGGAGTCAGGTTAGTGCCAGTTTAGCAAGCCCTGTCACCCAACGTGTATCATGTGCCAGTACTGTCGGAGTCAGGTTAGTGCCAGTTTAGCGAGGTGATAATTTCAATGACGTTAAGTACTTACTTTTAAAAACAGTTTAAAGCTGCAGGTGTTGAACTATCGAACAGTGAACTGTGAAGCGCTGTCCCAGAGGACGCCCCACTGACATAGTTAGTTGTGAGATCTCGTCCCTTCGCGCTTTTCACGCTTCTTGAACACTAGCTCTTTATCTGTAATTATTATTGCCCCTCCATTACCACTTGTTGTTTCACATTTCACACACTGAATCGTCTCCGTGATGAGAAACAGACATTGTACCTCACAGTGTATTACTCTAAAAGTGTTCATCCCCTAAATATAACTATTAGTAAATGAGCACTAATAAGTAATACCACTCTATCTAGCTTTTTCGAGCTTACCACTTTTCTTGTGTCCTCTTCGTTTTTAACTGTAACTCGTTATAGCAAAGCAGTGGATGGCTCAATACAAATTACGACAGTACGAGTCGAAGTATATAGATATTTCAGAGAAATTGACATGCCGTGTTAACATGTAATGGTGTATTTCGGTCCAACGTCCAGACCGATTACTTGATTGACAATGTTTGCAGTGTATAGTATGTAGTGTAAGTATACTAGTTGTAGAGCTAAGAGATGTGACCTGGTTGGCACTCACCACTAGTCCAAAGTAACTAGCAATTTAGAAACGTCAACTGACAAGTCAAACGAAAAATGAGTTGACTCCGTACGCCATTTTACGGAACTAAGAACTTGTAATTTGTACGTGATAATAATAACCTCTAGCTTCAACAGCTCCTTTCTCTGTGTAAATTCCAAACCTACACGCCACCAACCTTACTCACAAAGGAAGCAAGATCACTACAATATCTATTACGACTAATTTACCCACCCACTCGTAACTCAATACACGAAGGCCGGATCACATATTATATTGAGACCTTGACTCGGCGTGAGTGTAGCTATACGACCACAGTGTTTGTAATGTTATTTGTATGCTGCAATATTTTAATATTTTTGGAGGTTTGCGATCTTGCCTTTTGTTCAGTTTGACGATCTTGACACCTGGTTGTTGTAGAAACCTCTAAATACCTGTCTCATTAGACATAATGGTACCTTATTTAATATCTATAGATTAAATCCCTTAAGAAAAGAACGTAAATTAAGCATATTGACATTATGAACATATCGCAATATTACACTTCAAAGTTTCGAATTTTTTATCCACTAAACCTGATTGAAATTATGTATAAATTATTTAAATATGTGGGTATTCATAATTCGTACCTGCAGGGCTGGTCTTAAAAATAGCTTCACCCTCCAGCCTATTACAAGCAAGCTACTACGTCACGTAGTTTGTAGAGCATATTTGTCAGGTGGAGTCTGGGCCGGGACAGTGTTTGGTAGATGACGAAATGAGAGTAACCTGTGAGGAGTGTCATGAGAACCTGTGCCCCGTTTGTAAAGAGTACTGCTCCGAGGATCAGGATCTTATCAAGGTAATTAATGGGAGGGTAAAATGGGTATTTGTTGTAGAATAATTGATGTTCTGGGACAAAGTGAGAGTCTCCACTCAGTTTTTCAAACAAATAGAAATGTAGAATCATACACGATCAGTTATATTTACCTTCGAATATCAGGATTATACGGTGATCGACCATTAACTTTAAGAACTCTTATAATATTTCTTTTACTGTAATCAGATCACAGCCGGATCATGAATGAACATTAACAAACTGTAGATTTATTGGCAACTAGTTTCTAGTTTTTACTTGCCCTTATAACTGCTCATCAGAGGAGACTTGAGGAATTGAGGGTCAGCAGTCTTACACAAATATATATGCTACTAAGTCAGAAAGTATTCCAAGCCAGCTAATTGACAAACAAAGTTCTGAAAAATTCCTGAGATACCAATAGTTTGTAACTGTAAGAACAATAGCCTTCCATAGACCGCGTACCCTCCTAAAGATTGATTCCCTCATCAGTGCTACTGCTAGTTATAAGCATTTCTTGATAATGTTTTCGATATAAGTTTCCGATGTTAGTCAATCATTTTTTGATATAAGTTTACGATGTTAGTCATTAACATTTTTGATAATAGTCAGTTTTATTTGAAACGATTCCAGAAGGTAAGAAATAATTTGTTTCAAAACATCTACCTTCTTACATTGTAAGTTACAACTAATATTACGCAGTTTTTAACTTAAGTACAAAACCGCGATCGACAGCTTCTTAATGATCTGGTAGCCGTCGATTGTCGTCTTTTATATCTTAATATAGTAATATGTATAGTAGTTATTTCTGTTAAATATAAGTTCAGTTTTTAAAAGTCGTTGCATCACCGTTAAAGAATTTCCAGATAATATCAAAGTTAAAGTATGAGTATTTACTAATAATTGTAGCTAAGTATCTTGAATATTACAACAACGAATTTTTGAAGCGGAATAGTTGTTAAAAACATAACATAACTACAGACTGCACCTTCTAACCGATTGTAAAATGAAAATAGGGCGCCAAAAATCCTTATAGTATCCTAACTTTATAAATCAAGGGGGGTTTTTTTACGTTTTTTAGGTTTCGTTAAAACTTGCAAAAAAAGCAATTATGAGTCATGGATTCCTCCGGCATCAACAAATTCCTAAATCAACTAATGCTCTTATAAATTAATGGACAAAATTTTTCTCAATACTAAAGTCTATACAATTACATGAGCTAAGCAAGGTTTCCAATTGTAGTAACGATATCTAATTCCAGATACCTCCTAATTTGGTCCTAGTTGTACCTTGCATGTCTTACGAAAATTTCAAGAGGAAGCCTTTCTAGGGTGTAAATTAGCAACTCTGATTGTTTCATGATTCGAAGAGCCCTGTAATTTGGGTGGCACCCATCTTCAGACTTAATACAATCCTAAAAAGTGAAGGATACGACCGTAACGAGTTAAAAAGCCTTGAAGTCAGGTGGTAGTTTTAGTATTTAAGACAATTGCCCAGCTGTCAATGCCAAGTACCACACTTCTGGAAGGCTCTCGCGCCTATATCAATAATATCGTGGTATGTCAAGCTAACTTATAAAGTTTCCTCGTACACAATACCAAATACTTAGGACAAACTTTAGTGCTTTTAATTGCATTCATTATTTTGTTCTTTCACGAATTCTCCGACCTTGACCTTGTCGAAAGTTGTGTTAGCTAGCAAATTAAAGATTCCTATCACCCGTGGTAGTGTCACTGAAGAAGCAAACCACTAATGTTACAGGTATGTCACCAGATATCGTTAATTTTCCTCAAAATTTGTATGCAGTTTTCCAATTTTCTGGTGCGTTCTGAAAATTTATTAAACTTACGACACCTAGGCGTCTGTGTCCTAGTCTGTCAAAGTTGTTAAATTGTTCATGCCGAGTGCCGACTGTAGTTGCTTGCTGCCTGTTAAACGTACCTTGTAACCAATAGCGTTACCAGTTACCAGTTACCAGTGTTGGGTATTGTCAGTACTTAGAATCTACGTCGCGTGGATATAGCATCCACTTAGCTCTCTTTACTCCAGTTCACTGTGTACTTATCTTCCCCCTAGTTGCAGTTTGCACGTGCAACACGTCATATGTTGCAGTTTGCACGTGCAACACGTCATACGTTGCAGTTTGCACGTGCAACACGTTATATGTTGCAGTTTGCACGTGCAACACGTCATATGTTGCAGTTTGCGCGTGTTACACATCATATGTTGATAATAATGTCTCGCACTACCCGTTATAACGGGTAGTGCGAGATTACCATGTGTATAAATACACATGGTTATTGCACTAATGTCTAATGCTATAGTGTAATCGTCTGTACCATAGACGTTATGAACTGCAGACGTTTTCCAAGCATTTTGTTCATGTAATCTTTACTCCAGCCCTAAACCACGCACAACCAAATTTTTTCAGAAATTGGTAATTTTTTGCCCCATTGTCTATTGTTATTAGACCTTGACCGTCAAGGAAAGAACGGGTTTCCTACGTCAAGGCTTGACAAAGGAATCCTATTCTTTCGGGAAATAAGGAATTTGACTTATCATTATCACTGACAGTGGCTCTATTCAGTAGACCATTAGCATAACTCCTAGTATTTATGCAGTGGTGATATTTTTAGGGCACCACTGAACACCAGTAAACACTGTGTCTGCGGTGCCATTTGTACCAACATTAATAACCTGTACCAACATTAATAAAGTTCATCAACATTAATAAAGTTAACCGACTGTTCAGATGTCTCTAGGATTCCTCCTGATTTGTGGCACTCTTGTGTCTTACCTTCAACTATGCTTTATCAGTGTTACTCCTTATCGAACCAAATTACTCGTAATTAAAACAGTCGTTAACTGAACCCATGTACAGGGTGGCCCATAAGTGACTACCCACACGCAACCTCTTAATAACTCACGTAATTCGTCTCCAAATTGCACCAAAATTTCAGAGATTATAGATATGGGTCAAACTTAGATTTCCTTAAAGTTTCGTAAGCCACGCCCAATTACAGTGGGCGTGGCATGACACTCCCTCTTTTTCACTATTGTCTTCATAAAATGAGAACGCTTTAAGCTAAGAACTCAACATTTTTTGCACACATTTGGCTTGATAATTGAAAACTTTTCCAAAAGTTTCAAGTTCATTGGTTAAAATATGGCTAAGTTATGACCATTTCAAAACTCATCGGATACGTGATCCGAGCACTCAGTCAGTGATCTCGTCACTTGGTTAATGGCCTGTTTGGCTCACATGCACCGCTTGATTGGTTGCAGCCTGCTTATGGGCCGGCCTATACAGATGACAGCACCTAAAACGCTATCACACGAATTTATGGTGGTGTCACCATTTCAGGGCTTGTTAGCCCTGCTAGTCACAGGTTCCTTACAATCAATAAAAAGGAATGAACCATCCATTGAATCATCGAAAATGGTTCACTATCCTCCCTTTACTGCAGAACAACGATTGTTCGACCAGTTCAGAATTTCCTCGCTAACAAGTTCGCCCACAGAACCATCGGGCAACATCTTGGAACACACTGGCCGGCTAGAAGTCCTGACCTTACACCGTGTGACTTCTTCCTGTGGGGGTGGGTGAAGGACCAACTCTATAAGAGATATCCTATTGCAAACATCACGCAGCTAAAGCACCACCTGATCGACATCATCCATAATATGGACCCAGCGTTTGCTACGAACGCTTGTCGGAGTGTGAAGAAGCGGTGCCTCAAGGTGATTGCAGCTGGGGGACGACAATTTGAACATCTTAATTGAAATTATTGAATTGTGTGGGAATTTTTATTAGTTGATTTCATTTATTGATTTATCCTAAAAATTTGTGTTTTCCTTTCTAGCAAAGTCATCATCGGTATCCAATCAAAGCCTAATGAACCTCATTAATACACGCTAACGCCTTACTCTTGATCAGATTGGGTGACGAGATCACTAATTGAGTGCAAATATCACTGACTGAGTGCTCGGATCACATATCCGATGGATTTTAAAATGGTCATAACTCAGCCATATTTTAACCAATGAACTTGAAACTTTTGGAAAAGTTTTCAATTATCAAGCCAAATGTGTGCAAAAAATTTTGAGTTCTTAGCTTAAAGCGTTCTCATTTTATGAAGACAATAGTGAAAAAGAGGGAGTGTCACGCCACGCCCACTGTAATTGGGCGTGGCTTACGAAACTTTCAGGAAATCTAAGTTTGACCCATATCTATAATCTCTGAAATTTTGGTGCAATTTGGAGACGAATTACGTGAGTTATTAAGAGGTTGCGTGTGGGTAGTCACTTATGGGCCACCCTGTAGCTACGTTGTAAGGTCTCATGGATGAAACGTCGTAAAGCGTATTTCCAGGAATCCAGAATTGGAAAAGTTTACCATTTGGGCTGTTTGGTTTGCTCGCAGTGTAGCAAAGGCTTTTCTGAGGACGATTCCCCAAAGCTAGCTAACGATGGTAAGTTCTTAATACTGACGCATGTTTTTCATTTCTTTGACGGATGTTCGATTAATTATGTCTGTTGTATGTAAGGCACCATATTTTATAAGTTGAATACATTTGGTAGCTACGTTTTACGATATAGGGGAAAAATATTCAAGTTTAACAGCCTCTAGAGTATAGAAGGGGACCAGATTTTTAATTTTTAACCTTCGACATTTTTCCTTTCTCGTAAAATTATGTTATTAAGGAAGCATTAAGACTCGCACAAAATATGAGCGTTGAGTTTGGCGTCAAAGCAAGGTGTACAACCGTAGTCCTGAGTATGGATAAAATGGGGTTAAAAGTAAACGGTTACAGATTCGTTAAACTGATTCTGTCAATAGTATTCCGTCTCCTTTTGTGACGAATCCGAAGAAAGAGTGATGTTAAAGAATACTTTATACATAGAAATTAAGATACGACTTCTATCACGGTCTTAATCGAATAACATACTCCAGGATCGTATAGACACGGGACGTGTGATTCTCCAGAACCTATCAGACGAAACTCCCATAACCAGTATTATGATAGAGAGTTTGCCAACGAGGTAAAATATCCCAACTGTTCTGTAGCTGATATTTTAAGTTTTAGCTGACACTTAATGCTTGACCACCATTGTAACCATGGCAATTCACATGCCACATAGCTCATTGTCAATTGTACTGCTGATTGTGGTTACGTTCCACAAAGCAAAATCAATCAGACCCTTTCCAAGACTTCAAAGTTTTTACATTCCTCAAACAGGTGCCAGAGAAAACATCAGCTCTGACGGATTACGAAGTTCAGATGTTAAGATCTCACAATGACGTCCGGGAAAAGTAAGTACCAAGTGAAACGATGATATTTTTAAAGCTTTGTTAATCGGTTTTTTAAAACAACTACAGAATCAGAATTCTATCAGTCCTATATTGCAATTTGCAGTCAATAAATCAATGTCATATTTAAATTTTATTGATTTAGTATAGCTTGACATAGGTCAAAAATAACATAAAATTAAATTAGAACAATCGGTACAAGATTCAATTATTTTGACTCCCTAATATAAACATGTAATATCTAAAATCATACGTACTCAACTTCCCGACTATTGTAAAAGACAATTCCCTCGTCAAATCTGATTTCTATTAAGACAAGTCTATCACAACAAAAACGATCATGTTTATTGGTTCATGACCCAGAAGCGCTTTCGTAAAACAAGATACAATCTAAATTCACAGCAAATATAATGCCCCTCCCGTCTCAGGCACAATGTAAAACCCGTGTTATGGTCTAAGAAGCTGGCTGCCCGAGCGAGGATATGGGCTATACATCTGACAGGTCCTGAACAAGTCTTACCCTTCAACTTCCATCTATATAGCAGCTCAGAAAGGAGCACCATTTGGTAAGTTGAAATTGTTTTCTGTCTATTATATCTCAATCAAGATTAGATTTTATTGCTCCTCACATGAAAAGCAAATCGTGAGTATCAGGTTCAATCAATCGCTGTACAAAAACATAAACAAAAGGAACAGGGATAATGTTTAAGATTTCTAGAGGGTCCGCGAATCCAACCTCAAATCAGTCAACATTAGTGTTAACGGTGCTACTGATAAAGTCCCTGACTTTTTGTATCGTGTCCAAATCATCTAACGATGATAGAGGTAAGTAACCTAGCAGATTTAGTTGGTAAGAAAGTAGCCCAACCAGACCTGCTATCAGGGAGTATTTTAGAGCGCTGTATAGAGTTCGTTTGAAACCGCTGAATTCGTCGTCTGGAGAGGAATGGTATAGAATTAAGACTTGATTTAGATTTAAAAAGGTCTTCGATGAGAACTTAATCATGACTCGTACCTAGAGACATATCTAGTTAAATTTTGATACGGTTGGGATATCAGTTTCACTTTCATTTTGTTAAAACCCACCTGAGTTGTAGAGCAAGAAAGTGTAGAGGAAATCCTTCAGTTTGCTGTTTTTAAATGGCGGATATCTGACGTCGTTAGCGAACTCCATACCAGCGTTCCGGCAGTGCACAGATTTGTAGTTGGTGAAGGCGTCGAACGAAGCTTTCCCGTGGTATCGACCTATGGAGACGTCATATTATGATCATAATATGTATTGTTTGCTGCGAAACTCGCTTCTAATTAGACAACAGGTGATTCCTCGGAAGAATTGGAATGATTTGACCGGTTTGAAAGGCGTGAAATTTATGGGAAACTTCTATAACAGAGGACTGACCTTGACCACTGTGACCAACTCCTCCAAAAGGCAGCTGTGGGATACAAACAAACGTTATCGTATCATTTACACTGAGAGTGCCCGAGGAAAGTTCTCTCTTCACTAGATCAATACTCTGTTCGTTGGTGGAGAAGAAGTATGTCACCAGAGGTTTTTCCCTTCGTCGGAGGGTATCTAACAGCGCGGGGAAATCTTCGTACTCCAGGATAGGCATTATAGGCCCAAAGATCTGTAGATAAAAATGTGTTGCCCATAATTGTTTACTTTATTTTATCAGGACAACGGAATAAACTTTCCTTTTACTTAGTTTGTAATTGTATGCATACCTTATCGGACCTTATTTGGACGGACATTACTTGAACGCTGGAGGCCCTAGCGTTCATTTTAATGTCCGTTCAAATAAAGTCCGTTCAATTAATGTCCGTCCAAGTTAAAGTCCGTTGAAATTTTTTCAAAAATTTGTCCATTTCGAACTTTTTGTCCAGAGGCAGAATATGACAACTATGAGAACTTTATTGTGCCGTAAGTTAACGACGGAAAGGGTCTCCTTGGTCTGCTGGAGGCATTAACGGGTGATACTCGTAAAATATCTGTTCCATATATTGGACCGTCGACGAGTCCAACTCGGCGCGCGTCCTGGTAGGTTGTAAACCTACAACTGGAGGCACAGAAAACTCTACTAGTATATGATGTTTTCAAGGGTCACTTGGCGGAAAAAGTCAATAATATAATAAGTGACGTTCAGGAAAATTTGATGGACGAAGAAAATTGAAAATTGAAAATAAGACACAAGTCCGGAAATGAGCTGGCGTTGGGATCGAATGATAAATTAGCTTAGCCGACTGAATGATTCAGGGAATCAATAAATATTTTAAGACTGTATAATTGGTGTGGAACAGCCCTTAAACATTCTGAAATTTCTGGAGGATTTCTGAAATTTCTGGAAATGATCTTACTTTACCTCACGTTTGCACCCGACACTAAGTGGACCGACAACGGTATGGGGGTCACGACATGATGGTATAGGGGTCACGACAATGGTATAATGGGGGTCAAGACTTCATTTACAAATCTTAATCAGGTAACCGGAAGTTAACCCAGTAGAGGAATCTATGAATCTTTCCTAGCCGTTAAGTAAACATCTACGGTAAGGTAATGCTTCCCTTGACGATAACCTAGCCTGCGGACATACTATGTTTCTAAGATAAACACATATCTCTGCGGCTATTTCTATCCTCAGGATACCAGATAATGTGAAAAAAACAGAACAGTTTATATTGGTCGTTCGCTTTTCTTATTCTGATTCATTCACGACCGATTTCATTCTCGGCAACATTTCGCGTTTAGTACAGAAACGGTAATTTAAATTGATATCATTTCTTTTTATTTGGAAAAAGGAAACTTTTGTTACGTTCCATGCACTTTATATTATTACCCAATTTTAGGTTTTGGAATAATAATGGAATTGAACATGAAATAATTTAAGTTTAACTACAAGTACATGTATATTGTATAGTGTCAGTGACAAATAAAAGTGTCAATGCAATGCAAACATTTATATGTGCCATTAATTTACGGGAAGGCCGCCAAAATTTTTGTCGAAATAATTTTTGGGAACTACCTTATCGGACCTTATTTGGACGGACATTACTTGAACGCTGGAGGCCCTAGCGTTCATTTTAATGTCCGTTCAAATAAAGTCCGTTCAATTAATGTCCGTCCAAGTTAAAGTCCGTTGAAATTTTTTCAAAAATTTGTCCATTTCGAACTTTTTGTCCAGAATATGACAACTATGAGAACTTTATTGTGCCGTAAGATAACGAAGGAAATGTTCTCCTTGGTCTGCTGGAGGCACAGAAAACTCTATTAGTATATGATGTTTACAAGGGTCACTTGGCGGAAAAAGTCAATAATAATATATGATAAGTGACGTTCAGGAAAATTTGATGGACGAAGAAAATTGAAAATTGAAAATAAGACACAAGTCCAGAAATGAGCTGGCGGTGGGATCGAATGATAAATTAGCTTAGCCGACTGAATGATTCAATGAAACAAGAAATATTTTAAGACTGTATAATTGGTGTGGAACAGCCCTTAAACATTCTGCAATTTATGGAGGATTTCTGGAATTTCTGGAAATGATCTTACTTTACCTCACGTTTGCACCCCGACACTAAGTGGACCGACAACGGTATGGGGGTCACGACATGATGGTATAGGGGTCACGACAATGGTATGGGGGTCAAGACTTCATATACAAATCTTAATCAGGTAACCGGAAGTTAACCCAGTAGAGGAATCTATGAATCTTTCCTAGCCGTTAAGTAAACATCTACGGTGATAATGCTTCCCTTGACGATAACCTAGCCTGCGGACATACTATGTTTCTAAGATAAACACATATCTCTGCGGCTATTTCTATCCTCAGGATACCAGATAATGTGAAAAAAACAGAACAGTTTATATTGGTCGTTCGCTTTTCTTATTCTGATTCATTCACGACCGATTTCATTCTCGGCAACATTTCGCGTTTAGTACAGAAACGGTAATTTAAATTGATGTCATTTCTTTTTATTTGGAAAAAGGAAACTTTTGTTACGTTCCATGCACTTTATATTATTACCCAATTTTAGGTGTTGGAATAATAATGGAATTAAACATGAAATAATTTAAGTTTAACTACAAGTACATGTATATTGTATAGTGTCAGTGACAAATAAAAGTGTCAATGCAATGCAAACATTTATATGTGCCATTAATTTACGGGAGGGCCGCCAAAATTTTTGTCGAAATAATTTTTGGGAACTAAGAGTAAAATAATAGACTTTCTAATTGTGGTACGAGAGAGCATATAATTATAAACAAGTTAATGCTATCAAAATTCTTGTTACTGGGCGGCGCTCGGCCTATCAATTGTCATTCCAATATATATTCAATCTGTTTATGAACAGAGAAGCCTCGAGGTCCCCAGGTAAAATTCGTGGCCGGGAGATATAATTAAATTTTTCAAACGTAATGTGGTAGTTGGTACCCTGATAATGACTTGTAAGTTATACTTAGACTTAAAGTTAAACCCATGTCTATACTGGAGCTACGCGTTTCCAAGAAAGCTTGATCACTTGATTCAATTTTTATTCAATTTCCCGTAAAACTAAAATAATTCCTCCTGTCCTACCCCTAGATACCTCGCAATGTTCACATGTAATAGCAGATAATTCAGGGGTATAGGAATTATTTTCTGTGCGCCACAGTCAGAATTTCAAAGGTTTTATAAATTTCAATACTATAGTAGTAGTACCGTACAGTTAAAGTTTGCCGAAGGCAAACATTTTTGAACATTTTGCTCGTGCAAAACGCCTGGAAGCAATTTGGCAATAGAGACATTTTGAACTATGCTTACACTGTACAACATTAAAATATTCTCTTAAAAAATATAACACTAGTTTTACTAGTATATGATGTTTTCGAGGGTCACTTGGCGGAAAAAGTCACCGAAATTATGGCACTCAACAACATAGTTCATGAGCTAGTCCCCGCCAACATGAAAAACTTGTTCCAGCCTCTAGATATTACGGTAAATCGTGTTGCCAAGGACATTGTCCGACGTTGTTATAGTTCATATTACTCAGGGGAGGTAATGAAACAGTGCTAGGAAAGCCCCACGTGATGTTAAGGTTAACCTAAAGTTGTCTAAGATAAAAACCACTTCACGCCGAATGGCTTGTAAAAGTTATCACTGAAATGCAGGACCGGGGTAGTTTGATAAAAAAAAGGTTTCCATAAAGCTAGAAATCACTGATCCTTGTTTAACCATGGACTATTTCATGCACGAAATCCCATTTGATGAAGATGATATGTGATATTAGACACTGATCATGTACACATATTTTAACATTTTTACTGCTTAATGACTGTTTTTTTTACATACTGTATAAAAAATGGATTTAAAAATCATTTTCTGAAATAAAAAAAACGTCAACAAATTGAAAAAAATTGGATTTTTGATGGTTTTGAATGCCTTCGAGGGTTCATATTAATGTCCGTTCATAATTATGTCCGTTCATGTAATGTCCGTCCAAATAAGGTCCGATAAGGTAGTATTAAATTTATCAGTGATAAAGGGTCTCAACCAAACCTCTTCGTCCATGACATTTGACTCAAATGTCACATCATCAAGAATTGTAGGAGCAATGTATCTGTCCTCGGCGTTAGTTTCACCTCCAAAGATTACTTTTCCGCCCTCCAGGATTGATTTGACTCTCTCAAAGTTTCTATCGTTCACTATCCTCGCGTAGTCCGGCGTCTTGGAGGGATCGTCCCCGTAAAACTCGGTGATGTATTTCTTCACGGAGGCAATGAATTCTTCCTTTTTTGATTTGTGGACTATGACATAATCCGGGGCGATGCAAACTTGCCCGGTGTTCATGAACTGAAAGGAATTGTTTTATTTTGGTGATTTACAGGCTTTTTTTGTTCACAAGCATCTATTTGATTCATTGGCAATCGGTAGGTATCGATACATCGAAATTAAAAGGAAAAAGGGTAACGAAGCCACAAAACTCAGCCCCTCAAAGGAAGCCGTGCTTGTAAAATGTCTAACATTCCCAACGGACCTTGCCCCAGCAAATTCTTCTCGCGGCCACGTCTACGTTAGCTGTTTCATCGACGATAGTGGGAGACTTTCCACCAAGCTCCAGTGTTGTGGATATCAGATTCGCGGCTGCTTTCGCTGCAACCTTCTTACCAATCGCTGTGCTTCCTACAATAAATTAACAATGAGAAAATAAACCCTTCGGCTATCACATCTATAAATAATTTATGACCATAATGAGTATTAATACTTTGTGATCTCTGGACTCTGGTCGTAAAGATTGCTGACCTGTAAAGAACACATGGTCCCACCGCTGCTCCATCAACTTCATCGCAATTTCAGGTCCACCCTGGAGAATCCTATAACAATCAGAATCCATATACTCTCTAAAGTACTGGACAAGAACTTTAGTAGAGTTAGGTACAATCTCGCTGGGTTTGATAACAGCACAACACCCCGCTGCAATAGCTCCGATTAGCGGGATCATGGTAAGTTGGAGGGGGTAGTTCCAAGCTCCAAATATCATGATTATTCCTCTGGGTTCAGGATACAAGTGAACATCATCTGCAGCGTACGCAGCGTCCTGGAGGCCAAGTGTTTAGACTTGATTGTGAGGTGAACAGTGATTGTGTGGATGAAAGGAGACGTTTGAAATAGTATGTCACATTAATTTGTCTATTTTGATTACATTAGTCCAAATACCAAGGCAAAGTATGCTGATTAAATTCTTGGACTGATGCCAGGACTCACCGTCTTTATTTTGGAAGGAGACATCCACTCCTCCAGGTTTCTGATGGTGTGGCCTATTTCATGGTCTGTGAAACGAATATCAGTGAAGTATAGTTCTTCTTCTGGCTTCCTCATATCTTTAACCACTGCTTCTGCATAGTCAGTCCTGATCGAGGATATTACTGGATAATGATCTACTTTAGGGATAATTATTACTGTTCTGTAATCTGTTCACTGATCACTATATTTATGATATAAATTAAAGTAGAATCAAGATCTTAGAAACAAGATCTTAGATGGTTGGTCTATGCATTCCTCTCTTATAATTGTATATTAATGTTAACTAAGATCGCGCATTTATCAATCATCAGTATCACTAGGGTTACCGAAAAGGAGATAAACACCTCAGGCCATCCCAACAATTGCGGGAGAGAGTAGAGACCTGCCCTTGTATCTTGTTGTATCAGTATCACTAACCTCAACGCTTTCAGCATGGCAGCTAACTGCTTGAGTTGAGACAGGCGGTACTGTATGGACCTTGTCTTGCCAGAGAAATAAACCTCTCTGAGTTCACTGACAATGTTTTCCATGTCTTCCAAGGTTTCTGGTTCTTTAGTGTCTTCGGGAGCACCCTAGAGATACAAAAAGTAAAAAACATTGCTGCTGTGTAAATCATAATGGGGTTTAAAATTGCCTGATTGTTAAAAGTTATTCCAAATAATTTAGAGAGCGTAATTGAGAGACTGTTTCGTCACAATATACTTCTGCTGCCAATGCAGAATGTTATCATTTAACCGTTTTTAAACAATTAAATCGTATTAACAACAGCCAAGTAGAAAATCCCAGAGCACAGAAGGCTTTGTTTCAATCTAACAGCGGACAGGATCAGAGCCTAAAGCAAGCGACTGTAACGAAAGAATACCGGTCTAAACAAATCTGATTTAAAGAAACAGGAGTAAGAATTATTCTGCTTGTTACATATCATAACGCATGATTCCACTTCAGACATACTTCAGTCATCGCGGAGCTCGGTAAATAATTTTAATAATGGAGAAACGATAACTAAATTTATAGATTTTATTTATTGAAATTCAGATATAAACAATCGTGAGCCGATTATCAGTGTTTAGGAATGACTGCTGAGTTGAAGGTACCGCTGCCGTTCGGGCGTCGGCTGGGCGCCTGTCGGGGCAGTGTCTATTGCAGTTATAATTATATTATCATAGATATGAGGCCAGCATAGCTCATAGTATTGTAATACTACCCGCTGCAATACCACTGAGGAACTTAGCATGGCATGGTCTTTGAAGAAAGAATTCGCCAATTCATATTTCTTATATAAATATTTAAAGACGGAATAAAATTATTGTATGCTTAATCCTCTAAATACACGAGAAGATCCCTAATGACCCCTGCATAACCATTAATCAATGGCCATGCCGAAGGACAACGGAAAGATTACCCGCTCAAGGACTGCAGCGAATATACATATAAAAAATACTGATATATATCAGTATTTTAAATTTTTAACGAACGTGCTACAAGGTCATCTGCACTATGATCTGGTCACGTGCTACAAGGTTATCTGCACTATGATCTGGTCACGTGCTACAAGGTTGTCTGCACTATGATCTGGTCACGTGCTACAAGGTTGTCTCCACTATGATCTGGTCACGTGTTACAAGGTTATCTCCACTATGATCTGGTCACGTGCTACAAGGTTATCTCCACTATGATCTGGTCACGTGCTACAAGGTTATCTGCACTATGATCTGGTCACGTGCTACAAGGTTATCTGCACTATGATCTGGTCACGTGCCACAAGGTTGTCTGCACTATGATCTGGTCACGTGCTACAAGGTTGTCTCCACTATGATCTGGTCACGTGTTACAAGGTTATCTCCACTATGATCTGGTCACGTGCTACAAGGTCATCTGCACTATAATCTGGTCACGTGCTACAAGGTTGTCTGCACTATGATCTGGTCACGTGCTACAAGGTTGTCTCCACTATGATCTGGTCACGTGTTACAAGGTTATCTCCACTATGATCTGGTCACGTGCTACAAGGTCATCTGCACTATAATCTGGTCACGTGCTACAAGGTTATCTGCACTATGATCTGGTCACGTGCTACAAGGTTATCTGCACTATGATCTGGTCACGTGCCACAAGGTTATCTCCACTATGATCTGGTCACGTGCTACAAGGTTATCTCCACTATGATCTGGTCACGTGCTACAATGTTATCTCCACTATGATCTGGTCACGTGCTACAAGGTTATCTCCGCTATAATCTGGTCACGTGCTACAAGGTTATCTCCACTATGATCTGGTCACGTGCTACAAGGTTATCTCCACTATGATCTGGTCACGTGCTACAAGGTTATCTCCACTATGATCTGGTCACGTGCTACAAGGTTATCTCCGCTATAATCTGGTCACGTATTATAAGGTTATCTGCACTATGATCTGGCCACGTGCTACAAGGTTATCTGCACTATGATCATTGATCTGGTCACGCGCTACAAGGTTATCTGCACTATAATCTGGTCACGTGCTACAAGGTTATCTCCACTATGATCTGGTCACGTGCTACAAGGTTATCTCCACTATGATCTGGTCACGTGCTACAAGGTTGTCTGCACTATGATCTGGTCACGTGTTACAAGGTTATCTCCACTATGATCTGGTCACGTGCTACAAGGTTATCTCCACTATGATCTGGTCACGTGCCGGATGAAGATAAAATCCCCAGTATTGTGATATGGCAGGCAGCAGCGGGTAATATTATAATACTGATAAAACAATTATTCATTTTTACGGCACAATCAAACAAATAAACAATGTCAACAGTAAGTAAATCAGTGGAGGCTTGAGGAGGTTTCAAGCGCCGAAGGTCACTGCAATTTCAGATCGTCTATATTCTTCAAAGGACCACTACTAGCTATCACCGAGACCAACATTAAAATTACTTCCCTCCCTAGCTTATTTTCGATAAACATCTATTAGTCTATGATGCCAAACGTATTATTCTCGAGAAACAGTAAACTGAATGAGTAGACGGAGCATGGCCCGTTTTTTGGGTTAACGAACTTATCAAGCATTTTGGGTATCTCGTTAACAAAATTGATTGGGTGAATATGTGACACGACACCTTAACTGGGCTGCGTTCACAATTAAACGGGGTCACATAATCACGTGATCACTGATCAGGTAAGCCAATCACCTGATCACACGTAATGAACAAACTCGTTATGCTTCGTTTCTAATTCATCTGAGAAGTAGAAGCTACAATTACTCTCATTTTTCAGAACAAACGTAATTCGAATGGCCAAACACAATTCAATAAAATTTGGCTGGATCCGATTATCAGGACTATCAAATAAATGCGATAATGAACTTTCACGCGAAAAAAGAACATGAATATTCATTGATTTAACATATTCCTTGAATGAGTGGTGATAGGAAGTCATACGAAAAAGAATTACCTCAATCGGGCATTCAGTGACTGAGCTATAAAGGCCAACGTATGTAACGTTACTTAATTGGTCCACCCTGTATATATCATAAACCTGTTTTAAAGCCGATATGGGTGGCCCTCGAGGACTTTCAATCAATCAATGCTTATCGTTGGATTTGAGAGTGACCACTGAAACCAGCTCAACCATCTTCGTCAATATACAAATATACAAAATATAAAAATTAAAATATAAAAATACTTCAACAAGCAATTTTGCACCCTTGAAAACTTCTGGGTGTAATTTGGTGACACAGGAGAACCCTGCTGAGTTTAATTTTAAAATTTAGGTTTTAGTTTAAAATTTAAGTTTTAGTTTAAAATTTAAGTTTAAGAAGTGTACTATTCTGGCCTCTATGATAATATAACTCCGGCGCCCTACCGGCAGCGGTATCCGCTCAAACTGCCGTAAAGAAATAGGAAACAAACTAAATGAATCATGAATCAAAACACATCCTGATGATTTGCTAAAGTGCTAAGGTGCTAAGAATCAAGATACAGCCGATAATGAAGTGCTTACAATTACCAATAATCAAGACAGACAGAGATATCATAAGTTTAGTCTTGTCTGCATTTATGTGTGATACTATTGAAATGCTTTGTGTTGGAAATTTTATTTATCGATTGATATCACTAAAGCTACTTAGCTAAGAACTTGACGGCGCGGATGTTACTCGTCTAAATTTCTTCGAAGTAGCGCGCGCCGGGCCAGACCATTAACAATGGTCAAGCTAAGAACACACCCTAAGAATCGGAGACTGCGAGTAACATGGAGCATCGCCAACAAATAAAAATGAAAATTAACAAAATTTACCTAAAGACTTAATACCAGAGGCAGTAAACATACACACTCAGATCAGTTAAAGTTCAACTTCCTAATTCTAGTGAAGTTGTTCGAGGTTCCCGCTTGATAAAATCATACAACTCTGTTAATCCCAGATATTCACCTTCATCTTGTTATCATAACATGTCCCGTGGATCAAATCACAACGTAATTGTATTATAATCGGTCCAAAATTAATCAAACTAATAATAAAAGTGTACTAAGCTCATGATAGACGTCTTTGGAGAAGTTATGGGTGAGTCGAGACTACTCGGCCACTCGATTTTATGATTTAATTTCTATTATCTTGTGTTTGCTGTATATAGTTGATTAATAATAATAATAATAAAAGGATTTTTAAAGGACACCGAACTTTACTCAGAAACCTTTGCCTGTTTTGATTTATCAATTTTAGCGCGGTGACGTTAATTTCATTCATAATTCTTTTCAACTTATCTTGATAAATTTATTTCACCATGTTTCATAATTGTGTTAATCAAAAAATCGATGATGCAAATCGGCCTTAGCCCTTATATCAAAATTTGAAACTGAGGTCAGTATTTTTGGAACATTTGACAAATAATGGTAAACATTTCCAATTTGATCTGCTGTACGACCACAGGTACTCACGTTATTCAGCACTTGACACACATCTCGCACACACATGCCTGCAAGCGCAAGGAAAAATGTAGCTTGTTAACGAGCACCTACAAAATGAAGTGAATAACAACAGCACTAGAAACGACAAGAGAGAGATAGAGCACTGGGCAGTATAACTATAAGTACTGATTTTTGGCCTCTCCTGTATCCTTAAAATGCTTCACCAAAACCTGCCCAGCTCCAACAACCTTCAAGTGCATCAATTTTGTGCTATTCAGTATTCAGCAAGAATCCTCCTTACTGGGCGGCGCTGAGCCTGTCATTCCGCCGCAGCTTTAATCGTGTTCAATGTGTTTATGAATATTATTATCCTGGGGTCCCCAGGTAAGAATCCTCCCAGGTGAATGGTAAGAATTTGGAAACTTTTAAAGCGGAAATATGGTTTCATAATATGACTTTATAACTAAGCAGCAATGAATTGAGAAGCCGGGAAATGTAAAAGCTGTCCAGTATGAACTTTCGGACAAAGTCAGTGCAAGGCAGGTGTGGAGGAGCGAGACGTTCTGTTCACTAGGATAAATACTGACAAATAAATTATATTTTGTTTCATGGGAAATGAATGGGCTACATTCAGTTCAAGACTGTCTAGTGTCTGACTAATTTGGTAAGTTACGGTGACAAATCAGTGGATTTTAGAAGCTTTTGTGCCTCTGATAATCTATAGAGACTGTTTATACTTTATTAGGGCTCAAAATCGAGCATAGAAGTTAAATCTATATTTCTGTAAGTGTAACTTACTAAGTTACTAGAGAAAACCCTAAAGTCGTAGGATCCTACTCATAAAACTATGCAAAAACCTCAAGGATTTAAAGTTGTTCAAATTCTAGACTTAATACTCGTGGTAGTTGTCTCCCTCAAAATTTTCTGCTGAAACTATAATCTTTGGGCGTTTTAAAATAAGTTATTTAATCTTGCTCGAACATTTTTCACTACACCATCAACTTAAAGTGCGACTTATCAGCTTACTCATATTAACTTAGAGATGGAGATGGATTGAAAGAATAATTATAATCTATCCAAAATTTGCACAGATTCTGAGGACGATTTTACAACTGTTTAATCTATTCGTTGTTGCGTTTCTTTTTTCAAAGAAATTACTAAACTGGATTATTTTACGAGCAAATACAAGTTGTTGGTAAGTGATACGACAAATCTAGCCTACTAAAAGTTTCCTGTCAATGAAAAATTGTCAGGGACTTAAGATTCGTATGAAATGACATATTATATTACATTATATTAATGTAATTGTCATTTTAACATTCACGTTATTGTTATTTCTAATGAATCTCACGATTGTTCTTTGACATGGAACTTTTAGTAGGCTAAATTCGTTGTCTCATTTCGTAAATGCTTAATCTATTGTCATTAAGATATTTTTAAGCAATTGATTCCGCGACCTATGAATAGACACATACGACCTGATACGATTACAGAATGACCCTGTATTTCACGGAAGATGGCAAACGACCTTGCTCTAACTGACATCAAGATGGTATTCAAGGAAAACGGTCGACACGACATAAAATCCATAGTCCCACCACTAACAACAAGTCGCATCGATCAGTGACCACTCGTTACAATAACTCATTTGGAGTCAATGCAGCAGGATTATTGAACCTTCTCCCACGACAAGTTAACCTTCTCCCACGACAAGTTAACAGCCCAACTGCTCTTATAGGACCCTTCAATGGAAAAGTTTCCCGATCCTTCAATGGAAAGGTTTCCCGATACACCGCCAACCAAAGGATACACCGCCATCACCAACAACTCAGTCTTGCAATGGAATCTACAAAAGGAGTTGGACCTGGAATGATTGAACTTTGAAGGACGTTATATTACATATTTTGTGATGTTGAGGGGATTTGGCATAATTTGGCCAAAAACTAGGACCAAATATGGGAATGGCTGCACCACGGGCGCCCTGGGACCCCCTTAACATTTTGGTCACTGGTCTTAGTTTGTTGGTTAACTATCTCGAAAACAAGTTTCACAAAAAAATCGGGGTGACCCCAACTTTCACTTTCACCTTACTTGCAACAGTAAAAAACAGTTCTTGTTAGTAGTAAATAAAAAAATGTACAATGAACATATTTCGTACAAAGGTCAAAATATTCCAACGAAAGCTGACTAAAGATCCATTTCTAAATTATATTTTAATCAGCAAACAATTTAGAAGTAAAACTGTTCAAATCGTATTTGACGTAGGTTAACTCAACAAACTAGAATCTGGGCAAATTAATAGTCAGAAGAAAGTGATAAATAACAGCGAAATTAAATCCTGGCATCAAAAGACAATGTGAGAGTTGAAATGAAAATCTGGCCGCAAATGGTGAAGCATAACAGTTGTGGTATGATAATTCTATCACATACTATACACTGGAATCATTACACATACCAAGATCGGGATGATTCTGAAGTTGAAGACACAATTTACTTTTTAATTTTGTGCTCGACGAAACGAATTTGAAAATAAAAAATCATATCCTCTATCGAAATCATAAGGAAATGCAGACTATGACTATGAGACGCGCCAACTTAAGACCAGTCAAGTATAAATGTAAAACAACATGCAGTCGTTTTCAGTTTTAGGGGAGCAAAAATAAAAGTGATATCATCATCTTGACCGTAAAATTACGGGTAAAATAAGGATTCAATCAGTAGCACTTAAGTAAGTATCCGAAATTAATCTTATCTTAACTGATTTTAGCAGTAAGTACTAAGTACTTATTACACTTAGTAGATAACAATGTATAATATTGTATTTCCTTGTCATTATATATGTAAAATATACTTTATACAGACCATACAGTCACTATACGGCCTCTTTATGGCCGCTTTACATCCACCGTAACGATGGCCATTCCTCTAGAGTCTGGATATTTAACTTTAGGCACCTATTTCTACATTTTTAAGTTTCAACACAAGCTGATAAGGATTATTCAAACATTTGACCGTTCTCAGCTTCAAATTGAAGCGGTCCACAACAACACAAGAACACAAGAACAATGACAAATCAGTCGATATCTGAACGATCAAAGAAATAGACTGTGAAATCAAACTCGTCTGGAATTCATCCGGAAAATTTGATAGGCATGATTTTATTTTAAAATTATCGGGTATAAAGGCCCAAGATATTGCTCATAATCGAATCTTATTAGGAAAATAAAGTCTTGATTGCAATTGCAAGCCCGGCCCGGATGTGCAACAAAATTGTAATGAACTTGTCCCTATTAAACTGGTTCCTATTTATGAGTACCTATTGCTGAAAGCACAGTGTAAGGCCTACACGGACCGCCTCTAACTAGCCAATCCCTGTTTACATGCCGTGTAGCAGGGGACTAGAGAGAGCTAAACTAGTAAGCGGGGCATAGCCAATACACTATACTCCCATCATTGAGTATATTACCAACCAAGAGGAAAATTTCCTTGTGTATAGTCAGTAAAACATTTCAAGTGCATTTAATTTTCAACCACTTAATAAGGAACATTTTGAACTCAGTTGTTATGGACAGGTTGATTTCGGAATAAAAACCGTTTTTAACCACATTTTGAAAAAACAATAACATTTTTTTTTATATTTTACCAAATTTTCAAAATTTTGGACATTTTCAAGATGTTGGTAATGTCAACAGTAGATAACGTCCATAACAACTAAGATTTTGAAAGTAAACATTATTTTAAACACTGTCCATAAAAGAAAATAGTTGCTCGATACTACGGGAGAATATCAACCAAAACTGCAGTTCTTCTGCATCTTTGCTTGAAGCCAGTTTAGTTTCCTAAACTCATGTAATGCTTTAGTGTCATCTTCATATCGTCGTTGGAGATTTCTTTGAGGTTCAGGAGGCTTTGAAATAATTTGGAAGCAGCTGCTTTGAAGTTGTCTTGGTATCCTTGAGTCTTGTAGGTGATAAATTTGGACGTTATGCCACTGAAGTCGAGCTTTTCTAATACATACCTCGTTTTGACGTCCATTTTCTCTTGCTTTTCAAGATGTGCCGTCACTTGTTCTACAATTATAGTGGAGTATTCCTTTGGTATATTCTCATTACGATTATTGTGGGTTTTGCAGCGAATTTGATGATTTGGAACGTATCGATTACTTATATTAGCAAGGCGGATAAAGAAGTCCAGCTGATCCAAAGGAAGGGTCTTCAAATCCTCTAACATCTTCTCCGTCCGTAATATTTCCTGGTTACACATTATGCTGGTTTTCTTCTGAGCCAAAGCGTCCAGGTATTTTCCATCTTTGTCAAATGCTTTTGCTGCGATGGCTTCCTCCATTAGGAACTTGTCATCATCATCAACTGAGGCGTTATTAGGGGCCGCGTTCATCAGCGTGCTGAAATACTCCAGACACTTTTGTTGTATCCAAGTTACTTGAAAGGTGTAAGCCAGCTTGCTTGCTTGTCTGAAGATGTCCTTATCCAACGTTCCAAAGTCTCCGGTGTAAAGACTTTTCAGAAATCTTTTACACACAGCTGCGTCAAACTCATCCATCTCTACAGTCTTCAGATTCTTCTTTTCGATTATTTCTTCCAGATAGGGACTGTTAACAGCCATAATCATGGAGTTAACTTTGATCTTCTTCCCATCTTTCAAGCTGACCTCAATGTTTGAGTGGTGCCCTGAGTTAAAGTACTTCTCCCCAAAGTTGTGAGGAACCGCTGGGGTAGCTTTAGCCATCTTTACAAGCTGCTTCTAACGTAGAAAAAAGAAATGATGGAGAACAAGATGTACTTTGTCTCGGACAGACAGTGAAGCAAGAAGTTGAACTGGTGATCTTTATAAACTGAGATCATGTCAGTCAAACTAAATCATTTGATTAAAGTTGCGCTCAACAACAAAAAAGTTACGCTCAAGATCTGCTTTCTGATCTCACATGATGTCCGATTAACATTTGCTGTGGATAATTTGACTGCCTGCTCGTCCTATTCCTAAAATTGGAGGCATTATGTGCGAGACTGGATTGACAATTTTTTGAGAGTGGAATGACGGTTGATATTACTTGGTACTCTTCACGACTAATTATCTAATTAAACATCAGGATATTCGATCATTGCTTAATCAGGTCATAACGTGGGTCACATCAATTATATCCTAGAACATTTCAAATTAAAGTCCTGAATTGACGGATTCGTTTTGGACTCAAAATCCAAATGACTAGAATAACTGTAAGTATTTACACAAATATATCCTTCAGGGCAGAACATTGGGGTGATCTTCAGCCGAAAATCTGCAGGGAAGATCGTAAATCAGAGTATTGGAACTTGGTATGACAACGCCGCCAAGATCTACGACTTCTCCGATGGAAATCCGGACCAGGTTAGTTAGTTATACATGCAGCCATGTTATGTACAAGTCAAGCTATCAGTTCATAAGCTATATATAATCCTGACGCTGTTATAGTTTTTAAGTATGAACTAGACTCTTGTCCGAGAACAGTATGAGTGCAATATTAAGATATTAGATCTGCAACTTACCATAATTAAATTAGCGATATTTCTGATGGAACTCTGATAATGTGTTTGTGCACCAGTGTCTTGAGGTTGTAATAGCTTCAAAACATCTTTCCAGTGCAACTAAGTCTCATCATATCATGAATAACAAATGACAAATAAATCAAATGATCGTAAAACTGATTACTCGACACAAAGAAACGAAAAAATAGTAAAATGGATGGACATGTTTTCATTCAGTTGAGTATTGAAATGAAGTTTAAGAATTGGCAGACATAACAATTACACGGCTGTCAATTAAGGTTTAAATCACCTGTACATTGTACTAATGTAATCGTCATTGATGTGTAATTTGTACAGTTTTGTACAATATGATATATTTTACAAGATATGGTGACATCAGGTCAAATCATACATTTCGTTAGCATTGTATTGTTGCCAATTTTGATTTACAACGAAGTCACAGTTGACAATAAAATTGGTCACGTAATTGTTAGCTATCTGACAAAAACGGTTTTTTCAGTTTGATACAGTTCGTAACAAATTGTTCAAAATGATAGTAAACTTGTATCGAATATCGCTGTTTCACGGATGAAAGAAATCTTTTAAATTCAAAATGACAGTTCCTTACGAACAAAACCACTGGCCAAGACCACTCCAATAAACATTTCAATACTTTAATGAATGTCATCCGATAATTATCTTTTTCATCACTTGTTATTTTTGCCATTCTTGGCAAATATGGGGAAATAAAAGAGAATTTGACAACCTTATGGAAAAAATTTATGACGCACCCCCAATTATCAATGCCTAAAAATTTAAATCAGAAATAGATATTTACCATTTTCAGTCCGCGATGAGTATCAATCAGTTGATTCCAAGCTTATTGTAGAGAAGTGAGATTTTTCCAAACGTATCGCTCCCTAGGCAACCAAACTTTCTCCAAGACAACAGCAACACGCGACTGATCGTTCCCTGACTTGTGGCCTAGGAGTTTATCTTGAAATAAAAAATTCCTGTCTTTATCGGAAATTTGATATCGAAATTCTTCACTCGTGCACTGCAATATACCAAGAACCTTAAACCGACAAAAATTTACAAGAAGGAAAAACTTGAACAATGAACATTGATAAGAATTTCCCTGTGTTAATGTATTTACGTGTGGAACAGAAGACGATAACCGTAATGCATTACCCTGTACGTGCAGTAAAATAGTATATTATCACGTCAAGAGGTTCAGTTACTCCAACCGGCGATAAAACACGGCATGTAATTATAAAGTGTTGTACATAGCATAGTACCAAGCAGGAAAAGTAGGGAGGCATTACTTCAGAACCAAACACTCTTAATTAATCAATATCTCACTTTTACATTTCTTAACAAGGCTGTCTATATTTACTTATTTAACACTCTCGTTGATTTATAATTCGGGTTAAGTTTATCGCATGAGATGGAGCTGAAGGCTTAAACCTACAGGGAACACACCAAAACAGAATTTCATACAAAATTTGACTTGGTCTCGTCTTGATTAAAGCCGTATTTTGAACTTGAGTACTTGATACTGGGTAAATTAGGTTATACTGTGAGTTAGTGATGATTTTGCTACTCGCAAATCTTACGAACTGTTATAGCGGGTTACAAAATGCGAATCACCCTAGAGGATTGTAGAACTTGTACAATAGATAAAACTTAAAGAACAGGGGCAAAAAAGATATAGAGTTGTGCCCGAAACTTTTAGATACATTAATTTCCTGCTGCAATTAGTACTTCTGTATCATTACCTCATTACTGCAAACCATACCACAAACCTGCATAACCACTTTAGTAAATAGTTAACAAGATATCAAACAGCTATAATTGAGTCAAAACAAGACTGATTGAGAAGCCAAACGAAGTCCGCCTTTTCCTTGAGATGCAACACAATGTTTTGCTGGTAGACGATATGGTGCCCGACTAATCCTTAAGATGTAACACAATGTTTTGCTGGTAGACGATGTGGTGCCCGACTAATCCTTGAGATGCAACACAATTTTTTGCTGGTAGACGATATGGTGCCCGACTAATCCTTGAGATGCAACACAATGTTTTGCTGGTAGACGATGTGGTGCCCGACTAATCCTTGAGATGCAACACAATGTTTTGCTGGTAGACGATATGGTGCCCGACTAATCCTTGAGATGCAACACAATGTTTTGCTGGTAGACGATATGGTGCCCGACTAATCCTTGAGATGCAACAAAATGTTTTGCTGGTAGACGATATGGTGCCCGACTAATCCTTAAGATGCAACACAATGTTTTGCTAGTAGACGATATGGTGCCCGACTAATCGCGATTGCAATTACAATTGTCTACCTCTAGCTGAACCAGCAAACACTAAATAAGTAAATAAACAGCTGAGTGCCTGGAGGTTACCAAGAACGGTTACTAATGTTTTAAAATTATCCTGGATACACTCAATAAACTAGTCGACAGTAATCAGCCATTACGATTGAAGATAAACATGAAATCCTACACATCCCCGCAATAACCCCTACAAATAACTCTAACACAACTTTACCGTGACGAGAAGTACGAACTTTATACTGCCAACCAGCAGATAATATTGATGAATTTTTTGTCGTCCACGATTAACTAAAAATCAGGTAGCTAACTGTTAAACCAGGGCCCGGAAAACGACTCGAGAATAATATGTTAATTGGGTTTAACATACAACTATTTCTCCGCTCCTTCTCAGCGGAGGAGTAGTACTGGTTCTGAGGACAACATAAAAAGGGAATCTCACTCAACGCCATAACAGTGCTTTTGTATGGATTCGGCAAAAATGTCTCTCCCGGCCCCGAAGAGTACTCAATACGTGGTTAAACTTTAAACTGGTGCTAAACATTTTTTTTTGTAAAATCACGCATTGTGCACCATTATACGAAACCTGTCATGCTGTACTTAAGATTTAACAATCTTGTATTATTGGAGCCTTTCCATTAACAACAACCGTCATGCGTCATCAATATTTGTGTATCTGAGTAACTTTGTTGTAATATATTTTACCTTTTTCAGGAGCAGTGCGCCTTCACCCAGATGATTTGGGATAAAACCACGAGGATCGGAGGGTGTCTCACCTGGTATGGGAACATTGGTTTTGTTGTTATGAACTACTGGCCTCCAGGGAATACCAGGGGTCATTTCCTCAGAAACGTATTCCCACGAGTGCTACCTGAAAAAGAGGGCGGGGTTGAGAGGGTTGTACTTGCCAAAGATAATTTCACGAGCTTTCTGAAAGTTGATCAGAAAAATGTTGAAAGTGATCAAAAGAAAGATAAAATCGAAGCTAAGATTGAGGTAACTCAGCCGGAAAAAGAATTAAGTACAACATCTCAAGCAGGTGATGATATGTCCGAGATTACAACAAAACCTGTGGTAGAAACTGTGGTAGAACCTGTGGTAGAACCTGTGATAGAACCTGTGATAGAACCTGTGATAGAACCTGTGGTAGAAACTGTGGTAGAACCTGTGATAGAACCTGTGATAGAACCTGCAGTAGAACCTGTGATAGAACCTGTGGTACAACCTGTGGTACAACCTGAAGCAGAACCTTTAGCAGAACTTTCAACAGGAAATGCAGCAGAACCTGTTGGGAAGGAAGCTGATGAAGAGATTTATGAAGTGATGGGAAATGTTGAGAAGGAAGCTGATGAGGACATTTATGAAGTGATGGGAAATGTTGGGAAGGAAGCTGATGAGGAGATTTATGAAGTGATGGGAAATGTTGGGAAGGAAGCTGATGATGAGATTTATGAAGTAATGGGAAATGTTGGGAAGGAAGCTGATGATGAGATTTATGAAGTGATGGGAAATGTTGGGAAGGAAGCTGATGATGAGATTTATGAAGTAATGGGAAATGTTGGGAAGGATGCTGATGAAGAGCTTTATGAGGTGATGGGAAATGTTGGGAAGGAAGCTGATGATGAGATTTATGAAGTAATGGGAAATGTTGGGAAGGATGCTGATGAAGAGCTTTATGAGGTGATGGGAAATGTTGGGAAGGAAGCTGATGAAGAGATTTATGAAGTGATGGGAAATGTTGAGAAGGAAGCTGATGAGGACATTTATGAAGTGATGGGAAATGTTGAGAAGGAAGCTGACGAAGAGATTTATGAAGTGATGGGAAATGATGGGAAGGAAGCTGAGATGGAAGAATCAGACTACGAATATATGAAAACAGGTATTTCAGAGAGTAAGAAAGATTCAGGGCTAGGAGATTCTGCAGTATCATCTCAATTGCTAGAGGAAAGTTACTCTCTTTCTCCTGAGGGTGACAACGCAGTGTTTGAAGAACCAATTTACATGGATTTAATGGATCTGCATCCAGAGGGTGAGTATATGGAACATCATCCGGCGAACGACATGAAACCTGCCAAGAAACCATATTATGCGAACGGGCATGCTTCTAAAAACATGTACGAAAACACAAACAAGTTTGATCATGAATACCACAACATGAAACGTATGGATAGCTACAATGATCACGACTATGAAACCTTATCTCGCCACCAATCTTCGAAGAAGGAAGAAATAGTTTACGATACGCCTACTCCCATTATTTCAGGTGGCTTATCGGGCGCTATTTTCCTATTTTCTGAACCACCACCAATTGAAAGCAGTGAAACAGAACCTGCACCTGCACCCAAATCTGCAGTAGAACCCGCACCAGAACCTGTTAAAGAACCTGCACCAGAACCTGTTAAAGAACCAGCAGTAGAACCTGTGGTAGAACCTGTGGTAGAACCTGTGGTAGAACCTGTGGTAGAACCTGTGGTAGAACCTGTGGTAGAACCTGTGGTAGAACCTGTGGTAGAACCTGTGGTAGAACCTGTGGTAGAACCTGTGGTAGAACCAGTAGCAGAATCTGTGACGGAACCTGCAGCAGAGTCTGTTTCAGAACCTGCAGTAGAACCAGTAGCAAAAACTGTGACGGAACCTGTAGTAGAACCTGTAGTAGAACCTGTGGTAGAACCTGTGATAGAACCATTAGCAGAATCTGTGACGGAACCTGCACCAGAACCTGCAGTAGAACCCGTGGTAGAACCAGTAGCAGAATCTGTGGTAGAACCAGTAGCAGAATCTGTGACGGAACCTGCACCAGAACCTGCAGTAGAATCTGTGGTAGAACCAGTGGAAGAACCTGCCGAGTGTGTTTCAGAACCTGCACCAGAACCTGCAGTAGAACCAGTAGCAGAACCTGTGATGGAACCAGTAGCAGAATCTGTGACGGAACCTGCACCAGAACCTGCAGTAGAATCTGTGGTAGAACCAGTTGAAGAACCTGTAGCAGAACCTGTGACGGAACCTGCAACCGAGTCTGTTTCAGAACTTGTGGTAGAACCTGCAGTAGAACCTGTGATGGAACCTGTGATAGAACCAGTAGCAGAATCTGTGACGGAACCTGCACCAGAACCTGCAGTAGAACCCGTGGTAGAACCAGTAGCAGAATCTGTGGTAGAACCAGTAGCAGAATCTGTGACGGAACCTCCAGCCGAGTGTGTTTTAGAACCTGCACCAGAACCTGCAGTAGAACCAGTAGCAGAACCTGTGATGGAACCAGTAGCAGAATCTGTGACGGAACCTCCAGCCGAGTGTGTTTTAGAACCTGCACCAGAACCTGCAGTAGAACCAGTAGCAGAACCTGTGATGGAACCAGTAGCAGAATCTGTGACGGAACCTGCACCAGAACCTGCAGTAGAATCTGTGGTAGAACCAGTGGAAGAACCTGTAGCAGAAACTGCAGTAGAACCTGTAGCAGAAACTGCGGTAGAATCAGTAGCAGAACCTGTGGTAGTACCTGCACCAGAACCTGCAGTAGAACCTGTAGCAGAATCTGTGACGGAACCTGCAGCAGAACCTGCAGTAGAACCTCTGGTAGAACTTGTGGTAGAACCTGTGGTAGAACCTGTAGCAGAATCTGTGATAGAACCTGCAGCCGAGTCTGTTTCAGAAGCTGTGGTAGAACCTGTGGTAGAACCAGTAGCAGAACCTGTGAAGGAACCTGCACCAGAACCTGTTTTAGAACCTGAAGTAGAACCTGTTACAAAGCTTGTATGAGAACCTGTAGAAGACCTATCCACAAACCTTCCAAGTTGGACAGAACCTATTTCATTAGATAATAGTGCTACAAAACCAAAAGAACCAATCCAAAATGGAAATAGTATTTTCCATTTTTCCCTAGCAATTTAACCTGTAGTAAACGTAGAGTTCTAACCGTTCAGAACAATCTGAAGAATGAATGAATATTTTCATCCGGAACCGATATTGCATGTAATTTAATTTGTGACTTAAATTTTTAGTAGAAAGGTCATGTACGAACGCATAATTGCGATGCTATTGCTTTCTGCATTTAAGTCGAGTCATTGATACGTCTTTGCTTTTTTATCAATTTTAACATGGATTTTATCAACCATACAGAAATTTTGAAAAATGCTTTTGTACTTGTAGGAACTAGGACTAGGAGACTATGAAATTTATCGATTATGTTTATTTGTAAATGAACTCGAGTATATGAATAATCGACAATTCCACATTTATGAATGAATGGCTGTCATTATGTATATATGGAATTTTCCGATTGTAATTTTGTAATTTTAAGTTGTGGCAAGAAACTTGAAAGTAGACACTGGCCATAACACTGATGTGCAGATTGTAAAAACTGAATTGTGTACATGCAACGGCCATTGCGATTTTAAACCACGTTTTGATGAAAATTCAGGAGTTCTGATCGATTTTGATGCCTGATATCTTATTCTTATGTTAGTGTGTTCTTAGATCTACTGTTAATTGTTTGTAACTATTATGATATGCTATTAGAATTTGAATTATATTTTACGTTTCGTTTTTAATTATGAAATCTGAGTTTCAATTAGCTTCTTAGATGTATACATGCATAAATGTAAATGCGGTCAGATTTTTGACGACAGGCATGAGGCAATATCAATATAATTGTAGCTTACTTTAAATTTCGGTTTGCTTACTCAAATGTCAAAACTGAAGAGTGAAGACACAATCTTTAAATCAACTCTGACTTTAATCACAATTAATTTGAAAGCTCCAGGGCCGTCATGAGGGCCGACTAAATGCGAAAGCTGTAATGTGTAAGTGTAAGACTAGATAGCGCGAGCGGTCTTTAGTGCTACTGCTACTACAAGTACAGTTAACGTAGATTAAGTAGGGCACTTTAAGAGGATTTAGTTTTATATGTCGCCCTATAATTAATATAACTCGTATTAAGATATTGAAAAGCACTGATACTTTAAAAGTTAAACTCAATGATTGAAATCAAATAATGTAATTTTACTTTTGAAATTGAATACATCAAACTGCAAACAGATAATAAAGCATCGTCAAAATCTGGTCACTTCATGGAAAAATACTTAACATCATATAATCTCTTCCGTTTAACCCTATCTTTAGCTGCGATTCTTTTAATTGCATTAATTAAAACCTATCATTATCTAAAACAGTCAGTCTGAGTCTACATTCCCTCCAAAACATGCTTACATTTCATTCTAGCACTTGCCAGGGTTCACACTTAACCTTGGCAGTATGGCATTGTTCACTCTACTACTTGGCATTCTGCCAGAATTAGTAACTCTGTCACCTAAGGTCAGCAGCAACGAATAGCAGGGAGAGTGGGGTGGTGACCACAGTAAGGGTGGTGAATATTGCAGCTACAGTGAAGAGCATGGACTCCACTTCCATATCTGCAGCTATAACTCCAAATACTATGGGTCCAGCTAGAGAGCCAACTCCGTGAAGGAAACCAACCTGGGGGGAGTTAACAATGTGAAATATGTGCGGCAAACTGGGATTTAAGAATTGGGAATGATTACCATGGTTACCACCCAGACTTGAGACTCTAGAGGACAAGTATTCGAGTATTGTAAATCCAATTAAGCAATTGTAAATCTCGTAAATTTTCTTTGATATCATTTCGTGTCTTTATACATCAAGTAAATGATATCGATAGTTTGGATTTAAGACCACGCTGGTCACCTTTCTATCTAATTTACGGCACAGATCCTGTTTCATAGTAGCCATAAAGCAACTATTCAAATTTTCATTACATCACAGTAATTGTAATAAAATGAAAATACAGAAAATATGCCTGAACTTCTATCCTACCTTGGAATTGACGTAGTCCCTAACCGAGAAACTCTTCATTGCGGGGAGATGTATACTTTCGTAGTAGCTTGTCACAACTGAGTCTATCACCTCTTCCTAGAATAGAGTGGAATTGATAATTCGGATTGAAAAGGCATCAACAGACATGTACACAAGTCCTCTTTTGACAATCGTTAAAAAACAGTTACGGCTCCCTCCTTTCTTAGCTGGATATACCCCTGCGCGGAAATTAACAACCTCTCAACCATTTAATTCTTCAAATTGTTTGTTATGATTGAGCAAATTTATCAATGACCGAATGAAGGTGTCGACTTTTTAGACTCGAGGTTTTATAAGGAGAGCAAATTTTAACGGTTTAATAACCAATTTGTAAAAAATTATAAAAAAACATGAATACCTCTTCGTGTAACTCATAGTCATATTTAGAAAAAAAATCCCCAAATATGATAATGATGCTAAATTTTTAGTATAAAACGAATTAAAAAATAAATTATAATCACAAAAGGTGAGAAATTTCACTTCAAATATCGTCAACAATTAACTGTCAAGATTCAATAAAAATGTTCAATATAAAATAAAGTTCGTACCATCATAAATCTAAATGCTCCATTGATCTAGAAGTTTTCAGCGAGCTCCTCCTCTAGGGTAGGTTGAGGACATCCAGCATCCAGGATGGGTTGCAACCTTTCTGCCTCATCAGGACATCCAGCTTCCATCTCCCAGTTGGTGAGATCGTTGCTGTTCTTCGGGACAGGGTCTCCCTTCTCCCAGAACGGGTTACCGCACTGTGTAGCGTAAGCTTGAGCCACCGCACATTTAGGAGGCAGCTCCTCATTCTGCAGAAGTCCCTCGCACTCGTCGTAGACACAGCTGTCTATCCAACTGGCAGTGTCGTGCCCAGCTGTGATACAACCCTGGAACTTGGAGATGCTGAACACTCGCTCACACTCCGTCTTTACTTCTTGGTACCTCTCTCCGCACACCTCCTTAGACGTTCTTGTCTTCTGGTGCTTGGGACATCCCGTAGGATTGACCTGCCAGCTGTTTCCGAACACGTCTATGCTTTCGGTTGACTTGCCAAATCGGGTGATCTTTATATCATTCTCAGGTTGGCCGTCGTTGTTGCCACACATTCCACAAGTTTTGGTGTTCATGGGGGTCTGGATCTGAGCAGAGACGAAGCCATCCCAACGGACAACGATCTTGTCATGTTCGAAGGTTCCTGGTCCAGTCTTTCTGGTGTTGAGGACAGCTTTGAGAGTGAGCATTGCTCCGTCAAACAGGAGGATAAAGTCTCGGTTCTTTCCTTTTACACGGATCTTTTTATTTTTACGGTTCTTGGGGACAATCTTCTTTCCGCTTCTATTCACCAGCCATCCTCTCTGAAGCTCGATAATATCTTCATCTACGAAAACGGTGACAGACTCCAAACATGAACCCCCGGTCCTTCCACAGGGCCTCATTCTTCCGTACACGAACCACCTTGCAGAATCACAGTCCATAGCTAGGACATTATCACACAGTCCCATGTACGAATAGGCGTTCTTGTCGTACGTTAGAAAGTGGGGATCTCCGTATACCTGCGAAATTGAGATACGTCACATTAAAAGTTTGAGAAGCTAAATTAGCTTTCATTAAAAATTAGTCAAATGTGTAATATCATGCGAATCGCATGATAAAGGTTAGCCTGCTAAAAGAGGATAATTCCAGTTATAAGCTACAAGCTTACCGCACAAGTTGATCTGGGAGCATCCACAGAGGAGGAAGATGGTTCAGTGAATGGGATGACTGGTGCACCAGTGGTCACATTAGCAGGCGGAGGATGAGTGGTCACATTAGCAGGCGGAGGAGGAGTGGGTCCTTTGACTTCGACAGCAGCTAAAATTTTACTGACTTTAGTGGTCATGCAGTTCACAGCCTCGCAAGTATACTGTCCACCATCAGCAACAGATACGGACTTTATCAAGTAGTTACCATGTCCAACAATCTCCTCGTCTCGGTACCAGACAATTTGAGGCTCTGGGAATCCTATTGCATTACACTCGAGAACCAATTCATCACCATCTTCTAGTTCGAAAACTCCGAAAGTGAATTCCTCTTCCAGGATCTCTGGGTGTTCGATCTGGCCACATCTCCCTTTGTTCAAAACTTCTATTCCGAACTTTCCGTTCCTGCAGGCATCTACTTTCATCAAGCACTCGTTGAATTGTTCCTCACAATAGTTAGAGCAGACAAAGTCACTGACGAACATGTCCGCACTATCACAGTAATCAGGACACGCACAGGTATGTCCGTGTCCAGCAGCGTAGGTCCCGACACACATCATATCTCCAGGGCAGGTCACTCCCTCACACAGATCCAGTACTGTCAGGTAGGCATCCTGTTCATCACACCCGTATCTGTTGCAGGCTAGACAAGTGTACCAACCTTCATTAGGCTCGCCCACGTTGTCGATTTTCATGGAGTTGACGGTCGTCTGACTGACTTGTCCACCGCTGTATGCATTGAAGAATTCCAGGTTTGGTCGAGAGAGCTGATCTTTCCTAGTAAGGATAACTTGGGGAGTCATGGCGGACTTGGCTTCACAGTCAAAACGACCAGTTTCACCAGGACCAACAGTTATGTTAACGGGTGGAGAGGAGATGACCGGGGGTATTTTCAGCATTTCAGGGTCAATAGTGGGGCCAGCTTCTGTTCCTGTAGTGCGAAGCTGGGTAGTGAAGGCATCATCAGTAGTAGTCGGCGAACTGGAGTCTTCACGGCTGGTTACCAAGTTACCAGTGGTGAATCTGTCAGTTGTAGTTAACACTTCGTCCAGTGTAGGTCGCTCAGTTTCAACAACTCTGCTTGCAGGTGTGGAGACAGGACCGTAGGTCCAAGGAGGAGTGGAACCCAGCTCTGCAGTAGAACTAAAGTTAAGCTCATCAATATATGCACCACAAAGGGCGTTTTTTGCGTCTTCATCTATCAATCCGAACTTGGAGCAGATCTCGTAGTTCTCACAGAGATATTTCATTCCTGCGAAGGAGCAGGCTTGTTCTTGGTCATCACCGTAGTCGTCAGAGAGAGCAGAGACAGAGAGGGATAAAAGTAAAGCTATCACTCGGATAGTCATGTTAACGAGAATACTGGCAGCAGGAAAATTAACCGAGTTTACAACTGTCAAACAATCAATTCAGTCAGTCAAATGTAAGGTAGATTGTGCACTGTGCAGGAGGAACATATTAAATATAATAGCACGGCAGGAGGCCGTACTGCAGCCCCCTCGCCCTCTGCAGTTAGTCTGCGGCTGTTGGTCCGTCACCCAACCACGTGATTCATAATGATCCAATAACTGAGGTAAAATATTTCTGCTGTGTGTTGAATTTGCTCGAACGTTTCGCACATGGATATTATATCGTCCTAACTTCTCCTTAATTTTAAACATGTGTTATATTTTTTGATATAATGGATTATGGCAGAATATGCAGCTATTATAATTATATTTATATTTACAAATATATATATTATATGTAAATATATATAAATATATTAAATATGATTGCGCATCAGATCAAACGAATGATGACCACGATGAACGACGATGACCGACCTTTTAAAAATTAAACATTAAAATAAAATTATGCGATAAATGCATTTATAATTAAAACCATCTCCCAAATTTCTCGTAAGTTAATGGTTCCATATGTAATTCCTGATTTCCTCTAATATTTGTTGCAAAAAGCACCGTTTGTAAGGTTTGCAGATATTTTGTGCTCAAAATATTGAACATTGGGCAACATTTACATCATGTCATAAATTTTAGATATTTTCTATAATCTTGTTTAGGCCCATTTTGCTGATAAAAACCTTTTTTTCTCCCTATTTAAAATACTTATTAAACTTCAACACTTAAGATATTTACCAGTAACTGGCAGTTGATAATGATAGCGCAGTAGGAGAGGATGTACTTCCCAACGTAAGTATCAAGGTCGCTCATCAGGAAGAGTGATATGATGGTAGATAATGCCAAGTACAGGATTGACATCACCTGATAAGAGTGGCTGAGATAATGTTATACTGGTATGCATGTTAAGGCCTTTAAAATGAGGGCTTAACAAACATTTCGTGAACAATCAAAGACAAAACCCCAATATATCACGAATCCCGAAGTACCGCGGCTTTCCTTTCCCCAAACTCCGCGCTAAATCGCGAAATTACAGTACATTTATTAGTTCATGTTTAAAAAGTCTGAACGTTATGTTAAACCAGAAATGTGTTATTTTTAGAATTGTGTGAACAAAATTTTAAATTTCCTCCATAATCAGAGTCCCTCGAATTTAAAGCCGTTCAAATTTAATGTGTCAAATTTAACGCCGATAAATTGACGTGAACAACCTAACTATAAAACGAGGCATGGTACGCTTCTTATCGATAAGGAGTAGTTTAAAAACAATAACTTACCTTGTTGCAGATGTTGCAGTGAATAATAAAAGGTCTGGAGATACAGCAGACTGCAGTAGAGAGCACGACTCCCACTGTGTACAGAAAACAGCACCTGTCCAGGGTAAAGGCGGCAGAACGCTCCGAGATAGTTACCAGGAAGAAACAGTGAACACCTTGGCTGATAGCTGGGGTGTGATGTCTGATGAGACACGTTTTATTAGATCTCAGAGGAGAAAAGAACGCTGAGATACACGTTTTATTAGATCTCAGAGGAGAAAAGAACGCTGAGATACATGGCGTTTCGTTTGATTTTAGAGGATGAATTCTTAAGAAAATTGAGCAGGGCTGTTTGATCGTGCAAATCCACATCTCATTAATAAGTTTTAATAAGACAATATTTACATATTGAAGGATTAGACTCACCCACAGTTACAATGTAGATGATATTCATTAGAATGATGACCTGAGCGTCTGTATCAATTAGATTTTTACCAAAGCTCTCATTTTCCATGAGCAGATAGGGGTTATCTTTAACCAGATCGTTCTTTAACCTACAGGGTGGAATGAGGATTAACATCATTATAATAGACGATAGTGATATACTTTTATAGTGTGTCTCACATTTACTTAGTAAACTCCCTCTTTGGTGATGGAAACAGATTAATGTCTGCAAATTTAACGACAATCTGTTACCAAGACAACAATCTGTTACCTCTCATCGTTGAAATAGTTCTTAATGCTTTCTCTGTCACATAGTGAGTAACTTTTCTCGATGTCTTTGACAAATAAAGCCGGCATTGGCGAGTCATTCACACATAAGAACTGTGGATTTAAAGGAACTTGTTAAGCAATTACAGTGAATAATACAGAAGATAAATGCTCATCCTTTTTGCTACTTTTTAAAGCATTTACGAACTAAATGACGAATGGATTAAATCTTCCTAAATCTTCCTAAGTCTTCCTAAATCTTTCTAAAGATCTCTTTCTTAATATTAAAAAGCGTGGTACCCAGAGAATGAGAGGAGGAAAAAGTAGCAAGGATGCAGCCACAAGCAGGAGCCCTCTTCCACCCAGCGAGTTACTAAAATAGTAACATATCAGCATTCCTGATGTTAGATAACGGGTAGTGAAAATAAATAATGGGTAGTTTTATGATTCACAAATGTGGCATTAATCCATATATTTTACTGAGAACTTAGGTCCAAAATGGACGATATATTTGGAATATAAATCACCTCTATACATCATGATCCATGATTTCAGCTGTAAATGTGTAAATGTGTAAATGTGTAAATGTGTAAATGTGTAAATGTGTAAATGTGTAAATGTGTAAAACCCTACCTAAAGTAGCGGAAGCCGCTTGAGAGATATCAATTATCATAATATTGGGAGGAGCGGAGAAGTGGTTTTGTGAAATGACAGCAAAGCTAGCCAGCTGGGAGAAGAAGCAGGATATGGAGAGGAGAGTGAGGAGCAGACTCCACACCACATACACCAGGAGATCTGAAGGAGTAGGGTGGGGTTAGGGAGATTGGGGTACCTTTGTTTTTATGATGATTTATTTTCTAGTACTTTAAAATAGATCAAGTTAGTCAGTTTAACTTTCAAGTCGATTTGAATATTCGGGTAAAACCGTTGAAACCATTGAAACCAAAGCGTTTAAGTTATGCCTAGAACTACGAATCAAAACAAATAAATTTCGCGTGTTTCTAAAATATCGATATACATAAATCAATCAGTAATAAATTCAAGAACTATAAATCATGTCAAATAATCTTTAAAATTGGAATTTATTTCGGTATCCAAAAGTTTAATTCTGCCATCCAAACTTAAGCAGGTTGGAAGCTTCCCAGACCTTGCATTCGCTACTCTGCGGAAAAGGATCCCGCCAGTCACTTAACCTAACAGAATTAGGAAAACCATCATTTTCCATGATCAGCGCAGTCTCAGTGTTCCAACTGTCAGATATACGATCGTAGCAGAAGCTGGCTACAAGCTGCCTCATGTTATCTTTAAATTGCTTCTGGTGGACGTCTGATATGGTGGTCTTCTCCATGAACGGTCCATAATAGCCATACCCAAACAGGGCTTCAGTGTCCCACCCGTGAATGGTGCTCCAAGGGGTCCCGCACTTGATTTCGTTCGGTCTGCTCTTTATGTAGAGCCGGTACGCATCAATGTTCCGGTTCGAGTTCATAGTCTTTACCAGCATATTGTTCAGGCAAGTTGTCCGGACGTCCGTGGTCAAAGTGTCAAAGAAGATCTGAGGCCACCAGTCAGAAGAAACTCGGCGGTAATCATAAGCCATCATGATTGAGCGAAGAAGATTATACTTGTTCAAACGAATGTCCGGGCGTTCTGATTGGAATTTATCTATTTTTTGTCCGAGAAGATCTTTTGCTTCTTGCCATGAAGCAACTTTGTTGGTGTCGTAGTCAATAGCGTTAGCTCCTGTCTCCTGTGCTGTGTTTCCTATAATAACCTTTACATTCTGTTTTCTACGCATATAGGCTAATTTAAAGGGTACGGATTGCACAATGACATTGTCCAAAACATTGTAGTCCATGCTCTCTCCTTTCTCTCCGTCAGCATAAGGGAAATCATAGAAGCCCCACCCTCTATTGAGATCTCTATTTCTTATCAGGTCAAGGACTGGTTTACTCTTCAGGCAACGACGTCTTCCCCCTGCAGATCCTTGTGTGCAGCCAACTTTTTTAGCAAAATCTTCTCTTTTCTCATATGCCGACTGTGGGTTGGCTTTCCAAAGGGGAGGAGCAGACAGAGATATAGCTTTATGGAAGAGGCCATCCGCTTTCTCAGATCCAAGTAAGCCTAAAACTACTGTTCCGCCTGAACTTTCTCCTAGAATGGTTACTGAGTTGAGGTCCCCACCGAAGTTGACTATGTTTTCTTGAACCCATTGCAGTGCAGTTATGGCATCACCAATCCCGAAATTACCAAAATTTCCAGGATTCTCAGGATCATCCCATATGTCTGGCGATGAGAAGAAGCCGAAGACCTCTAACCTATAGTTTATATTCACGGTTACAACTCGAAGGTCGTCCGTAAATTCTGTGTCAGGAGCATAACCAGGATAATCAGAGTAACCTGTCTTCAAAGAACCCCCGTGTATCCAGACCAGAACAGGGAGTGAAGCATTAGGTTCCAGACTGGGTGACCGGACTGTCAGATACAGGCAATCCTCTACTCCGACAACTTGCTCGGGGTAGTCATCGTCATAGGCATTAACACACTTTATTGGATTAGTAGTTCTCGTTTCCTTGGTGGCATCATATACACGCCCTGGTACACAGTGCTCCCTGGAGATTGGTTTGGAGTGGGTCCACCGCAGATCCCCAACTGGAGGCTCAGCGTAGGGCATCTGATGGAACTCATAGATCTTCCTACCCCCAATCTTAACTACACTCCCGTTCACTCTCTCACAACTTGTTCCAACAGTCACTACGTCTGAACACAAAGAGGGTGCAACAAGCAGAACTAAAATCGTGATATGGTCCACCAAGTTCATCATTAGGAGTTCTGATTTGTGAGCTGTCAATCTGTTAGGAGTCGAGCTTATAATATCTCATAAGTGTTCACAGGTGTCATAAATCTGCTGAGATTCTGTAATTAACAACTCGTCCGGTGGACACGTGACCACAGTACTAACGTTACCTAATTAACCTAAATATTATTATTATTATTAGTTGTTATAAATTATTCAGTAACGCTGTTTACATTTGCTAAAGTTTTTTTTAAGCTGAGCAAGTAAAGGTTAAGCGAGAGAAGGTGAGATAATTATATTATCAGATACAACTGATGGTAATCAACAAATGATAAATTATCGTAGATTTCAACCTTGAAAGGGCTCCATGAATAGAGCGAAATCAGCCTCACGATTACATCTGGCCATCTGCCGACTACCAGTGGAAATTACAGAACAATTTTAATTTAGAGTAGTCTTTAATAAGGTCAATAGAGTAATCAGGGAGGGGCAATGAACGTCAGTCGGTAACTTCAACTGTAAACTTTTCTGCCCTTTCATTTCTGATCCAAGACCACCTTCACAGAAATTAGTGTCAATTGCGAAATGGAACTTTAAGAGATGAGAAATCACGGACCGTGACTGGAATTCGGACAAAGGAATCATATTAAAGTAGGTCTGAGGTTGAGATCAGAGATGGTATTACCACTAGTAACGTCATACTCAGAAGAAATCAAAGTTATCCAGCTGTGGCAATCCCAATTTCAGTTGTAATTTATTGCATTAAATCAAGTTAAATGAATTTAATAGTAAATTTAAAAGTCAAACTCAGATCGGACGAAGAATACCGGGAATACCGGGAATCGACGTTACATGTTTCTCAGTTTTACTGTTTCAAAATTTTACGTCGAACAATTAAACTTTAACACTTTTGAGGTGTTAAAGTTAAATTGTTTACACGTCATTTTTTCATAGCAAGAAAACAGCCCATGAAAATAACAGTAACACTTCACCAATATGAATGTCCTAAGTCATATTAACAACTTTATCCAAGCGACACTGATTACTGGGGTAAGCTCACTTTCACGGTACCAACAAACAAATCAAGCAACAACGCTGAAAAGTACCGCTCCGAGGTGATGTGCTGTACTCAAAGATATTTGATTAATGAAAAGGGTGACCCATAAATGTTAGGACGGAAACTTAAACCGTGGTAAATATAAGAAACACGGGAGAGTCCTTCGCTTGTTGCTGTTATCCAATGATGGCTTTGTACGCTCTATGAAAACTAATGACACACAAAAAGCTCAATTAATATGGAGCTGGCGACAGATTGTATAGATTATGTATTATACCTAAGATAAAGGAAGCTAGCATTGCCGTACTATGAAACAAAACGAGCTGCCCAGATGTCGTCTGAGAGGAGAAATAAACGGGCAATTTTTAGATTTGTGACTATAAATAATCATAGTTCACATGAGTTTCAAGCCGACATAATAATATGATGATACTAAGTTTTCATGTGAACTGTGCCGTGAATTATACGCGAGATATTGCAAGTTCTTTGATTAAATGAAGGCAGATTGCCGATTGTTCTAGAAATCATGTCAAACAGAAGACCGTGCCTCAGCCAATAACCTAACTATGTCTGAGCTTCGGAAGTCTGAAAACAGCTTAAACAGGAACTGTGGTCTAAAACAAATCAACCTATAAAATAGCCTATACATATCTGGTTGCTTTTTTTGAGTAGGTCAGGTAATGGCCCCTCTCTTATAAATATAAAGTACGATAATTGCACATGGCTGTCTTGCGCAACACAACTTTTAAAACGGTTCGGCATTCAAGATGTCTATTTGGCATAAACATATTGATATTTACACAATATCGACTATCAATCCATCACAAATTTGCACAGTTGTGACCCAGTGAACAGAGTTACAGTGCACATAATATGCGATCTCATACGCACGTGAACGCCTGCAGTAGCAGCAAAGTGGTTGCACCCGGTGACAAGCCACAAGCAAATTGTGATTATACTGCTTTATATATTGCTTTTTAAATGTCTTACGCGACGGTTCTGCTGGCATATTTAGTCAAATACTGCAATGGGTAGTTACTTAGTTAGCTTCAAGTATCAATTTTCATTACATTATATTCACGCTAAACTTTCTAACTTCTTAACTTACGATATAGTGACGGTCGAGGTAACCTTCCTCTGTAAAATATAATAAAGGTGTGTGATGACACTTTCTAGTAATTGTTATAGAAAATAATTCAAAAAACTAATATGAAATCCACTACTGAAGAAGGGAAACTTCTGGATATATTTGAAGTCACACGTGTCGGAGATGACCAACACCAACCACTTGATGTGTCATGGGAATTTGAATGATAGAAGTCTATAAAGGAGACAGCAGGTACAAGTCTATTATAATCCGCGACACTTTGGAACCATTGACCGTAAAATTGCGGAGTTTAACGAACATTGGATGCGGGTTGGGCTATAATTAGATCTTAGAATTGCAGGAATAGTGGGAGTGGCAGGTAAAAAGGTGCAATTCTGTGCGGTAATGGCGGGAATAAGAAAACATTTCATTATTCCTACCACTTAACACCTGTTGGGTTCATCATAGAAAACGTTATCGCTTATTATAATCTAACTATAGCCATAATTACACCTTCATATTATTACGATAATCACAAATAGTTGCATAGAAAACATCCAATTCATCACATACAGTCTGAACGTTATGGTTTCTATTAAATGGTATAAAGTCTAAGCCCATGTGCAGACACTATGATATGATCAGCTCTCACGTGATTGTTGCTCTAACGTAGCTGTATCTCAGTGAAAGAACCTAATAATGATATAGTCGGCTGCTTTCACAGGTCCCGCCCTCGATAATAGCGCAGAGTTTGTGGTATTTATATCCGAAATAGCACAACGAGTTTAAGGTTTATGTTGGGTCTACTGTTCGATTAAAAATATTACAAAATATACAAATACGACAACCAGCCATGAACAGAACAGACCGCGCACCCAAATGTAGTTCCCTCTGGGACCCCATTCTTCCTAAAATTGCCAAATCCTTAAAGTCCAGACCATCTGGCATTTCCTTCTCAACCTCAACAGAAGACTAAATTTTTATTGACATTGTACTGTAATTTTCACTTTCCCACCCACACCTCCCCCACCCTCCATCCCTGACACCACTCAATCACATATAAGCATTGTCCACCCGTACCCCATCACATTCAGCTGACGACGATTAACACATGTTTATTGAAAGCTTCTACAAGTTAAATCATCGTATCTCTTATAATTATATGTTTATAACCCAACTCCACTCAGTATTACAAAATACTTCGCATGAAGACATTATGCATTTTTTATAGTAATTTTGACGAGGAAAAAATGAGATAAAATGTCAAAGGAAAAAAAAAAATGTTATAGTAATTTTGACGAGGAAAAAATGAGATAAAATGTCAAAGGAAAAGAATGAACACCGTCATCAATTATCATTCTTTACAGGATTTCCGTCTGATTGATTACTGATAAGGTAGGATCATGGATGTTTGCCTAAATAGCAATCCAAAACATAACAATTATTAGCCACAAAGAAATATTGCTTCTTCCGACAGTCGATATCTAGAAAGTAGAAAGCTATTATCACAAAGACGAGATATCGGTCGAACAAAGTCGATACATACGACTTTTAATCAAATTATATCTGATGAAATGACGATCAATATTATTGCGATCCACCCAAATGGTCTCGTGCCAATACAGAGTCTCTACAACCCTGTCCCTCCGACGCGACATGTAGGGTAATATGCTCATATTATCATGCAGTTATACTCATACTACTTAAATGTAATCATACTGTTAAAAAGTATTCATTATTTATGCACCAAGTGCCAACAAGAAGCAGGCCTTACCCCAAGACAACTGCCAAATGTAAGCACATTTCACTTGTGCTCAAGATGAGACCACAGCTCGTTTAATAACCACAAAACTATAGAGGTGGAGTGAACATAATATCAGTTGGTTCCTTACAGCAATATCACAGCATACCCTCCCACGAAGAATGTATCAATACTAATAATCCCAGTTAGTTACGGGACTGGTTTTTTTTCGGTATAGTAGAGAGAGTTCATAATTCCAGTACGATAATATAATGCGTGTTTTCGAATATAATAGGCGGGTTTATACTTTTGCATTTCAACTGCGATAGTGAAGTCCCGGCCGTAGGCACGGGTTATACAGTACACAGTACACTAGTAGATTAATAAGGTGAGTGGCACTGGCATTGGACTGACAGTCATATTATGATAGTCTTACTTCCTAAACCATTTAAATAGAAGTAAGATTACCAAAATCTTACTTTAAAAATGATCTGATTGGCAGATACTAGATAGTATATAAGTGTCTGCGCAGTAAACTTACTTCCTAAATCATCTAAATAGAAGTAAGATTACCAAACTCTTACTATAAAAATGATCTGATTGGCAGATAGTATAAAAGTGACAGTAAACTTACTTCCGTTGAAGGGAATGAGAGATAAGACAACTGATAAGACAGCAAGAGCTGAAGTGCTCAAACACAGCAGTCTCCCTGTGTTGTGTCTCTCTGCTCGGTGTTTACAGTACGCACCCAGGAAGGACAGTAACACCTGTTATAGGAGGGTAGAGTGAGGATGGTAGGTGTTAGTAACACCTGTAATAGGAAGGTAGAGTGAGGATGGTAGGTGTTAGTAACACCTGTAATAGGAGGGTAGAGTGAGGATGGTAGGTGTTAGTAACACCTGTAATAGGAGGGTAGAGTGAGGATGGTAGGTGTTAGTAACACCTGTAGGAGGGTAGAGTGAGGATGGTAGGTGTTAGTAACACCTGTAATAGGAGGGTAGAGTGAGGATGGTAGGTGTTAGTAACACCTGTAGGAGGGTAGAGTGAGGATGGTAGGTGTTAAATCTTTACTACCATACATTTAGGAGTTTTGTCAAACATTACACAATATACATGGGATTTGTGATTTACATCAAATGATTTAGTTACATCAAACTAAATTAATACGGTTACTCTCTTTGTAACTCAGAACATTATAGCACAACTTGAGTGGTGAATTTTATTTTTTCAAAAGCAGTAAAAGAAGTATATAATACTCACGGGAGCATTGCAGAAGAGAGTTGCAACTTGTAAAATAGACAGACCGTTAGAAGTACCTTGACAGGCTATCACTATCTGAATATTAAGTTATTCATAAAATATTATGAAATTGTCATTTATCAAACATTCAAACAAATGACTGTGCGATTTAAAACTAACAGTAAGTTCCACACACCTGGCAGAACATGATGGGAATATAGACCAGGACAAGGTTAGCGTACACTAGCGGCAGCAGCCATCCCTCTCTCCTCAGTCGCATATCACCTCCCACTCCTAACAGAGCGATATGGGCGAGTCAGAGAGGGGGTCAGAGAGGGGGTCAGAGAGGGGGTCAGAGAGGGGGTCAGATGGAGGCTGATGTGAAAATGTCGTGCTTTCAGATTGGATATGAAGCAGTGGAGAACTGAGGAGTCCAACACTGGGAAGATGAGCTATAAACAGGAGATTGTTGCGATAAAGCAGCAGCCCTTAATTTCTTTAAGCTGGGTAGACTATGAATCTGGAGTTGACTTTAACTTGATCGTATATCTTTAACAGGGAGATACAGCGTCCAATCTCCTCTTACATCTTCTAGTCGTCCTAGAAAATGAAAACAGGATTATTAGACGGTTTATATATCACAAATCATAATACATAAATATACGATTCCAAGAAATAAAACCCGTTACAAGTTTCTGAGCGTAAAAAAACTATGATCGCTATGAGCGTAAAAACTATGATCGCTTGATAGTTGGAGAGTTAGCAAGGTGGGCTCTTATAAAAGCTGTGCGACGTGCGTGGTATAAAATAGTATGACATCCTGCCCCAATAATACAAGCAAGACAAGCAGCAAAAGATAAGCTAGCGGGTAGCGAGATTAGATTATAAAGCTAAAAATAGGCAGATTCTAAGAACTATTATCAAAAAGTACTTTTGGACAAGTGAGCTGTTAAACAGCTAATATAAATGGAACGGGAAAAGTACTAATAGTAAACAGTCTTTAAACTGCATTGTAATAGTATTTACGAGTAGTTCAAGCTGGGAGCTATACCCGTAAAGAAATAAACATATAAATAGATAAAATCAAATCGCCCGCAATTTTAGGCACGACGCAGACGCTGCCGGATCAAGTTATATTGGTCTACGATGTTTTAGTTTACCTATCAAAGTTTTTGTTTTCGGTATTTTATAATGAATGAACCAAGATATGTAATATGTATACCCCTTATGAAATATCCAGCTACCCCTTATGTAATATCCAGCTACCCTTTATGTAATATCCAGCTACCCCTTATGTAATATCAAGCTACCCCTTATGTAATATCCAGCTACCCCTTATGTAATATCCAGCTACCCCTTATGTAATATCCAGCTACCCCTTATGTAATATCCAGCTACCCCTTATGTAATATCCAGCTACCCCTTATGTAATATCCAGCTACCCCTTATGTAATATCCAGCTACCCCTTATGTAATATCCAGCTACCCCTTATGTAATATCCAGCTACCCCTTATGTAATATCCAGCTACCCCTTATGTAATATCCAGCTACCCCTTATGTAATATCCAGCTACCCCTTATGTAATATCCAGCTACCCCTTATGTAATATCCAGCTACCCCTTATGTAATATCCAGCTACCCCTTATGTAATATCCAGCTACCCCTTATGTAATATCCAGCTACCCCTTATGTAATATCCAGCTACCCCTTATGTAATATCCAGCTACCCCTTATGTAATATCCAGCTACCCCTTATGTAATATCCAGCTACCCCTTATGTAATATCCAGCTACCCCTTATGTAATATCCAGCTACCCCTTATGTAATATCCAGCTACCCCTTATGTAATATCCAGCTACCCCTTATGTAATATCCAGCTACCCCTTATGTAATATCCAGCTACCCCTTATGTAATATCCAGCTACCCCTTATGTAATATCCAGCTACCCCTTATGTAATATCCAGCTACCCCTTATGTAATATCCAGCTACCCCTTATGTAATATCCAGCTACCCCTTATAATTATGTAATATCCAGCTACCCCTTATGTAATATCCAGCTACCCCTTATGTAATATCCAGCTACCCCTTATGTAATATCCAGCTAACCCTTATAGATTTGTATACCACTTAAAGAGGGGTAGACTAAGTCTGCATTACTCATAAAATGACAAGGTATTGAAGCGCAGTGCGCCAGTGCGGGTCAATAAGCTGGACACTGTGACGTGTGACGTCATGTCAATAAGCTGGACACTTTGACGTATGACGTCATATCAATAAGCTGGACACAGTGCCGTGTGACGTCATATCAATAAGCTGGACACTGTGACGTGTGACGTCATATCAATAAGCTGGACACTGTGACGTGTGACGTCATATCAATGAGTTAGACACTGTGACGTTCTCAAGATGTACACACTTACACCCTTTAAAAGTGACCTGTTATTATATTTTTATTTTTTAAAGGTCATCAAAGGCTATTGTGAGGCCTCGATACGACGAAGTGGTACGGAACAAAGGAAAGAAAGACCAACTGAAGTCTGGGCTCACATAACTAACTATCCCTAATTGCCTTACTGTGCAGCTAGACTGTGCATGCATGAAATTAACTGATTTACAGTGGCGGAGGTACTGGGATTTAGTAAAAGAAGAATATAGGGCTGAACTGCAGTCTTCACACTACAGTTTTACTAGAACAAATTGATATCTCCTTATTTGGGATAATGAAAAGAGGCTCAGGTTAATTTTACGCAAGTATGTAAATTTTAATTTAACCCTGGGTTTAACCCTGAACCTAGTTAACCAGCAGGTATTTATACTTGATAAACTCAGTCTAAAATATTATTTATCGCCGTTATGGTTCCAACTTTAACTCTAATTGAAAGCCATTGAATCGACACTCGGCAGCCATCAAATTGTACATGTCGTGAACTTGATATAATATCAAAATCATTATTGTAACGATATATTAGAACCAGACAGAAACAAAGTGTGAAGGGCCTGAACGGAACCCTGAACATAGGAGTATCTAATTCAATTACCGTGGCTGTTTTAGTGTTTTAGTATAAGTGGTCCCCATTTGTCTCCAGCGATGGGTTCGATTGAACATTTTGTTAATAGATGTGTCATCGTAATCCTGCCTACCAGACGGATCTGTTTTCGGCTGGGGTTCAGTTAGGTTATCACCGAAACTGAACGAGTCAAATTTCGGCTGTTTGTATACCTGCCAAGACACTAAATGTATATTATCGGAATTATTACATTAACGTCTAAGTCTCTAACTAATTAGTTTGCTAATTTCAGGCACCTTACATTTTGATTTATTAATAAATTGTTGAGCAGACTTCTCCCAAAAAGAACAGAGGACTTTTACTGTAGAACATTCGCTAACCAACCAAAATCCGATAAATTGGTCAGGTGATCTCCCACTCATCCGCAAACAATAGCTCGCCAACGATACTTGTCAATGTTTCCAGCTTGATAACCACAATGCGGCCAATAAATATTCCTAATTCCTTGATTGGTTTTCTATATTCAATTTATAACGAGCATATGATTCGTAATAATGGTGATCAAACAGATTTCTCCCGTACGATCGGTCACATTATAATCACGTGATAGTATATAAATAACATCACGTTATATGCTAGAGCGACCAATCAAACTAAAATTGGCTTTGTAAGTTCGGTTTTAGTACATTGTTAACTCTTATTATAGCTATAGTTGCAGGATACTTTCCTTTATTCGGATTATTCGGAATAAATGCTGAATTCCGTGCAGACACTTAAAGATATCTTTAATCTTTAAAACTAAATTGACAATGACAAGATTTAAATGTGTAATTTTAAGCGTGCTTGCCACATTAGCGTCATGATGATATTATATGCATACTTCTATTATCTCATTGACCTCGAATAACAACGGAACTTTTGTTTAAACTTTTCTTTGAATGCTGCATTCATCCACACATCTTTTTAACCACACATATAGCTTTAAATTTCCATCGTGAAACGTTGGATGATTTTGTTCAAACTGGCGGTTCAACACTAGAACAAAAAGTAATATCAAGCAGGCAGGATAAAGGCACCGATCAGTAAATCTGAATACTATTCCGCACATTTTCATTTCAATCGAGCTAACTCTTTATTTTTTTATAATCTGTTCATACTTCAAAAGCGGCAACATATTTTCCATACTCAGGTAAAACAACTGATATTGTCCTTGTCTTCTCTAGCACGGTTCTGGAGAAATGTTTACAATTTTCTCTCCGGTAGTCTTGCTTTAAAAGTTTGGCAGAGCTAGAAAATGTAAGCTACTTGAGCAGCATATTTGCCATTGTACACATGTAATCATGCATCTTAATCTCTGCAAATAAAGACATTTAATACAACGGATCGAGCTCCTGTAATTTCATAATGATATTTACGCATACACAAATATCTAAGCTTGCTAGTATTTCGATCTGCAGTGCGATTTGTTTTACACGTTAATTGAACGCTGATAGAGACCAAACTGTGTGTTTTTATGATGGTTTGATCATCTTTGGTTGGATTTTGTCTTTTGTAAATGAGTAGATACACAAATACCAGGCGATGGGGCAAGGTTGTCAGAGTTACTGATGTTAACAGAATTTTCTGGGATGCCAGTAGGTGGGTCATTATTTTCATACCCTCACAAATCTTAGTGTATTTTAGGACAATGTAGGGTAAATACGAATTTTCTGGTCTTGTTTTCGACGCAACACGGTGGCACGGCATTAATCCCAAATTTGGCAGTTTCTAGGTCCTCCAGTCAAGTAATTTAGTTGACAAGTAAATCACTTTATAACAATTCCTGTGCTCTGCTAGGTCGAGTAGTTCTTAGCCATCATTATTGCCATATTTTGTCTCAACCATCGGTAGATTATGGAATGATTTAGGGATGATATAGATTATATGGATAATATAGGGATCTGGGATGATATGGGGATTACTAATCTGTTGGTCTCCTAATATTTTCATCAATACATGGAGGCGATCAACAAACAAATTCGATGTCGAATTAACGGAAATTCTCGGGTATATTCTTACAGAAATTATGACATTGCTGTCGTTTTTGATACTTCAGATGTTTTCTTGAATGTAATCTTCTGAATATCAAATTTGTCAAGATTTGCAAGGAAATCAGGCAGAAAATGTTAATATATTAAGTATTTTGAGGAAAGATATCGATTGTTTTTGTCTCCAAGCCCGTTTATATCCAATGCTCAAGCAAAGAGTATGCTTATATATTAGCGGAATCAGTGTAATGAACAGAAAAATATGCTGTATGAATGCACAAAATTCATGGTCAACCGATGTTCACTTAAAAGCGACTATTAATCGTAATCAATAATAAAAACCGAAAAATTGGCCATATTTTGACGCAGAGAAACGTATGAGGATAAGGTAGTGGAGATTAGCTATAAATTTCTGCAGTAAGAATTGTAAAGAAGTAAATAGGATGTTAAAAAATTGCATCAAAGATGTTCTACGTGAACAAACTGCAAAGTACTAAGTACAATAATTGTTGTGTAATACTCAATACTCATGATAGATAAGGCTGCAATACTCGCACCATCGGACCTGCTATTTAGATGACGCAGATGAAAAGTTAGAAGAATATAGCCTTCACAAAATATTGTTGATAGCGATGAGCTACTAATACTATAAACCAAGAAAAGCGATCAGACCATATAAAATAAAAATGAATATCACACAAAGGATCAAGAACCCGTCCTTACCAGTAGATAAGTATCTCGTAACACTCATCAAATTATTGATATCTAATAGGTCTAGTGTAAAAAGGGAGAGAAAGCTCAATAGGGGGTGTAATATGTTCGCATTGACTGCAGTAAGCAGTTACTATGACTTATAAATGCTTATTCTTGAAGTTACTTCAGTTTTTCATTAATATTTTGGACGAAATGCATCCTAATTAGGGTTTAACAGAATAGTTAGGAATTCGGTTCGACCGAATCATGGGATATAGATATTCGATGACCGAATATATTCGATACCGAATACCCAATATTTGATGTAACCTAATCGGAATATAAATATTGCCTATTAACTGTTTTGTCTGTCAGGAACGTGAAGGAGCGGAAGGCGAGGTTTAATGACGAAGAATTGAAGAGACTGCAGATAAAATCGGCTCCAGACCCGGACAGGGGGGACTCTTCCCTCATCAGCCCTCTCACAGGTGATTTCAAACACCTAAATTGTCTGTTTAGCAGTAAAACTCATACGTAGCCGGCGGAGAACAAAATAATGGATATATCAGAGAGGTAATCAAACAATACAAATAGAATTGAAAACATATGCTCTTCGTCCGCTACATGATACTCAACAATACCAGTTCATACCCTCATTCCATTTCAATAATGGTTAAATACAATACTAATAGTGTACAGGGCATGTATAATAAACAGTTCCAAGAAGAGGGTACAAAATTAAATGAGTAGCTCCACACGGTAAATGTAACAAAATGGTATTCCACATAATACTCAACAAATACCAGTTCATACCCTCATTCCATTTCAATAATGGTTAAATACAATACTAATAGTGTACAGGGCATGTATAATAAACAGTTCCAAGAAGAGGGTACAAAATTAAATGAGTAGCTCCACAGGGTAAATGTAACAAAATGGTATTCCACAAAATACGCAGCGGAGAGGAAATACAGGTTTCCAGGGACAGAGACGCAGTTAATCAAATAGTTAGCACTACTTTAATTGCTCAATTAGTGGTTTATTACACGGAGAGAGTAGCCGATCATGACAACAGTTAGGAAGTCCTTGCCATTGTGCCACTGTGCCACTGTGCCACTGTGCCACTGTGCCACTGTGCCACTAGTGCCCAGGTACTTGCAACCATGTAATTTCGCACAAGTCACCGACTATTTGTCATAGTAAAACTTGGAGCCAGGTACCCCGAAATAAGAAAATAGGAAAACTTGTACCTACTGCGTTAAATGATTTCAACGCAGCGACACTTCAACCGCTATTTTAATTAAATATGAGGAAGCAACTCAGCTAAGTACATAATTGGTTTTATATAAGCAAATATTGAGCGACCAAAGCACATAATATGTTGTCAGGATACGTTATACAACCAGAACAGCTCGATAATATCGTAATGCTGTTTTTATCAATGTCAGCAATTAAATGTATTGATGCCACAAAGCCGCTGAAAAACAGATAAAAGAAGGGGAAGTTTCATTGCATGTTCAGAGTAATGGTTATTGTTATTGATAATAACCATTTTAAGTATGAAGATTAAGCAGTCAGTAGTTAGCATCAGATCTTTACGACTGCAAACAATTAATATCTTAATATCATCGAATCTGAACGGTCGTCTCAACACAAAATCATCTGTGTTCATCTAAAATAAAAGAAATTTATACGAAGATAAGTAGCAAGAGCTATACATTGCAAGAGCTATACATTGCACCCGAGAGCACACATCTTTGTAGCGCTAATTCGAGAGACTGCCAAGCTAGATGTAATTTTGGTGTTATAAGATCTCCTCTCCTTAATTACACACTACACATGTGCATGATACGTATCATGTTTCTTGGCACATGGTTTGATTTTGGGACAAACGTAATGATTGTATAGCACTGCAAAACGTATGGCTGGCACTGCAACAAAAAACGTATAGCTGACTTGGAGAGAAATGATGATATAATACCGGGTACTGGTAGTTTGTGCCGATGTAAAATATTCGAATATCCAGCATCAATATGAAACCATCCCGTCATAAATACAGTATATCTAAAGATCAAGGTAATGGTGGGAGGCGAACCGTTATTTGACACGTGACAGTCCCTCTTGATTTTGATTAGTCGCCGCTGGATGCTGATTGGTTAATCACCGTAACATGACAGGAAAAATATGTGTCACCTCTACACCCGGTATTTTGATCTGGGTATTGCTTAACCTAATATTGAAGGCTAAATGAACCCGGGTGTTCTGGAGACCACTCTCCAGGCATGACACTTGATGCGCGTCATAGTTATAATTACCATAGTCATATCTATTTTAGTAACACCAAATTAGATTCTCCATGAACTATTTAGTGAATAGTTGTGCAAGAACACAACTGGATGCCTACGCTGTCGTATAATATGGCCAAGTGAACATTATAAAGATAATCAATATTAATTTCTTCAAATGTATGTTTGTTCTACGGCAGTTCCAATGACGATAAACGAGATCAACAAAAGTTTTCAATACAAACACAACATTATAACCACTAATTAAACAGAGTAAATGAGGATTAAATAAAAGGAGAAAAAGACACGCAACACACATTAATATAGTTGTGTAATAGCGCCACACCAAACTAGACTTTGAACTTATAATTACTAAGATGGGAAACTTCCATACAGTCACATTGATAAATTGTATTGAAGGAGGCTTCGTTTGTAGATTAGATAGCCAGACTCACTAGTATCTATGAATAACATTTAGTGACGTCAGGTGAAATTACTTTTAAAGATTGTGCCAATATCATGACATCCCGCTGTCCCGCAACAAAAAGTCACATTAAAATGACAAGAGTGAAGAGGGTGATATTATAAGTGATATTCCATTTCACCTGACAACCGACCAACCCCAGGAGGTCTAGACCTAGGGACACCATGCAGCGACCTCAACAGTGAATCTATCTTCACTCCCGCGGACATGATGCTGATGTCTGATGAGGAGGACATGCTGGATCTGGGTGACGAGGACGATGATAACGATGATCTCACTCTTCTTAAAACACCAATATGGAGACAGGTTGGTACTGGGCGGGTGATCTTTTAGCGCTACTAACAGTTGAATAAAATAAAATTTGTCTTGGCGGTGGTGTCAGTGCTGATGCAGTGCAAAAAACCAAAATTATCTTCACTGAAAGCTGCAATATCGTTCAGTCATACTCATAGATGATAGAACGACTATATTGATATATTTTTAACTTAAAATCCTGAAAATTCGTCTGCAAGCATCTCAGTGCTTATATCTGAAGAAAAGGTTGACCAGAAAATTTAAGAATTGGACAAATTGTAATAGAATTTGACCGAATGCATTGTGTAATTTTAAACAAATAATCTTCAAAATTTCCCGAACGTAATAAATTATCTAACTAGGTTGTCTCACTTCGTGACAATTTGCAATTTGTAACTTGTACAATCATTTTCATCATTTGTAAAAGTAGTAATGTTGTGTTGCAATCAATGGTTACCTAATCCCTCATGCTCTACAAGAATAGTAAGTATATCTTAATTAATACAATGAACGTTAGATATTGTTTTGTGAACGTTGTTTTTTCTCCGCGGGAGCCGGGAGGGTTCATACTTTGTATTAATATCATTACTATTGCTCAACAATAACTTCGCTGTGGTTGCATTACGCACGAGCAAACTCCAATAACAGTCCTATCTTCACTACCAGTACTAACCGAACCAGTGATACTCCAACACTGGTACGTATATTTACAAAGAGCTTTTTATTTTTGCCTTATTACACTCGGCGATTTAACGCGCCCCTATTTACCGCGGATTTTTCTTCCCCCAAATGAGGACTTAACATTATGTGAACAATGAAAAGCCTGATTTACCCCTGTATTATTAGGCATTTTTCGGTGGCGTACAAAAGGTTAAAACTGTGCACAATGACGCTGGTCGTTCTGATTCAGTATGTCTTAGTTATACTAGCAGGAACCCGTCTAACCCTAAAGTGGTGTCAAGACTCGAGAGACTAAAATAATTATTACCTATTTAATTCGCGTTTTTGACACCACTTGAGAGTCCAAATTTTGGGCACTAAAATTATTATTCCTTGGCCAATTTTTTATTTTTTCATGCTGATTTGAAGGCCATTAAAGCATTTGACCCAGTCAAAAAAGTTTCAGTTGTATATGTTTTACGGTTTTTGCGGAAAGTCGCGTTAAAGTTGATGCCGTGGTGTCAGTAAAATGGCACGGATATATACACATATATATATCGTCTCGCTTTATATATAGTAAGATATTACTATATTAGCAGGATTGGTCCCCTGTGACGTAATGGTGTAATGCGTGTCGTAAATCATAATGCAGTCAAAGAGATGCATTAAATCACAACAACTACTTTAACAACTGCTTTAACATATTATGTGGTATAAATAATAAATCATGATATTATTATTGCCATGTTGCGAATAAGTTTTTCATTTAAAGTTAAGCATGTAACAGTTTTCCTTGATAGAGAAAAATATAATAACCTAAAAATATTAGGTTTATAACAGTCTTGAGTTTGGTACTTGGAGAAATATTTGCTCAGATTAGCACTATACCATCGTGATTAGTGAATATTTGATTTAAATTAATAAATCGGCATATTTCCTTGCAGTTCATGAATTCATAATAATTGTTTTCGATGCTAAATTGGCTTGCAATTAAGTGCATTGGTTCAATTAGTTCAATACGTTTGATGTTACGTTCTCCTATATTTTGTAAGAGATGTACATGTTTATCACAGATGTAATGAACTCTGAACAAGAAAATAGTCATAATGAATTGTCTTCAGCGGTAGGTTTCTAAATTATCTGATAAAGCGATATCTTCAATTCATAGAGGTCAAATCTAAGCTGAATAGTGTATAATTGAAGCGACCGCGATGAAATGTACAGTTATCAGCCGCGCACTATACACGTGTTAAACACGCGTTAGTTTCTTACATCGTCGTGTATGACGTAGCAGTTAACAATGCACACCGCGTTGTAACGGTGGGATGAACCCAATTATTCCCTATTTTATACTGAAAATGTTAAATTGCAACCTCGGCTGACATTTTCTTATCGCGATTTAAGCGCAAAATTTTTATTGTTCGCCGCAAAATAATATTGAACACTGTTAAAATGCCGCGACAAAGTCTTTTCTGCGATAAAATCGTTGGCTTGTAAAGAACATGTCGGACTCATAGTCATTAATTCAAATTTTATAATATATTTATATGTAAAGATACAACTATACAATTCCAACGAATTAAATATAGAAAGTTTAATTTGAAAAACGTTGTGCTTGCACGTGAATATATGAATATTGAATATATTCCCCAACAATGGAAATAGCAGGGACTGTTTCATCATCATGAACGATTTGAATTTTCTAGCTGATACAATCGTTTGCTATTTTCATCATAAGTCGTAGTAGTCAGTTTAGTCATGTTGTGTTGCAATCAGTTGATGCCTCAACCCTCATGCTCGTCTAAAATCATGTTTGTCACGGATGTAATGGAGTCTGAACTAGAAAATATTCTTAGTCAGAATGGAGTGCCCTCTGCGGTAGGTTTCTAATATTATCCGATTGTACATATAATTGAAGCAAACGTGATGAAATGTACTTAATCCCTATCTTTCAACTGATAACCAACATGAATTTCTCTTATCACTTTCGGTTATAACTTGACCCCCCTTGAAGCAGTGAAATTGTTTTAAACATCAATTGCTGGTTTGATGGTTGATTAACAAATTGTTTACATCACAGAAGTTTATAATTGCAACCTAGGCTGGTATTTTTATAGCGATTTAAGCGCCGAATTTTAATTGGTTGCACTAAAATAATAGAGCTATTAAATACTGTTAAAATTCATCGACAAATTCTTCTCTGTGATAAAATCATAACTTTAATCGGCCGCTTATAAATTAGAGAATAGTACATAGAAGTCACTCATTCAAACTTTATAATATAAATAACGATACAACTATACAATTACAACGAATTAACTATAGAAAGATAGAAAGTTTAATTTGAGAAACGTTCGGAAACGTTATGCTTGCACGTGAATATATATTCCCCAATGGAAATATCAGGGACTGTTTCAGTTAACAATTCGTATTCATGCGAAATCATGAAGAATTTCAATTTTCTAACTGATACAATCGTTTGCAATTTTCATCATAAGTCGTAGTAGTCAGTGTAGTCATGTTGTCTTGCAATCGGTTGATGCCTCAACCCTCATGCTCGTCAACAATCATACCTATATCTCACTAATCACTATACATAGAGTTAAGTGAGACGATATCTATATAACATATCGATATTTATCTGGCAAATAGACCGGCTGTTATAGAGGGCTATCAGCCGGCCGTTACGCTAACAGCCCTCTTACAGCCGCCTAACAAAAACACATGTAAGCGCCGGGTTTTAGGAGGCTGTTAGAGGGTTGTTAGAGGGTTGTTAGAGGCTGTTAGAGGGCTGTTAGGTATTTGTCAGTGCAAATGAAACTCAAAATAAATCTCTGATAAAAGGAAGTATTGCCTTTTAACGGTCATGATAGAATGCACAATACTGCTCTGGTAGGTGTTTGATGGTTTCAGTGGACAACCAACAATATGACATAACCTCTATATTATGCTGGCGATAATAGGCTTTTATAACATTTCAAAAGTATAGTTGCAAAATATTGCAAAATGTTGTCTGGGTGATAGCGAGTTAGAAACAAACACTACTTTTAAGACTTAAGTTGCAGTTCTCTCATGAAACATCGGACTCAACATTCGTGAAAACAGTTCTGGTTCTTTGTTATGAACTGTGCACAACAGCAATTACTGGTTGAGAGATTAATTATTGGGTAAAAAAGATAACTACATATCAGGCATAATTTTGGTTGCTTTCAGTTGTTTTTATCTCTCCAGGGAACTCCTGCCCACATATGCTCCATCATGAACTATTGGTTGGATGATATACTGATGGGCGGCGCATCTTGATCTATTACGACTAACTTGTGACGTGCCTCATGTGCAGAATTTAAAACCCTGGGCGCGATCATGATGGTCCGTTCCGGTTCAGTATAGTACTGGCTGAATTGTTTTCCTTTGTAATGGCGCAATGCTTGTCATAATTAATCGCATAAATTCAGCAACTTTGCGAGTTAAATGTTCATTCAACACTGACGCAGTTTTTATTGATACCAAATTTTCTAGATTGAGTAGTGTGATTATATCGATACTTGAACAAAATTGTTTGTATTAGTACTGTACCGTCGTGCCCATTTCATATAAATCTATAAATCTACGTGCTTGCTTATCGTCCAGGAATTCATGATAATCGATTCAATTAGTAAATTGGCCAGCAATCTCTCGCAATTTAGCGTACAATTGGTTCAAATCATTTGACTCTACGTTGTGTTCTCCTATAGCTTGTCACAGATGTTTGTCGAAGATATGGCGGAGTCTGGATTAGAAAATATCCATGTTCAGGACAGAACGTCTTCAGAGGTTGGTTTCTGATATTATCTAGTGACTTTTAAAGTGATAAAATTAATTGATTCGTAGAGATTAAACGTAAGCTTTATGTTGACGTTATATACCGAGGGGTTCCGTCCAGGCCCTTAACACTTTGTTTCTGTCTGGTTCTAATATACCGTTACAATAATGACGTTATACATAACAGTGTACCGGTACAGTAAAGCAGCGCAAATAGGGATCAAGAACGTACGTTACGACTAGTGTGAGCCAGGAAACTGATCACTTGCAAAACAATATAAAATCCATCAACACAACATAATTGATAATAGTTATACTCAAAGTACTCAAAGTAAGTATACAATATAACAGTGCAAAGAAAATTTGAAAAATTATACGCAAGCCCTCAAATTACGCCAAAGGTATAAGAAAGTATAGCCAATAAAAAGGAAGGTTCTGGTCGGCGTGTCGGCGGTGGTTCAAGGACAATCAAACTTTACTGCTACATTTTAACACATTGCAAACATGGAGCAAACTGTCTGCGCGCGAGTAGAGAGCAAACATCCCCCCAAGAAACTGTCACTACTTTTAGAATTGATACAAATTCCAATCATGTAAATAGTACTGGTTATAAGTTAAAGTTCGGGGTGAAATTTAAAGATAAACAATAAACTTAATGGCTTGTCAAGAGGTAAGAGGTGTTTCAGCAACTTAAATAACTTCCGAAAAAATAATTTCGAAGTTGCGCTACTTTAAATTTTTCCTTCAAGGGCTATTATATTAGGCCTTGGAATATTTTCTTGATATGCATCAGAAAATGGATATTCAGTCATGAATCTACGCGGGCACGCGTGCGATAATGCATATTTTAGGGAATTGAGCGGTTATAGAGTTATAGGATATGAGAGCAAGAAGTGCCAAAACCAACATGGCCTTGCCAAAACCAACATGGCAAATGCCAAAACCAACATGGCCTAAGTAGAAAGGGGCCTTGACGTTGTTTCCCGCTTGGCCCTGCATCCCAAGCTGACGGTTGGCATCCACTCTAAAAAAACTTACCTTCAGTGGAGACCGATGGTCAACAATTAGCGATGTAAGAGCTTGGCGGGAACAAATCCTGACCTCCTTTTACACCTTTGGGACGACTTTCGCAAATGCGAGAGGAATGACCCCGAGGAGGGCTCCATTGGTTTAAGTAGGTTGCATATATATATTTTTTTAAAGAAAAAAAAAAGAAGCTGATGTAATGAACTACAATCCCTGACAAGTGACACCTTCTATCATGCCTGCACATAGCTTTATTAATATGTATATTTGCTATCCAATATCTTTCCTTTGTCGACTAACATGATCACATTCACATATATGAAGCTAAACCAATCTAGAGATGATCATACCATTATACGCACAGGACCAATCATTGCATGCACGATCCAGCCAATATATCCAGATATTGAATAGGATCTGTGATAACGTTGAGAAATAGCTAAGAAAAAATATATGAAAAGAACCACAATCAAAAAATCAAGCACGAGCTTGCTGCGTACAGATTTCTAAACCTGTAGTTTAATTCTTTAAAAATTCAGCAATTGACACTTGCTATGTCTTTCCTAAGGTTTCGATCTATCAGCAAAATTCCTTTCGATGCTTGCTTGTATAGGTTGCGAGGTATCAGAATACCTCGCAAGATTGTAAATACATTATTACACGAAACTAAGCATTCACTTTAATTAATCAAGGCGACAATGGAAAATGTCATTTTAATTTGGCGGTTGTCATTTTTAGTCATGATGTGCATAAAATGAAAGTGAGGTGGCTTACATTTTTTAAATAGAGAAAATTCATTTAAACGATACCTTACTTTTGTATTAACTTAGTTTCTCCCCCTAGTTATCAAGTGTTTACGAAGACGCGGACGTACGGAAGATGGAGATAGCGGAGGAGGAACTGTTTTACAGAAGAACAAGTGCGTCCTCTGTGGAGATGAGGTGGAAACACGTGAGTAGCGATTTAAGTGTTACTCATTATTCATTATCAGATATTGATCCATTGCTATTTAACTGGGAAATCAGGCCGGGAATTTGTGTGGCGTTTAAACTTTAAAGGAATAAGGGAGGTTAATGCAGGTAATAATACTACAACAAAACAGACAGAAACCAACCATCAGTCCAGTCACATCGTCTTATCTGTTATATTTGTTTTATTAAAAAAATATTTGTTTTATTATCATTCTAGAGTCTGGATACCTAATCAAAACGATCATATCCTAAGCATCATGAGTATACCCATATTAGCTAATTAGCTAATTGCAGTTAGAACTTAGTAACACAAACAAGACACTGTGTAGTGTGTACGGACTACGTGATATACGACAATGAAATTGCTATGTTTTATTCAATACTGTGGGTAGTCCGTGACTCATATTTGGGATAATTCTATAATTCCTATGATTATTAATTATGTACGAAAATAAGCATAATTTAGTTATGTATACGCTCAGTTGAAGTGGTTGGTACGATTACAGCCTTAACTCGAGCACAGTCTAATATCCAACACAGGTTCCTGCCATGTTCTCCATCACGAGCTATAAACCATAGTGCTACAATTATTTATCACATTTACACGGATAGTTCCATATTAGAGTAACTCAGCACGAGTGAGATAACAGTAGTTAGTTGTAACTTTAACCGTTCATAACCTTCAAATAGGAGGGTGTGGAAGGGGTGGGTGGATTGTTGAGGTGGCTAAAATAATAAATATGTAGTATCTAAACATAGTTGATAATTGAAAAAATATCATTTTGCTGTCTAAAAAATACAATTTTTGGCCAATCTCGATGACAAAATTACAGCTGATCCGCCGTCAACATGAACATTTTGAAGGTTTGGGCGAAATACAGTGGTCGATACACTCTACAGGAGCAGTGTGACGATTCATGGACTGATATCTACAAGGGAAACTTGTGCAGGTAAAACCAACGTTAAGTGGTCCTTTGAGAGAGAGAGAGAGAGAGAGAGAGAGAGAGAGAGAGAGAGAGAGAGAGAGAGAGAGAGAGAGAGAGAGAGAGAGAGAGAGAGATAGAGAGATAGAGAGAGATAGAGAGAGAGAGAGAGAGAGAGAGAGAGAGAGAGAGAGAGAGAGAGAGAGAGAGAGAGAGAGAGAGAGAGAGAGAGAGAGAGAGAGAGAGAGAGAGAGAGAGAGAGAGAGAGAGAGAGAGAGAGAGAGAGGGAGAGAGAGACACACAGCGGAGTGGTTGAGAATGCTTTTACTACAGACTATAGTATCATTTATAAGTTTCAGTAGCTTTTCAACAACAGCTTTTCTGTGGTTCATTGCATTATTTATATTCTATTAATGCAGCAGTAAGTAGTTGAAGTTGATTGAAAGGATAGCAGTTGTCAGAATACTGTCAGATCGTCCAGTAGCTCTATAAATTAATGTATTATAATATCCGTCAATATAATTGGTGGATATTTTACAGGTGGGAGATTGTAGGGATGGAACAGGAAAAAAGACACAAGTTCCGAGTAATAAACGACGGGGACAAGATAGTCACTAACATCATAGAGGCGAGTCAGTTTGTTAGTCTGGAGCAGAAACAAGTTCTGGGCTTTATGTTGTGTAATTTGTCTGCAATAAATTGATAATGGAGAAATTTCCTTTAAGAGCTCCCATCATTCTTTGCAAATCATTGATTATTGATGTTGCGACTAAAAGTCGTCAACTTGTAAACCTATCAGCTAGTATAAAACTTTGCAATAATCAATAATCCCCCCTGCAGATTCTAATCGCCAATCCATTTTCAGATAATCCTACACAAGCAGTCTTCTGTGGCTGAGATCCTAGGGCGGGCTATAGCCTCAAACGACTACGCAAAGATCGCTCTTATTTGTCAAAGGTTAGTCGTAACTGTCATTTGCTTTTCTTTCTCAGCATTGTAATGTTTAGTAGGGAGCAACCAAAGGTTAGTCGTAACTCTTATTTGCTTTTCTTTCTCAGCATTGTAATGTTTAGTAGGGAGCAACCAAAGGTTAGTCGTAACTCTTATTTGCTTTTCTTTCTCAGCATTGTAATGTTTAGTTGGGAGCAACCAAAGGTTAGTCGTAACTCTCATTTGCTTTTCTTTCTCAGCATTGTAATGTTTAGTTGGGAGCAACCAAAGGTTAGTCGTAACTCTCATTTGCTTTTCTTTCTCAGCATTGTAATGTTTAGTAGGGAGCAACCAAAGGTTAGTCGTAACTCTCATTTGCTTTTCTTTCTCAGCATTGTAATGTTTAGTAGGGAGCAACCAAAGGTTAGTCGTAACTCTCATTTGCTTTTCTTTCTCAGCATTGTAATGTTTAGTAGGGAGCAACCAAAGGTTAGTCGTAACTCTCATTTGCTTTTCTTTCTCAGCATTGTAATGTTTAGTAGGGAGCAACCAAAGGTTAGTCGTAACTCTCATTTGCTTTTCTTTCTCAGCATTGTAATGTTTAGTAGGGAGCAACCAAAGGTTAGTCGTAACTCTCATTTGCTTTTCTTTCTCAGCATTGTAATGTTTAGTAGGGAGCAACCAAAGGTTAGTCGTAACTCTCATTTGCTTTTCTTTCTCAGCATTGTAATGTTTAGTAGGGAGCAACCAAAGGTTAGTCGTAACTCTCATTTGCTTTTCTTTCTCAGCATTGTAATGTTTAGTAGGGAGCAACCCAGCTGTCTTTCTCAGCACTATAACAAAATCTTTTGTTTGTTTTTATCGATTGTAAAACGCTAGGAAATATCATGGCAAAATCTATTGTTAGAATAAGTACTGTTCAGTACACGAAACTATCAAACAAAAGTTGACCCGTGTGATCTAATTATAATATAGGCGGCGTTTCATCCAATCAGAAAATATCTAGAATTCACATTACCTAACCTTCTGATAAGTAGGGCAAGTATCAGCTCGGGTCAACAAGTCGAATGAATACTCGCTCAAATTTGCATTATAAGTCTCATGATTGGGCTCGGATGCCAGATGAAGATGTGTCGCCTTGAGTCGGTCGTCATAATTATGGAAGCCGCCAGAATTTTAATTGTTTTCATTGATGCTTTCGTGACTTCATCCACTGCTATTACCAGTGGTAATCGTGATCAATTTAATGTGATTAACGGCATCCTGGATCATTAAGAGACTAATGGGTTCAATTATTCACGAATCAGTCTTCAAATGATGCCCGACTGCCCGACTGGGGTACAGTCGTTGTGCTTTGAGCTGTCTGTTTTGACGCGCTTCTTTTTAAGAGTATTTATTGGTAGATATTTTGGTATCTGTTGCGTTTCTTACTTTTGATATCTCTACACATTTCTAAGATCCAGCTATAGTTAAATGCCAGACTATAGTGTTTACTAAATATTTGGGGCTGGTCTTTTGGTGCCAGACAATGTTCGCTCGCATGATGGATATACATAGGGCAGCACATAATACCACTTTAAGGATACCTGCCGCTAATATAACTGCCATACTTTTAAATTAATTGAGTAATTTATTGAACAAAACCCAAGGTATCGACACAAATTATTTTCTTTCTATGTCAAACTACTCTATTCTGATGTTATTTCCAAAAGGAAGGTAGAAAAACAGCAAGTCTCGTCATGGTGTTTGCGGCGTACCGAGCCATGAGGCTCATGAAGGATCAGAAAGATAGAAAATTCGTCATTTTAACCCAACCTACCTTAAATCCCGAACCTGTTGAAGACAGACCTTCATTCAGAAACTACAGAGCGGTTGATTTCATCGCTGCGGGTAAAATAGTAAAACCAGAAAAGATGAAAATCTACGTTTCTGGGACTAAATTTTACGCGAACACGTCAACTTTTACAAATTATCCGGACACACTGCTAGGAAGCTCGGACAGAGAGACCCACTTTAGCAAACAACTGGGCTGTTTTTTCTTTGACAGGAACAGGAAAGCGTTTAAAGCCATCCTGAACTGGTACACCACCGGGGTTCTGGAGTGTCCCAAGTCGATGGAAGTTTGGGAGTTTGAGCGAGAGTTACAGTTCTTCAGAATCAACGCTAAAAACGGTACTGTAGCTAATCCGCCGGTGATCCACAAGATCCGGCCCAACAAGAACTGGCCGGAGTGGCAGAGGAAGGTTTACTACGTGGTAGCAGAGCCGGGTGACGATCTCAAGTCTAAAGTATGGGCGGTACTCGACACAGTCTTCATATTGTGTTCTATAGTGTTCTTTGTAGCTGAAACTGAGCCCTATTTTAAAGAAACGCTTACACATCCAGAATCACTTACGTATGCTATTTTCTTCTGGGGGGATTCCATCTGTGTCACCTTCTTCCTGTTCGACTTCATTGTCCGCATGTTGGTTTGGCCACACAAACCGGATTTCTTCAAATCGCTACTTAACTGGCTGGACTTCCTGGCTATCCTCCCGTTCTTCGTGATGATAACCACCAATTATCTGACAGTAAATGATGACCATACCGCCGATAATCTGACAGGCAATGAGGGTAATTACACCATTGCTGCTGATCAGGTGGCTGAACCAGCAGACAAGGGACAGATCGTGGCGCTGAAAGTGCTGCGTCTCATGCGAGTAATCCGACTATTAAAACTGGCTAAACACAGCGAGCAGCTGGTACTGATTATGACGGTGGTGAGGAGAAGTGGTAATGAGATGAGCATCATGGCCCTCCTCTGGATAATCTCCACTATTACATTCGGCTCCATCATGTTCTACGCGGAGGGCGAGCACCCAGACACGGACATGCCTTCCATCACAGCTTCCTGCTGGTGGACTATAGCTACCATGTCTACTGTAGGGTACGGGGACAAGGCTCCTAAGACTAACCTGGGGAGGTGTCTGGGGTCGTGTGTGGTGTTGGTTTCCATGGTATTCATGGCGCTGCCCATGACACTTATTGTTGGCAAGTTCAGTGCTGCGTATGATGAGATGTCCAATAATGAGGAGGAGGAAGGGACGAATGCAGAGGACAAGAAGGAGGAAGGGACGAATGCAGAGGACAAGAAGGAGGAGAAAGGGACGAATGCAGAGGACAAGAAGAAGGAAGGGACGAATGCAGAGGACAAGAAGGAGGAGAAAGGGACGAATGCAGAGGACAAGAAGGAGGAAGGGACGAATGCAGAGGACAAGAAGGAGGAGGAAGGGACGAATGCAGTAGAGGACAAGAAGAAGGAAAATGGTTGACAGAGAGGGAATAATAATTCGATATGATTCAATAATATGCGTATTAACTGAGTAAAATTGAAAGGATCTATTCAATGAATATTATCAAAGACAGCACAAATGTAACAAAAAACAATTAATTATTGTTTTATTTGAACCGCTATGTTATGTGTCTGCATCATTTATTTACAGTTATATGTGAAATTTTTATCGACGATTTCTGCTACGTCTTCAACAGAGAGCAAACTCATAATATGTCCTCTTATTGTTACGAATAACCATGAACGAGCGGTGGAGCTTTCGCTGCCTTATTATTGATTACTAAATTATATTGTGCATTTATATCATATTACACATGTATACATATCACATATAATGGTGACCCAATAGCTTGGAAAATTAAACTACGTGTAAAAGAAGCAATTATAAAGGCAAACAAAGTCTAACCAGTACAAGTCATGTTGAGCATGTCCAGTGCTATGTAGGGTATATAGCATCTTAATTAATCAGTAAGATGACAAACAACAGCAGTGAGGGCAGTGGGCCAGTGAACAGATGCCATTGAAACGGTCACGCTCCACTTACGGAGCTGCTCACATACAATTACACACGCATTGTGATGAGCAGCAGATATTGTACAGGGTCTGAGACCGGGTCAATATTATCAGGGCAGCTACAAACATGAATAATGAGAGTTACTTACACACCACAAGTCACAACCAGGTTATGTTTGTTATGTAGCACTCTGTGATCACGACTGTGAAACAATGCAGTGTGACAGGTTTATGATCATAAGATGGTTCGGATTACTTGATTGTTGATTAAATTAGAAATTATAAAACAAAAGATGATTGTACATTATTCGACGGAAAATGCACGCACATATTATTAAGTATGTAGGATCAGTGCGAGCCTATTGTCAGGTCATTATGTACAACACAACCAATACAATGCAAGAAATAAATAAAGGAATTCACACAAACCCTTCCACTAAATATAATATTATTTCAGTCGGCCGCAGCCTAATATCAACGTACCAGATGCGAGTGGGATGTCTCCGCTGATGCGGGCGTGTGCCATGCTGCGCAAGGACATCGTCAAGACACTCCTGGAGTGTGGAGCTGATGTGAACTTTGGTAACAGTGCTAACAGAACCAGTGCCATGTTGGCTTGCCTCGGTGGCAACCTAGAGGTAAAGTACTCGTTACATCTTAGTAGTTATTTATATTATTAAATATTTTAGAATAATAAGCGTATTTCCCAGATTTCCACTTCTTTCGATGAACCAAAATGGTAGTTATAACCTCATTAAACAGATAAAAGGTTGAATAAAGTTTATCGTAACCGTTTTCAGGTAATAGAGACGTTGGTGGAACACAAAGCCAACCTGAGACTGCGAGACAGGTCTGGTGCAACGTGTTTACATTACGCTATTGATAGTGGGAATGAGGAGGTGGTGCAGTAAGTTAGGATACTTCATTATACATTATACATTATACATTATACATTATACATGATACATTATACATTAAACATTATACAATATACAATATACATTATACATTATACATTATACATTATACATTATACAGTATACAGTATACATTATACAGTATACATTATACATTAAACATTATACAGTATACAGTATACATTATACATTATACAGTATACATTATACATTATACATTATACATTATACAGTATACATTATAAATTATACATTATATAGTATACATTATACAGTATACAGTATACATTATACATTATACATTATACATTATACAGTATACATTATACATTATACAGTATACAGTATACAGTATATATTATACATTATACAGTATACATTATACATTATACATTATACATTATACATTATACATTATACATTATACATTATACATTATACTACATTATACTAAACTCTTCGTTTACAAGTGAGCAGTGATTTTGATCAACTGAATAGGAGGGTTGAGACAGGATCGATATAGAATAAGATATTCAGTCAAGACACTAGGTGACAAATAGCAAGTAAAGAGTTTTTTCAAATCCTTCGCTGTCTATTGAGAAGGAACTGCTTATATTGACACCTTTTTCACAGGTATCTACTGAAACAGCGAGTAGACGTGGACGCGCAAGACAACCAGGGATGGACACCTCTAATGTGCCTGGCTGCTAACCGGGGTACCATAGACATCGCCAAAACTCTCATCAAGGTAACAAACAACACAATTACAAATTTAATACAGTTTTTTAGTAATAACAGAACAAACCTATCACAACTATCACTAACAAAGTAATTTTCATCTACCCGGGTATTATTCTACTTATTCTGTTTGTTTTCAGGCGGGAAGCGATGTGAACTACAGTGATAACATTGGTAAAACAGTGTTAATGTCAGCCAGTCTGGCGGGCAACAGAGAGATGTGTGAACTGCTAGTAACTAATGGGGCTGTACACAGCGCTTATACCAGGTAGCTAATGGGGCAGCTGTACACAGCGCTTATACCAGGTAGCTAATGGGGCTGTACACAGCGCTTATACCAGGTAACTAATGGGGCTGTACACAGCGCTTATACCAGGTAACTAATGGGGCAGCTGTACACAGCGCTTATACCAGGTAACTAATGGGGCTGTACACAGCGCTTATACCAAGTAACTAATGGGGCTGTACACAGCGCTTATACCAGGTAACTAATGGGGCTGTACACAGCGCTTATACCAGGTACATTATACATTATACATTATACATTATACATTATACCAGGTAGCTGATGGGGCTGTACACAGCGCTTATACCAGGTACATTATACGTTATACATTATACCAGGTAACTAATGGGGCTGTACACAGCGCTTATACCAGGTAGCTAATGGGGCTGTACACAGCGCTTATACCAGGTAACTAATGGGGCTGTACACAGCGCTTATACCAGGTAACTAATGGGGCTGTACACAGCGCTTATACCAGGTAGCTAATGGGGCAGCTGTACACAGCGCTTATACCAGGTAACTAATGGGGCTGTACACAGCGCTTATACCAGGTAACTAATGGGGCTGTACACAGCGCTAATACCAGGTAACTAATGGGGCAGCTGTACACAGCGCTTATACCAGGTAGCTAATGGGGCAGCTGTACACAGCGCTTATACCAGGTAACTAATGGGGCTGTACACAGCGCTTATACCAGGTAATTAATGGGGCTGTACACAGCGCTTATACCAGGTAACTAATGGGGCTGTACACAGCGCTTATACCAGGTAGCTAATGGGGCTGTACACAGCGCTTATACCAGGTAACTAATGGGGCTGTACACAGCGCTTATACCAGGTAGCTAATGGGGCTGTACACAGCGCTTATACCAGGTAACTAATGGGGCTGTACACAGCGCTTATACCAGGTAACTAATGGGGCTGTACACAGCGCTTATACCAGGTAACTAATGGGGCTGTACACAGCGCTTATACCAGGTAACTAATGGGGCTGTACACAGCGCTTATACCAGGTAGCTAATGGGGCTGTACACAGCGCTTATACCAGGTAGCTAATGGGGCTGTACACAGCGCTTATACCAGGTAGCTAATGGGGCTGTACACAGCGCTTATACCAGGTAACTAATGGGGCTGTACACAGCGCTTATACCAGGTAGCTAATGGGGCTGTACACAGCGCTTATACCAGGTAACTAATGGGGCTGTACACAGCGCTTATACCAGGTAGCTAATGGGGCTGTACACAGCGCTTATACCAGGTAGCTAATGGGGCTGTACACAGCGCTTATACCAGGTAGCTAATGGGGCTGTACACAGCGCTTATACCAGGTAGCTAATGGGGCTGTACACAGCGCTTATACCAGGTAGCTAATGGGGCTGTACACAGCGCTTATACCAGGTAGCTATGGGGCTGTACACAGCGCTTATACCAGGTAGCTAATGGGGCTGTACACAGCGCTTATACCAGGTAGCTAATGGGGCTGTACACAGCGCTTATACCAGGTAACTAATGGGGCTGTACACAGCGCTTATACCAGGTAGCTAATGGGGCTGTACACAGCGCTTATACCAGGTAGCTAATGGGGCTGTACACAGCGCTTATACCAGGTAGCTAATGGGGCTGTACACAGCGCTTATACCAGGTAGCTAATGGGGCTGTACACAGCGCTTATACCAGGTAACTAATGGGGCTGTACACAGCGCTTATACCAGGTAGCTAATGGGGCTGTACACAGCGCTTATACCAGGTAACTAATGGGGCTGTACACAGCGCTTATACCAGGTAGCTAATGGGGCTGTACACAGCGCTTATACCAGGTAGCTAATGGGGCTGTACACAGCGCTTATACCAGGTAGCTAATGGGGCTGTACACAGCGCTTATACCAGGTAACTAATGGGGCTGTACACAGCGCTTATACCAGGTAACTAATGGGGCTGTACACAGCGCTTATACCAGGTAGCTAATGGGGCTGTACACAGCGCTTATACCAGGTAGCTAATGGGGCTGTACACAGCGCTTATACCAGGTAGCTAATGGGGCTGTACACAGCGCTTATACCAGGTAACTAATGGGGCTGTACACAGCGCTTATACCAGGTAGCTAATGGGGCTGTACACAGCGCTTATACCAGGTAACTAATGGGGCTGTACACAGCGCTTATACCAGGTAGCTAATGGGGCTGTACACAGCGCTTATACCAGGTAACTAATGGGGCTGTACACAGCGCTTATACCAGGTAGCTAATGGGGCTGTACACAGCGCTTATACCAGGTAACTAATGGGGCTGTACACAGCGCTTATACCAGGTAGCTAATGGGGCTGTACACAGCGCTTATACCAGGTAGCTAATGGGGCTGTACACAGCGCTTATACCAGGTAGCTAATGGGGCTGTACACAGCGCTTATACCAGGTAGCTAATGGGGCTGTACACAGCGCTTATACCAGGTAACTAATGGGGCTGTACACAGCGCTTATACCAGGTAGCTAATGGGGCTGTACACAGCGCTTATACCAGGTAACTAATGGGGCTGTACACAGCGCTTATACCAGGTAACTAATGGGGCTGTACACAGCGCTTATACCAGGTAACTGAGTATGGACTAGGTAAATGTAAATCTATAAACTAGTTGACTGAGATGTGGCTTATCTTAACTGATGTTTTTATGATCGAGCTCTTTTACAGATTCGGTAAAAGTGCCTACGAAATGGCAGTAGCGTTTGACAGAAAAGAAGTCGTTGAATTCTTCCAGAAACTGAAGAAAAGGAGAAACTCAGTGAGTCTTGGGGTCAGTGGTATCACCTTCTAGAGATTTAGATCCTGTGATTATAGTGTGGCAAGAGCGACAGGGCATACCTCAATTAGGAGTTGTTATATTTGAGTCGACAGGACGGAGACAATTTGAAGAAAGAGAACGAATTGATAAGGGCTTACTGGCGGCTTCCAGGTGATTGATGGAGGCACCCAGGTGATTGCTGAGCCCAATCGCAACGAATATTGTGAAACTTTTACCGACGTCTACGATATTGATACCAGACTATTTGTTACTTTTGTATGGGGAAAGGAGCATGAAGCCCAAGCTCGGATCCCCAGATCTGAAAGGTAATAGGGTCCGACCTCTTTAACATAAACCTGAACCTACCAGATTGTTTATAACTTAACTTTTAGAACCATACTTCTCATTTTACCCCTTACTACTACGAGTGTCTAAATCAACATTAACACATAGATATAGCTTACATTTTCTCTGGACCATCATTCACTTTGCAGAGACTTTCTCTGCTGTTCTCGAACATTTTCTAATTGAAAAGAGTTGTTATAGCATGATTAGGAGTTTTTAACACTGCTTGCAATTTAATGTTAAATTATATTGTTCAATTTCATTGGAGCAATTGTGCCGAAGATTATTATGATTATCTTACTTGCAATTTGCAGTAATTTTAAAACATCAAAAGACATTTATTGTAAGGAAATGTGGTAAAATGATATTAAGTGTATCTGGATAAATTTTATTTCAAAATTTGATGAAGAGTTAATATGAGTATAAAAACGTTTAAAATACTATAAAAAATCACCACTCCCAATGGTTAGTTCGGGATTGAAATGCAACCCATTCTCATCACAATAAAATCTATCAAACAATTAGCTTATCGAACTGTTCGTTCAGGGCGAATTGTGTAAATCACTGATTGATTAAAAACATTTTAAAATTAGCAGTAACATAAAAGTGTCGAATTCAAGTACAATATCCTCGTCTAAAATAAGATAACAAACGTTAAAAACAATTTAATTTCACTCAAGTTTCTCACTTCTTTCCGGACAGGTTTTCTTTGTTCCCTGTCTTCAGAGCCATGGCAGCCAAATCCTTCAAAATCTGTTGTGCTAAATTGGAGTAAGTTTGACGGCCCTCGACTGATGTACCTGAACGTGTTCCGGCTTCTCCAGGAACGGTCACCTTCTTGCTAGCAGAATGTTGGGTAGGTGGGTCAAATGTGAAGGGGTCGACAGGAACTGAACTAAGTGACACAGGAACTGAACTAAGTGACACAGGAACTGGGTGATATATTGGAGTGTTTTGTCGTGGTGGAGGAGTTCTCATTTGGGTGACATCGTTCCTTATCGACGAAGTGACACGATTAGCAACAGGGAAGGAAGTGTGCTGGTTGGAGATAGTCCGTGGAGGAGAGTTCATGGTCATAGGTTGAGAGAAGTTACATTTCATAACAGGTGAATTTCTAGATCCTGTATTAGGCAGAAGGAATCTGGGCCCTTTCTGAGAGGACGTGGTGACAGACGAGGCCTGGTTAGCACAGAGGGACTGGTTCAACTGGCTGAAGTTTGTGGATCTCAAGAACTGGTTTATCTTAGATAAGTCGAACTTTGTATTAGGTTGCTTAGAGTTTGAGGAGGGGGCTGTAGGACCGGGGATGATAAGTATCGTCCCGGGTTTTAACAATGAAGTCTTGCTCAGTGCATGACTGATTCTTGGTGAGACTGTTTTGGGAGTAGGGTTCGACTTAAGTTGAACATTAGCTGGAATAGTAGGTTTTACTGTAAGCTTTTTAACGGACTTCTTGGCTGTCTTCTTTGGACAATTTAACACAAAATCTGGGTAATTTCTTTCGGATGCTGAATCTGTGGTTGATTCTTCAGTAAACCCACACTGATGATCTTGGTACGGCTCACGGCTCACTCCTGAATTAGCAGCACTTCCAGTCTTTTCATCTTTACCCGGTAAAGGATCAGTATTCCGTAAACTCTCGCCCACTTCAATTTCCTCGTCCATACTGTCATGAGGCTCACAGGCCTCCAGGACCACTGTTGGCTTCACCTCCTTCACCTCTGGTTTCACCTCCTCCTTTTTGTCGTCCTCATGAGCTTTAGATAATAAATATTCGGCTTGCTTTACCTCTTTTATGACACCCTTCTTTGCTCGAACAGTGCACTTAGAAGCTTTTAACGTATCAGTAGGCTTCTTTATTACAGTAAACTTTTTCGGGGATTTCTTACAGGTTTCTGTTTTTGGAGGAGTAACAGAAAGTTTAGTAAAGAAATTTTCAACTTCTTCAATATTCAACCAGGTGTCATTGTCGCTTTTCTCGGGCATAGATTTATTCATAGAGTCGTTTTCGATCAACTTATTGCCTGCAGAGTTAACAGATTTTCTCCTCGATCGCCTCACCGGGACTTCCACATAAGCGGAGTCCAGGCTGTCTTGCATCTTTTTAGATGGTCTTCGTTGCCTCTTACTCTTGACCTTTGGGATCACTTCATTTTGATCAGAAGCTGAGTCCAAAACAGAGTTAACCATACTATTATCTACTTCATCTTTTCTTTCAGAAGTCGTCTCTACTTTGTTCGCTACTACCAGGGATAACTCCGCTAGAACATTATTTGCGTGAGGCAGTGGAAGAGTTTCAATTTTACATGGAGTAGGCTCCGTAACAGCTTTAACATCATCTGACGATTTAGTAATGAGTGTAGTTTCTTCAGTCACAAGATCAGACTGCAATGGATTAGTTTGTACTTGAAATGACGATATATTAGTTACGCCATCAACTTTCTCCAGCAATGATGTGGGTTCGACTTGTGTTGAAGTGAGTTCATGATCATCTTTCATAGGAGTTATAGATTGGGTGAAAAGAGCATTTCCTTCATCAGTAACGGGAGTTGCCTGAGCTTCAGTATTTGTGCGAGGAGATGCTGGATCGACTTTTAAGTCAGCTGAGGGAGGTCCCTGATCAATATTAGCATGATCCGGATTTGGCAACGAAACAATATCAGTTTGAGATGGATACGGACATACTTCCATCGCACATTCCACCTTAACACTTTCTATTTTGGTAGTAAGGTCTCCGCCAAGAGTTGTGTCTGACCCAACCTGATCTGGAGAAGCAGTTCCCACATCAGCTGATGAAGGTAAAGTTCCTGATTCAACTTGATCTGACGGCACTTGAGATGCAAGTTTCTGTTCAGTTTTCACAGTAAGACTACGTCTCGAAATCCGATTCGACGAGTTTTCCATTCTAAGCTTAGCCTCAACTGCAGCTCTTCGAGGCTTCATATAAGCACCTTCGAAAGAGGACATCAAGACGTTGAATTGCTGAATATGTTTTAGCTCAGATTTTTTAACTGGACGCTTCCGAGCGGGGACAACTTCACCGGAGTGGTCCATAACAATTAGGGGATCAGGCTTCGTTTTCTCAGTAATTACATCGCCCTCAACGGATAAGACATCAGATTCGATAGGACAGTCCTCTTTCGTAGTGGTGCGACAATCACTAGCCTTTATATCTTGGTCCTCTTGGCTTTTCGCTAAAATTGTAGACGTCGATGAATCAGCAACAAGCGCGGTGTCCTGAGTTTCTAAGATATCATATGCAGGAACTTCAGAAGTAGAAATAGCCTGAATCTCGCTTAATTCTGTGTCAATGGAGTCAACTTTTAAACTCAGTGAAGCTGTCTGAGGTGACTTTAATTCATTGTCATCTTTAGGCGGATGATGGACGTTCTGTTGATCTGTTTCTAAAAAGTTAGTAGCAGTTTTGATCTTATTTCTAAGAGCTTTTGCTATTTCTATCGAGCAAGGAGTACATTTATCTTTATCGTCAGAGGCTTCAGCTTTGGGAAAGCCTTCTATCATAACATTCTCCGCAATCTTTTTGTCGGTGATTCCAACCAGGGAGCTTCCATCTTGATCTATACTTAAAGGAGATAAGTCAGACTTCATCTTAACTAAGGCATCACCATTATTGTGTATATGCTGAGTGACCCCTGTTGACACAACGGTACTAGAACCAATCACTCTGATCTGAGATTTGTCTAGTTCTTTGTTGTTTGTATTTATTTCCTTAGCTTCCCCCTTTGGAACAAAAGTAGAGACAGATAGATCAGCTGATACGTTATTGGATGTAGATCGGGAGATTCTTCTAGACTCTTGAACTTTCGGGTCAATGTTCAAATTGGGTTTTGCAGACTGTAGCACGACTTTTGGTTTCGATTTTATTTTGTTGAGATTTCCTCTAGTGGACTTAGGCTGCCGGAAAGTCTTTCTCTTCTGACCTGAAATAGAGTTAGTGATCAAATGTTAGCAGTATTGTTTTCTTAATTACCATAACGTTTTCAAATTATTCTTTTATTCCCGCGCAGAGGCAAGCAGAATCTGGCCAAAAAAATTACCTTTTAATTACTAAGTAACATAGCTCGGAAATATAGTGACCGATGAAAGAAATATACGTCAAAGTGAAGCTCATGCAGTTTGGGTAAAATGAAACTCTTGAATTTGCATTTATAATTAATTGAAAGATATATGTACTTATTAATTAAGTTTCCCATATTTTATGGTAAACATGAATCATGAAAAATCAAAGACTGTAAACCATAATATTGACAAATACAACTTGAAGAAAAGGTAAGTATAATTTTACAGCACAAAATACCCTTTCACAAAAAAGTTGAATAACCCACAATTTTAAAAGTTATATTAACAGAATAACTGTCCGGTTGATAAAGGAAGAAGTTTGAAGTTGCCGAGTAATCATCTACAGTGTTTTGGTCATTTCTGATAATGACAATTACAATCAGTTTTAAACCCCACTGGCACCCCAGTCCCCACTGTAGCAACAGTTTGTGACCTTCTGATTCACACATGGATGTGTTTCAAAGCGTAAGGCCTCACTCCTTTCTCCATCAACACATCTACTCCCTTATCTATTGGTTTGATAATGAAAGGAATAGCCAGTAAGCCACTGCCCGTAACGATCAAGCTTCGTTTGTTGGCAGGTACCTTGTGTAAAGCATTTCCCAAGCCCCAGCAAATCCTGTTGATAGTGAACCCTGGAATAGCTACTGAAGCCAGCCCTTGCCATATCAGCACGTCTGCGAACGTGCGGATAGGCTTCCCGTCAGCCAGATCCTTTTCCTTTCGAGATTTTGAAGTGGCATCAGCTAGAACATAGGAAGCAGAAACGAGGTAACTGAATCTGACGGCGTTTTTGTGAACAAGGTTCCTGAAAGCTTCGCCTACTTCGTTAGCGTATCCGAGATAACGTATGGGAGTGTCTCTATATATGTCTACTTCTTCAGGATCTGCCATAGCTGTTCAGAGAATAATAGGTCACTGTTTGTTATTGAAGCCCCTATTTTTAACAACAAACACTTTTGACAGCCAACTTTATTTGCCGCCAGACTCTACAATATTCTACAAAATTATATTAAGAGCGTACGTGCGCGCGAATCTTCAAAGACAAATGTCGTTTGTCGCTTGCGGCAAATAAGATGCGATGGATTTCAGGATGTTATTAAGATATAAGCGGAAGAAATTGTATGTTGTTACAAAAGCCTCAGACTCTACAATCCAGAAAACAGAAGTATAAGTTAATATCATCATCAAATAAATAAAAATTTCTGTAAGCTGTTACTGTTTTTAGTAAAATTAGTCTGTCAGAATCTTCAGAAATGTTTATTAGCAGTGTAGCCAACTTTAAAAGAACCAGGCTTTGACATTTAAGGTGAAAAGTAGGTGGTAACTTTATCAAGTTGTTAAAATTAAAAATATCAAACTTCAAAAGTCTAATATCTTGTATTAACAACCAAATAGATAAGCAGCAAAAATCGTTAAATTAAAAAGTATATGCAACGATGTATTTAAGCTAAGTTATAACTTTTTCTTGAATTTAGAAACTGCGGTTAAAAAACAAACAGAATCCATCAATCGAGAAACCATTTGGGATGGTTTGCAAAAAACTCCTTAGTGGTTCCATGATTCTTCTCAAAATTGATTTTAGAGCTGGCATGAAACAATTTCTCACAGAACTCCTCATCCAGAATCCAATGACCGTACTTCTCCTTCAACCCAGCCTTCTCCAAGACCTCAGTCACCACTGGAGCTATGTCTAACTTCGTTATCTTATACTTCAAAACATTTCTTTTGTGGAGTAGTTTCTGTCTACACTCGTAAATGTACCTCAGAGGAATATCTTTTGGGTTCTCCTCATCGAAGATTTTGATAGCCCGTTTAGCAACTTGCAGACAGTCATCCAGCAGTGAGGGTAACCGTTTGACCCACATTGTTATCCCAGATTTAGATATCTGATAGTCTGGGTATATCTCTCTGAATCTGCCGCTGGTAAAGGTGGTTCCCCAGCAGAGGGTGTGTATACTGATAAGGATCTTTAGGTCTATTCCAACAGGCTTCAGGGACACGTGCGCTGAAAATACATCTTTGCTACCTAGTGTTGAGGAGTGAGATGTTGTGGCAAAGACACGTGCGGAATTTGGCAAAGACACGTGCGGAATTTGGTTTGTTGGGATTTGACATTTGATATTTTACTGTTGCAAATAATGGGTATTGAATGTCAACAACTTTGTGTAATTTGTTTGAAATGGCTGTTTCTGTTAGGAACAGAACCGGGTTTTACCAACAAATTACCAAACGTTGTCGCTGCAGTAACAAATATTGTAATGAAATTAAAAAGTGGATAATGTACTCACGACTATCAGTTGATTTTCCAGCGGCTGAAAATGAAAGGATTTCAGTTAAAACAAAAACTAAAAACTTTGGATTTGGTGTGAAACAGCTATTAATTGTCAGCAATTATAGACACGACTGGTTTAGAATCAGATCGAGTAATAGAAACTACCAAGATACTCACGTTTGTCAGCATTTTCGTTCTCAGGGTCTGAAAAATAATCAATTACCCTCCATGCATATTTACAATATTAATTATATAAGCATGATATTGTGGGCATAATTATAACCTTATTTCAGCTTGATCATTCACTTTTTAATAGAATTAATTTTGTGATTGATAATTTACATGAAATAAACATCCCAAAATTCCTGCTAAATATCATGATTGTTAAAGTAACATACCTAGCTTTTTCTTCTTTTTCTCTGGTTGTAATGGTTCAACTGAAAATTTTAAAGCATTTTTAACACCAATTTAGGCTCCTCTGATAATAATAATACTGGATGAAACCTAAGTATAAGTAAAATGTATTGTTAACCAATGGTGATGTACAATTAAATGCACTAACTGCAATCAAGTCACAGGAGCATAGCAGTCAAGATGTTACATTTGTAGTACATTTGTAGTACAAAAACCTGTTCAATTTCATTGGAAATCATAAAAGCAGTAACATATATTTACTATCAGATGCTGAGAACTGATGTGTGGCGTTGAAGTTAACTCTCCACTTAACAGCTTGCTGAGCCAAATCCTCCACCTTTACTAGACTCTCCTCGTTCACTTCGAAGTCTTGCTCTGAGGTTAATGTTAAGATATTATTACATTACATTACATATTGGCTATGCCCCGCTTAATAGTTTAGCTCTTTCTAGTCCCCTGCTACACGGCATGTAAACAGGGATTGGCTAGTTAGAGGCGGTCCGTGTAGGCCTTACACTGTGCTTTCAGCAATACTCATAGAGCACATTATAATTCTTAGACGTAGTGTAGTCAGTAGTGTTATAATACCAAGGCATGGAAAATAGATATAAGGTTATTCTTTCCTCCAACAATAACATAACCGTAAGATATCTAAGATAAACAAATTATTTTTTAGGCAATTACAAACCCCCATTCTGAAGTTTAAATAGCTGCTCCACTATGTTGCGTAGAGATTTACTAAAGTTCTTTTGACTGGCCATGGAAGGGTTGGAATCACTCCCAAGGACGATAAGAGAAAGCGACTTGATTGCACTGAAAAAGGAGGAGGATTAGCATTTTATCACAAAAATGTGCAAATCTGGCTCTTAATCTTGAGTGATCGACATCCTAAAACAATGATTTTACACAGAAAATGTTAGGTCAGATTAAAATCAACAGACATTTAATTACCTGTTAATATCAGGCGTAATGTTGTTTTCCTCAGGGAAAAGCATCATGATTTCTTTGGCCAGAAGACCACAGTCGATAAATCCAAGCATGACTGATCAAAGTGGTCATGCACCTATCAGGAAGACTTAGTTATGAATCTGTCTAACAGATTAAGTAAAGCTTGGACAACTTGTTACAGAAACAATTGTCGGTAAGCCTTCTAAAGAACCTCTTAACCTACAATTTTCAGTAAGCCTTCTAAAGAACCTCTAAACCTACAATTGTCAGTAAGCCTTCTAAAGAACCTCTAAACCTACAATTGTCAGTAAGCCTTCTAAAGAACCTCTAAACCTACAATTGTTGGTAAGCCTTCTAAAGAACCTCTAAACCTACAATTGTCAGTAAGCCTTCTAAAGAACCTCTAAACCTACAATTGTCAGTAAGCCTTCTAAAGAACCTCTAAACCTACAATTGTCGGTAAGCCTCCTAAAGAACCTCTAAACCTACAATTGTTGGTAAGCCTTCTAAAGGACCTCTAAACCTACAATTGTCGGTAAGCCTTCTAAAGAACCTCTAAACCTACAATTGTTGGTAAGCCTTCTAAAGAACCTCTAAACCTACAATTGTCAGTAAGCCTTCTAAAGAACCTCTAAACCTACAATTGTCAGTAAGCCTTCTAAAGAACCTCTAAACCTACAATTGTCGGTAAGCCTCCTAAAGAACCTCTAAACCTACAATTGTTGGTAAGCCTTCTAAAGGACCTCTAAACCTACAATTGTCGGTAAGCCTTCTAAAGAACCTCTAAACCTACAATTGTCAGTAAGCCTTCTAAAGAACCTCTAAACCTACAATTGTCAGTAAGCCTTCTAAAGAACCTCTAAACCTACAATTGTTGGTAAGCCTTCTAAAGGACCTCTAAACCTACAATTGTCGGTAAGCCTTCTAAAGAACCTCTAAACCTACAATTGTCAGTAAGCCTTCTAAAGAACCTCTAAACCTACAATTGTCAGTAAGCCTTCTAAAGAACCTCTAAACCTACAATTGTCAGTAAGCTTTCTAAAGAACCTCTAAACCTACAATTGTCAGTAAGCCTTCTAAAGAACCTCTAAACCTACAATTGTCAGTAAGCCTTCTAAAGAACCTCTAAACCTACAATTGTCAGTAAGCCTTCTAAAGAACCTCTAAACCTACAATTGTCAGTAAGCTTTCTAAAGAACCTCTAAACCTACAATTGCCAGTAAGCCTTCTAAAGAACCTCTAAACTTACAATTGTCAGTAAGCCTTCTAAAGAACCTCTAAACCTACAATTGTCAGTAAGCCTTCTAAAGAACCTCTCATTTCATTTCAAGATACAAATATGGGTTATCACATAATGAGGAAGAGTAATATTATTATTTCTGGTAGTAAAACAAATTTTTTAGTGAAACAAATTTAAAATTTTATCCTTTATTTTACAATCATAATATAATAATATTTATAAGCCTCCGTTTTGAAAGTTTTAAATTTTTATATATCCACATTTCTATTTAAGATTCAATTTTATGTATTAATCAATAACTGGCCGCCAAAGCCGCGCATTCTTGAAGACAGGATTAACTTGTTTAATTTAAACAAATTTAAAACTATCCGTGGTTTTAAAAAATAAATCATAATTTTACCTAAATCCAAAGCCAGCTTTGTAAAATTTACTATTAGATCATAATATATCGTCAATTCTAAATATTTACAATGCAACATTTTATTAATCTATAAACAAGCGTACTCCAGCCCCTACATGCATCAATTTTGGTATCCTCAAGTAGGAAATCAATTGGGATATCATGTCATATTCTGAAGAAACAGAAAGATTACAATTTTCATGCACAAAATTTATAGCCTTCTAAAGAACCTCTAAACCTGTTAATTGAGTAGCAAAATTGCTCCATGTCTCTTAAGATACAAAATATGGGTAATCACATAATGAGGAAGAGTAATATTATTATTTCTTGTATCCTCAAGTAGGAAATCAATTGGGATATCATTTTATTCTGAAGAAACAGAAAGATTACAATGTTCATGCACAAAATTTATAGCTCATTTTCCTTCTTGTCGCTCATTCAATAGTTGTCCATTTTCGCAAATACTTTGTTATGGCAACAACCCAATATATGGTGATGATTACACTAACAAAACTGATTATGGCATTAAAAGTGATGCTATGCGGTACACTTGGGCCGGATACTATCTATTCGTCATTGCCTCATCTTTAATAGGAGACACAACCATTCTCATAGCATCCATAAAGTACAAGGCCTTAAAACTTCACCGAGTCATCATTGTTGTCATCCAGCACATGGCATTCTGTGACCTGATTGTATCTGCTACCTACGTTCTCCCAAAGATGGTCTCTGTCGTCTCTGATAAGTGGGTGCTAGGAAATTTCTTCTGCTACTTGTACTCCTATGCAACATATTATTCCAACCTGACAAGTATGCTTCTCATCTGTACCATGACAACCAGCAAGCTGCTCCTCCTGAAATATCCCCTACAATTCGGAACAACCTCCTTGAAGAAAGCGCACTTGATCTGCATGGTATGTTGGTTGGCAGCTCTCACCTTACCTGTAACATTCTTTCTTGTAGATGATGATGTTTCCTTTTCATATTTGAGCTATGAATGCGCTTATTTTTTCTCATCAGAGATTTGGCATTATTTGAGGCCTTTCACTGCAGTGCTATTTGCATTTATTCCAACATGCATAGTTTTATCAACCAATCTTTGTTTGCTTATCAAAGCCAGAAAAGTTGTTTCCCGGAGCAGGGAAAGTTTGAAGTGGCAGGGGATCGTGACAACACTTCTTACAGCCACAGTCTACTGCTTGTCTCTCCTACCATACGTTTTTTACCGTGTTGGGGAATCCATTGTTAGCGTAGATGATAAGAGCAAGAGTTCATTCCACACCACGTTTTTTAGAGTTGCACTCTCGCTCCTGTCTTTAAACACCATCAGCAACTTCTACATCTATAGTCTGACCGTGTCTAGCTTCACAGCATTTATCCAGTCGAAGATGCAGCTGTCTTATCAGTGCATTACCAAGGTGGAAACTTCCACAAGTCATGGTGAAGGTGAGGTTTCTTAAGATTTTGTATTTGTTTTGACAGTTTACCGTGATTCTCGGATTTGATCGTTCAAAGCTGGAAGTTGATAGGTTAATCACTGTCACATGAAAAAATAAGTGTCACAGTCACATTAAAATCCACATATCTACTAATATAGTACTATTTATGGCTAAAAAATTAGATATTTATACTGAGAGCGATATTCTAATTAAATAGCTACTGATTAAACATCAGTTTTTCTTTCAGGAAGTGCAAGAATTGAACTGAACCAAGGAAGGGCGATAACAGAACTGGAAACGTGAATGAAGGTGATCAACAAACAGCAGTTTGATTGTGACACAGAACATATGATGCGGTGACACTTAACAACTATCTGTTTTTTTAAGGACTCGTAAATATTCAAACAATATACACATAATATAGCAATGACCCTATATAAAAATTCAGTAAAAATGGTACAAATTTAAAAACTGAGGTAAAAATAAAACCCTTTGTAATAATATATATAAAATCCACTAAATCACATCACAACAAAAAGCAGTTTAGACCCCCATCCAACAAGCACTCCATGACCTTTTAGGGTTTAAGAGTGTTGATCAGGTTAAGGTCCAAATCACTTATTGCCGTGGGTGGAAGGGTTCTGGTACCTCTGTACCCCCTGATAGAGATTATACAGGTTCTGAGTAGATCAAAGCGCAGTCTGCGTCTGACAAATGACATCACATCACAACACTGTTGGCCTTTCTTTAGGCTGATCTTTTCAGCGAAATGTTTTAGGAACTGTGAAGCCTCAGTTGCCATTCCTCCTGTAGTACTGAACACCAGTGAACACAACTATCTGTTTGGTCTACTGAGGAACCTATTTTAGTAGATCCATTGGCACTCAACAACTATGATGACATTAGACATAGTATCTTGCCCTCCTGCATTGTCAAAGTTTTTTATAGACACAGAACATAGACCCAAGAGTGCCATATTTGAAAAGAACTTGTAGCGTAATATACGACATTTTAAGAACAGTGGGTCATTTCGATTTTCGACATAAAGATTAAAAAAGCAATACATTATTGCGACAATGTGGCAAATTTAGCTTAAGCGCTCGATTTTCGTTGTTGATAAAATTTTGAGCCGCGCACATTAATTTTCCTAACGAATTATTTTATGTTTTGATGACATTTGTGGATGATGATTAATCACTCTACACTCGACTGTCACGTGACTTTTTAAACACGTTCTCTCGGTGGCCCTGAATGACTATTCGAAATCATAGCCCTCTAATCTGATCCCAACCCTAACCCTAACCCAATCTCTAACAAAAGCATATGCTGAAACCCTAACCCTAACGAGAAATTAGACTAACTTCCGTATATGGTCATATCACGTGATCGAGACAGTTTTTCGCCAATATCTCGCTATGGGAGCATTTTAACCCTATGTCATGGGGGGTGATTCGGAATCAGCGTCCGAAAATACATCGATTGAAATTGATCTTAACTGTCGGGGGCCCTTTTAGAAAAATTTCGAAGATCGACTTATAGTGTATGTACTAAGAGCATCAACTTGCGGGTGAACATTTTATGTCTCAAAACCCAACATATTATACATCATTGGAAAGGTCTCATTGAGTAGAGTCGTTTGGTACCAAGTTTTGGGCAAATGGCTGTTCCTAGCGAAAGTTATAGCCCGTCAAAGTTCCAAAAATGACCATTTAAAAAATGGGGCGGGGCATCGTGTTCTTAAAGTTTTTGACGAATTTTTTTTACAGCATATTGTTTATCACATTTTTTTACACAAGATTTGCTGTATGCCGTAATTTTATTTTTCGATATTTTAATCAAAAATAATTTTTATTTGGATTTAAAAGTACGCGCTACGCCGCGCAGTTAGAAATCGCAATAAGGAGATTTAACCAAATTTTTTGTTGCGCAATTTTTTTTCTCATATCAAATTTACATGCTCATGTCGCATTTTCGGTTGCATCAAATTCAGCTGACGTCCACAACATGAAGTTTAAATGATCACACTGTGAAATTGGTT